TCAGTCAGACTTGAGTGTGGACCCCAGCCTCGCCCTCCAGCTCTGGTCCTGACACCGGTGGTGTTTGGCAACCCTTCAGGACCCCAGCTTTTGCCTCTTCTCAGAAACTTACATTCTCTTCTCAGTTCCCTGCCCACCACAATCACAGAAACCCAGGATTATCGTGGGCATTTTGTCCCTCCCCAGACAAGCAGGTACCTTGATCTTTTATTTTGTGATTTTTTTAATCTCTCTTTTGTCAACTTCACAGGGGATAAGGACCATTTTTGTTACTCTGTCTTTGACCTGGAGCTTATCTAGGACAGGTGGAGACACAAGTAGAGGTCCCTAGATGCTGCTGCTGCTGCTGAAACCAGCAGAGCCTGCCTGGCCCTAAGCAGAGTCACCCAGAGCTGCCAGGAACTGAAATCCTAGAGGCCGTGGGCCTTGGGTTCTCCAGTTCTCCACCACCCTCAAACCCCACCCCTTGGCGCCCCAGACTCTTCCTACTTTTCTGTGGCTTCTCCTCGGAACTTTATGTACCCCTTTCCCTTGTTAACAGCTTTCATTGTTTATAATTTTCATTAATCTTATTACTAAAGTAATTAATGCTTATTGTTGGAAACTTGGAAAATAGAAGCAAAAATAAAAATAAAAAAATAAAATTAAAAAAAAATCATTGCTAACTGCCAATCAGATATAACCAAACATTTTGGTATAAATCCTTTCAGTCTTTTATATATATATATATATATGTAATTTTACATATATTTTCAGAAATAAAAGCTGGAGCACAGAGCACTTGCTCTTCTCTAACCTGCGTCTTACCATATCAAGGACCTTTCCCCATGCTGCTTAGCCTCCTTCCACTCCATCATAGAGTGGCTGCCAGGGATGCACTGATATGATGTAGCCTCTCTCCTGCGCAATGAGTTTATTTCTAGAAAACCAGGCTGAGCTAAACAGCTTTGTAGATGAACTTCCGCCACACACTTGTGCTTATTTTCTTTGAGTACTTTCTTAGACACCAAGGGTTTCCCTGATAGCTCAGTTGGTAAAGAATCCGCCTACAATGCAGGAGACCCCAGTTAGATTCCTGGGTCCAGAAGATCTGCTGGAGAAGGGATAGACTACCCGCTTCAGTATTCTTGGGCTTCCCCTGAGGCTCAGCTGGTAAAGAATCCTCCTGCAGTGCAGGAGACCTGGGTTCAATCCCTGAGTTGGGAATATCTCCTGGAAAAGGGAAAGGCTACCCACTCCAGTATTCTGGCCTAGAGAATTCCATGGACTGTATAGTCCATGGGGTTGCAAAGAGTCAGACATGACTGAACCACTTTCACTTTAGAAGCCAGATCACTGAGCCAAAGGGATACACTTAAGTTCTTTTGGTAACATAGCCAATGCCCTCCAGAAAGTTTGAATCAATTTGTACCACATATAAAAGTCACCCTTTCCACTGCTCAGTATTTTTAAAAAGACATTAGGGAAATGAAATTTAAAATATTAATCATCAGTTTGCTTCTATGTTTAGAGTAAAAGCTTTCTTTTATGTTTTGTCTGTATCTTGTCTAAAATTGTAAGCACTGGTGTTTAGCGATCCAGACATTTTTCTTGTCTCTTACACGTGCTTCCTTGGACCTGGAAAACTTTTCCTGGGTACTTTGTTGCTGTGTTTGATTCACTGCAAAGGAAGTGAATCCTGGGCCAGCAGAGGCGCTGTGGCTGCCCCCTGCTGGTGAAGAGGTGCAGTGCCGATTGAGAAGGCTGGGCTTCTGCTGCCCTTTCAACTCTCCCCATTCCTACCACTGCCCCCTATTCTAATATTTTCTGGTATTTTCAGTCTAAAAGGACCAGTGCGCAGGGTGAGGAACTTTTAAGCCTTTGTGTCTTGGGTGATGCAGATGCAGTTACTACCTGGGGAGGCTCATGGGCGTCGTGTCCATCCTGGGGTGAGAAGTGTGTCTCTGACAGCGCAGACAGGAAAGCATGCTGTTCTCTGCATGGAGGAGAGGGGACTCTGAGGGCCAGGTATGCAAGCAAAGCCTCCTCCAGGCACGTGGGGCCTCCTCAGGTGACATCTTTGAAAGGTGACACCATGGGGCTGTGTTTATATTAGAGTGAGATGAATGCATGCACAGTTACACTTCAGGTATCCTGAGGTCACAACCTCAATTTTCAGGGACAAAATCAAAATCTGACCATGTAAGTAAGGGAGGCGGTGGGGTAGAGGATCTGAGCAGGAACAACAGATGTCCCTAACAAAGCCTTGTCTCTGTCTTCCTTAGGAAACTTCTTTCTTAGAATCAGATGCTCTCAATTTTGACAGTGCTGACAAAGCTTTCTCAACCCTCAGCAGATTAAGAGTGGCCCATTAGGTGGGCCTGACCTCTACCCAGAAGGAGCAGCAGTTAGATAGAGACCAGGAAGAAGTGATATCTGGCAAAGAGGAAAGAGACGGGAAAACTATAGAAATGAGCTCAAGAAGTTAAAAGGTCCTAACATCTGGGTCCTTGGGTGGAGGGGCAAAAGTGCCATATGCCAGAGGTCCCAAAGGCATCACTGCAAAAAGCCTGTGAATCTGGAGGGATCAAAGCTCTTGTTAGAGCGGCACCAATGCTAAAGGATCAAAGAGAAAAGGACTCAGAAATCATGAAGCAGGGGGATTTGATTGATCCAGGCAGAAACACCTCCAGGCCAAAACTCCACAACAAAACAAACAATTCTGTCATCCTCTATTTCTTTCTGCCTCCTTTCTGCCTCCTTAAGGTGTTCGCACTTAAGCCTTTGATCCACCTGGGCTTTGATTTTTGCGGCTGGTGTGAGGTAGGGATCCTGTTTCATGTTTTTCTATATGGAGAACCTGTAGTCCCAACACTGTCTATCAGTAGCCCATTGTAAAGAAAAATCTCCAGTATTTCTCCTCTACTGCTCTCACAGAATACTCCTGATGATAGTTATGTGGGTGTTTTTCCCATGCCCTTTTCATATTTTTAAGGCTCTCATTTCTTAAACTTGGTATTTCATCCCTTGTGTCTGATAAGTCCCGTATCTGAAGTCTTTGTGCGTCTGATTCTCTTGCCTGTTGTTTTTGCTGGCTCGGGCTCGTAGCGCCTTGTTTCTTTGTACGTTGTGATTAAAAAAAAAAAAAAACACTATGACCTTATTATTTATTTTTCTTGGAACTTCATCTCGGGAATTCTTTGAGGCCTGGTTTGAAGTTGTTTTCCTACAAAGAGGCTTTGCATTTCCTTGTGCTCACCCAGGAACACTTCAGATTAAACGTCTGGCTTGAGAGTTTTCTGTCTGCGCAGGTAGTGGCACACGCACAGGCGGGCCGTGTGTGGATTCAGTGTGACCTGTGGTGGGACCCGCACTCTGTCGTCACTTGCTGTGTGACTGCAGGCCAAGTCATTCAGTCTCTCTGCCTGGCCCACCATCTGTGAAATAGCAATAATGATACCTGCCACCTAAAGCCATTGGAAGGGTGAAACGGGATGATGTATGTAGGTAAAGTGCTTCCACAAGTTTTCTTTCACACGGTTGGTAGACAGTGAATGTCTTCCTCTTCCCCTGAGAAACCCCTCTTCTGCTCCAGCCCAGGGTCCTGCCCCAGCTTTAGTTCCCTGTCTTTCCTAGGATCTGAGTTGTAACAGGAACCAGGTGCTTTCGACCTCACTCGTGTGGCTCATTCTGCCTTCAGCTTTGAGATGACTGAGCTTCCTAAAGCCTTTGAGAGATGTTTCTGCTCTCAAGTCTTGACCTCGGTCCAGAGTTGTCTTGGGGGTCACTTGGGGCTGGGTAACAAGAATTGTGACATTTCACAGAATTGTCTTCTTCTTCCAGTGCTGCAGGGGTTTTTTGGTTGGTTGGTTACCATTCAAAAAACTTCTTGTGTAACTTTATGGTGGAATATTAGTAACAAGACAGTATAAATGTTTATTATTTTTAGTCATGGGAATATACATGGACAGTAATAAAAGTGTGAAATAAACAGCAAGTTGCGTATTGGCACAAAAACAGTTAAATCCTTTTCTATAACAAGGATTATTTTTAAAATAAATTGCTTTTTGTTTTTAAAACTCTCTTTAGAACTCCAGCTCTGTTGAGAAAAGTGAGGAAAGGGAGCTGAAAGGAAATGTGTCTAAGTGTCAGCAGTGGTTACTTCTTTTTTAAAAAAATTATATTTATTTATATTTGGCTCTGCGGGGTCTTCACTGCCGCGTGGGCTTTCTGTAGTTGTGGCGAGCAGGGAATGTGCCCTTTAGTTGTGGTGGTCAGGCTTCCCCATTGCAGAACAGCGGCTCTAGGGCGCTTGGGCTTCAATAGTTGCAGCTCCTACCCTCTAGAGCAGGCTCAGTAGTTGTAGCCTATTGGCTTAGTTGCTCCATGGCATGTGGGATCTTCCTGGATCAGGAATTGAACCCATGTCCCCTGCATGGGCAGGCAGGTTCTTTACCAGGGAAGCCCCAGCAATGGTCACTTCTAAATGGTGGAATTCTTGAGTAAGTTTTCTCCAAGGGCAGCATGGTACAGAGACAGTGGTCAGAGAGTGACCTTCTGAGTCAGAAAACCTGGCATTAAATTGGTACCTGTGGGGCTTTACACCAATGTCAAGCTTAGTTTCCCCATCTCTTGGGTCGTTTTGAGTCTAAAATGCCTAGTCTGTCATCTGGCACAAGCTGGGTCCGAAAATGGCCACAGTTGTTTTTGTTTTTTGACACAACTACATTTTTTCCAGATTTTTAAAATACTGAACATGTCCTATTTTATAATCAAAGAAAGAGTAAAATTAAGACTTAAACAGCAGCAAAAAAGGCAGTATATGCTTTGCTGACAAAAGGGGTTTTCACCCCCAGGAGGGGTTTGTGCAGTTTCCAGACTCTTCCCTGGTCCAGGAAGGGCCCCAGAGACCTGAATGCTCAGGAGCCACAGCAGTGAGGACTGGGCAGGCTGGGCTGCGAGAGGGTGGACTACAGTCCTGGCTTTCCGCATGCAGAGCTTCTCCCTTCTGTCCTGCCCAGGACGCAACGAGCCCCTGAAGAAGGAGCGGCTGAAGTGGAAGAGCGACTACCCGATGACCGACGGGCAGCTGCGGAGCAAGAGGGATGAGTTCTGGGACACAGCGCCTGCCTTCGAGGGCCGCAAGGAGATCTGGGATGCCCTCAAGGCTGCCGCCTACGCGGCTGAGGCCAACGACCACGAGCTGGCTCAGGCCATCCTGGATGGAGCCAGCATCACCTTGCCCCATGGTCAGTGGACAGGGCGGGGGCTATCTCCACCAGAGCAAGGGGGCTGGTGGTGGAAAAGAGCCAGTGGCCAGCCCCATGTCAGGCACTTCCATGCAGGCTGTGGGTGGCAAGTGTGGCTAGTCATTTGTTCGTTCAAGCAACTGTTACGAGCATAGACCAGGACCGGGACACCTAAAAAATGAGAACACAGTCCCTGCTTGCCTAAGGAGGGTGTGGAAAGACAATAACACACCTCAGGGCAGTGTGATGAGAGCAAGTTAAAGATTACTTGGGGCCCTTTGGGATCCTAGCACACCTCAGGTACCAACCTTCTGTTGAGTATTATTATATGCTGGGCACTGAGCTAGAAGCTTCTACTGCATCATTTCATTTAAGTTCATAACAGCCCCTGAGGCTGTGTAAAGCAGAGAATAACAGTGGAAACTCTGTAGAGTCAGAAACTGGGTTTTAACTGTGTCTCTTTCCTAGCTATGTGACCTTGAGCTTCTCGAATTTAAAGCCCAAGTGACTTAACAGTTATAAAGTGGGGATACCTACCTCACAGGATGGGTGTTAGGATTCAGCAAGATACAGATAACATCATTTAGTCCAGTCGCAGCACGTAGTAGGTGCTTAAGATACAGGAAATACATTACTACATGCAATACATTGTACCAGTAAAAAGGCTGAGGCCCATTAGGTATGAGTCATGAAGAGCAGGGCCTATGCCATTTCATTCATCCTTATAACGCCAATACCTGGCACATGTGCTCAGGAAGGGGTTGTTGAATGAACAAATGAAAAGTAATTTGCTGGGGTTGAATGAGCCAGAACCTGGTGGAGCCAGAGTGTCAGCCCAGCTCTTCCTGACTCTACCTCGGGCCCCCACCAGCTGTACGAGGAAGACCTGACTATAGGGTGGGTTTGAGGACTGTGGGGTGACCATGATGAGTATATTTGTCTGCTATAGCAAAATACTGCAGACTGGGTGGCTCACTAAATAACAGAAATTTAGTCTGAGAAGCCCAGGATCAAAGTGGCAGCTGATTCGGGTTTTGGTGAGAACTGTCTTCCTGGCTTGTAAATGCCACCTGCTCACTCAGACCTCATTGTGGGAGAAGAGAGAGAGAGAGCTTTCTGGTATCTCTTCTCATAAGGGCACTAATCCCCCTGGATCAAGGCTCCACCTCAATGACCTCACTTAACCATACTTGCTCCCATATAGGCCCCTATCTCCAAATACAGTGGTGCCAAGGGTTAGGGCTTCAGTGTATGAACATGACGGAGGGGACACAAGTTAACCCGTATCAGTGGGTCCCCGAGCCAACTCTGACCGCCCTGCCTTTCCCACAGGCACCCTCTGTGAGTGCTACGACGAGCTGGGCAATCGCTACCAACTCCCCATCTACTGCCTGTCGCCGCCCGTGAACCTGCTTCTGGAGCACGCTGAAGAGGAGAGCCTGGAACCCCCCGAGCCCACCCCCAGCGTGCGCCGCGAGTTCCCGCTGAAAGTGCGCCTCTCCACGGGCAAGGACGTGAGGCTCAGCGCCAGCCTGCCCGACACGGTGGGGCAGCTCAAGAGGCAGCTGCACACCCAGGAGGGCATCGAGCCATCCTGGCAGCGATGGTTCTTCTCCGGAAAGCTGCTCACAGACCGCACGCGGCTCCAGGAAACCAAGATCCAGAAAGATTTTGTCATCCAGGTCATCATCAACCAGCCCCCGCCGCCCCAGGACTGAGGAGCCCACGGACCCCTGGGCAGAGAGGCCAGGGAGCGCTCTGCAGGGCCGAGAGACCTCCAACCTGGAGCACTAGGCGCCCCCCACCCTGCCGCTGCCTTTGAGAGCTGTCCTTTTCTGCAGGGGCACCTCTCGTGTACGGCTGCTGGGCAAGCCCTGAGAGGACCCTGCTTCCCGGGGACACCATGGGCCACCAGTGCTCAGCACCCAGGAAACAGTGTGCTGCCACACACCGGCCTTGCCAGCTTGGTCAGAGAAAAGGCAACCAGGGCCCCCCACCCGGTCTCTCTCCTGAGGCCGGTTCAAGCCACGAGGGCCAGCCCGGAGGTCCCTGGAGCCCAGATCTGTCCTCTGGTGCTGATGGCTGTGCTCACTCCGGTTTTCTGCTCAGGGTCTGAAGCAGCTGCTGTCTCCCTCCCCTGACTTTTCCCTGGGGTACAGAGCCAGTGCCCTGGAGGGGAGGGGACCACGCGTGGGCCCCAGGGGCCAGGAGCCTGAGGCTGGCCTCTGCCTCTCCCAGCCCCCGGCACAGTTGGCAGAGAGGAGGCAGTGGCTGGGCAGTGGTGGCCGGGGGTCTGCACAGGGCCATCTCCTGGCTGTAACCCTGGTGGTGGGGGGTCCGCAGCCTGGCCATGGCCCCACGGCAGGTCCCTGTGTACAGACATATCTGCATATTTATCAATAAAGCCTTTTGCTCCTTCCTTCTTGCTTGCCTGGCTTTGACTCTGGGTTCTCCTGCGGCTCCGTGGAGCCTGGAGCCAGTTCAGAGGGGTGGAGCAAGTGGGTGTACAGCCTACCAGCACCTCTGGGCACCGCAGAGAATATGGTGAAGAAAGCCACGAACTGCTGGTATTCAGGCCTGTGTTCTCGTGGGTCCTCAGGAAAACCCACTTAACCTCTGAGCCCACTTTGATTATCTTTCGAGTGGAGATGGTGCCACCTGCCCTGCGCCCTCCCTCCCTCCGTTGCTGGCAGGACTCCGTGGGGTGAAGGACGTGAACTCGCTTTGAAAGCCAAGGTGGCACCTTGGGCAGCATTAGTTACCTGCTGCTCTGCCCCTGCAGCTCAAGGGTGCTGGCTTCCCTCTCCAGTCCCTGAGCCAGATCCTTGGGACTGGGGGATGTGCAGTGTCATGGAGCTAGTACCCTCAGTGACATTCCAGTGAAATCTCTGACACATTCCGATGATGAGCCTGTGTTGGCTTGCCACCAAGAGAAGCAGAGGGCAGAAGGAGCCGGGTCTTGTGCTCCCTTAAGGGAGAGCATGCAGGTAAGCAGAGAGGGGCGTCTTAGATAAGGTTGTTTGGCTTAGGGCAAGCCACGTGAGTGTCATGGAAGCACAGGGCTGTGGCGTCTTTGGTTCACTGGCAGGTTAAACCTGGGTTGTGATGACCCAGGGCTTGCTCCCACAGATCCAGGTGTGGGACTCAGCAAAGCAGGTCTGCTCTTTCTCCAGTTGGGAGTAGTTTTCTTTCTCAGTGAGCATGACCACCGGTCAGGGTGGCCTGACAGGGAAACCAGGGAGGGAAGGATGATCAGCCGGAGCTGGTGTCCTTGTCAGCAGGGCTTGGCTCTGCCTTTTGGTGGCTTCTTTTGAAGCAAGACTCTAAGTCCCCCAGAGGTCCCCTGAGACAGACAGACGGGTGAGGTTTGCCAGGGACTCATGGGTTTCCCAGGCGGCACAGTGGTGAAGAATCCGCCTACCAATGCAGGAGACACAAAAGTTGCAGGTTCGATCCCTGTGTCAGGAAGATCCCCTGGAGAAGGAAATGGCACCCCACTCCAGTATTCTTGCTGCGAAAATTTCACAGACAAAGGAACCTGGCTCCATCCTTCCCCCTGTGCCCTGAGGCTGCCCGGGGTGAAGGTGACAGGTGGGGGAGGCAGGTGGAGAATTGGGCCAGTGAGCTCATGGCAAAAGCGCCTAGCGGGGCGGGGGTGGGGGCCCTGGCATATAAAGCCCCCGGGGCCTGCCGAGGCGGGTTGCGACGGCACCATGGCGGACTCTGAGGAAGTGCAGCGGGCCACGGCACTTATTGAGGAGCGGCTGGCACAGGAGGAGGAGAATGAGGTAGGGCTGGGGTGGGGGCCCAAGGGGGTTCTGGGGATACCCAGCTTTGCTGTCAAGGGAAGGCAGAACCCGGCTGCCACACCTGGCAGGAAGGAAGACGGGTGTCCTCAAGAGCCCAGTTGGTGCTATTCCAGGGTGCTCCTGAGAGGGGGCTGTTGGTCATGGGATATGAAGGCCTTAGCCCCCAGATCTTGAGAGACAAGAGGCGAGCCAAGCTGGGTCCCCGAGACCCTGTCTGCTCACTTGGGCCTTGAGAAGATGGGCTAAGGTATACAGCAGGACAGCCAGGATGTGGCCTGGGATTGCAGGGCCCCGAGATCCCCCTGCTGCTGGGTGGGAGGCTGGGACAAAAGAAACTCCAGTGTTTGTTCCCTGAAGAAGGATAAAGACTGGGAGCAGAGTGAGGAAGGGATGCTGGCAAAGGAAACATGGGTTTTCTAGGACCATCAGCCACACCAGGGGAGGCCTCTGAGCACAGGGCTCTGGACAGTTGTATCTTCTGTGGAATAAAGAAGCAAGGGAGGAGGGTGTGGTCTGGTCCCTCTGTTCATTTGATGGAAACGAATACTTGACCTGGAGTTTCTCTGCCAAATGCCTGATGCTGGGAGGAATGAGGGGCTCAGTAAGGTCAGCCCCTGCCTCTCCCTTACCAACCCTGTGTTCATTTTAGCTGACATTTGTCAGGCGCACAGTCAACCCAGAAACAAGGCAGAGTGGAGAGAGGGTGAGGCGTAACTCAGAATGAAAGCACAAAACGTGGGTGATCATGTCACCCATGGACCCTCTCGAGGACTTCTCTGTGGACAGGAGGGCACTGAGTCAGGTCTTCAAGGATGGCGAGTGGTGATCAGGATGGGGAGGGTATTCCAGACTAAGGAAATGGCAGGTGCTAATTTCCAGGTGTGGAAATGTGACTGTCAGAAGAGAGTCTAGCAGTAGGGACTGAGGCTGGGAAGGCAGGCAGGGCACAAACCAGTGGGCAAGGGCCACATGAAAGATACTCTGTGGCAGTGGGAAGCCACTGCATGTTGGGGGAGGCACAATGGTGCCATCTGACCTGTTTTAGGAAGGCATCTCTGATGGCCCTGAGAAGAACTGGGAGGGGGAGAGACTCGCCCTAGCAGGAATGGGAGGGAGGAGTTAAATTCGTTTAGAGATTGTGTGTGTGTGTGTGTGTGTGTGTGTGTGCGCGCGCGCGCTCAGCCAATCATGTCTGACTCTGAGACCCCATGGACTGTAGCCCACCAGGCTCCTCTGTCCAGGGAATTTCCCAGGCAGGAATGCTGGAGTGGGTTGCCATTTCCTCCTCCAGGGGATCTTCCCAAGCCAGGAATTGAACCTGGGTCTCCAGCGTCTCCTACAGACTTCATTCATAAAACGAAAAGTGAATGGGAGTGAAGAAGAGGGGAGGGTCAGGACTCCGGTGGAAGAAGACAAGAGGCCTAGGGAAAGGAGGGCAGGTTTGTCTCGGAAGAGCTTGGACTGAGCCCATTGAGTCCCAGTCGGGGCATCCCTGGATCTCCAGGAATGCTATTTCTCACCCCCCGAAGGGCATGAGCACCAGGGCCAGGCAGGTGAGTCATGCTGCTGGCCCATTTCTGGAATGCTGCCACTGGACACAGAGATCTTCAGCAAGAGGACAGGGAGCAGTCCTCATCCATTCATTCATCCAACAAATATAGCGGCAAGACTGTCAGGACCCTGTGTGCCCACAGAGCCAGGCTCGCAACCAATGCCTCCTTCGTGCCAGGCACTGTGCTACAAGTGGACAGGCATTCTCTCATTTCATCTATGCGACCGTCTATGAAGTAAAGTGGAAGTTTTGTTGTGTTGCGTTTCATCAACAAACACCCAATTCAGGAAACATTTCTTGAGCACCTGCTGCATGCCAGTCCACAGAGACAAATCCGAAGCAAGGGGCTATGGAGTCTGAGTAAGGCATGGGTGAGCAGTAGAGACCCAGTTGTCCCCTCCAGGCCCCAGCCCAGCAGCATTCTTAGAGCAGAGCCTCATGTCCAGCCTGCACCCCTTTCTTGGGGTGGGTGGGGAAGGAGGACCTCGGAGACCAGCCCAGGGACTGGGGCTTTTCGGTGGGGGCTTTACTGGGCTAGGTCATCACTGAAGATTTGGAGCTGTGCAGAGCTGCTGAGCCTGCCTGCCATCATCCATGAACTCAATCATTCATTTACTCTCCCAAAACTTGCTGAGCACCTACTATGTGCTAGTCTCTGTCACAGGTGCTGGGGTTGCCAAGATGATTACGACCAACCCATCCTCTAGATGCTCCAGTGGCCAGCCAAGATCCCACATGCAGTAGTAGCTGAAGCCCTAGGCGATCCCTTGTCCCCTGGTAAAGATGCAATGTTTCAGGTTAGGCCAGCCCTGGGGCGACCTCAAACCATGTAAACTTCATATGGAAGGGAGGCGCCAGTGGACCACAGAACATCTGAAAAAAAGACCTGGAAAATCAGCCCTCAAATGACCCTTGACGAGTACAACCCTTGGAGTGCAAAAGGCAGCTGAGAACTTTGGAAGAGGGAGTCATTCCTCCCCATTGCCATCTGGACTCAGCCCCCTCCAGTCTGAGTGAATATCCTGGCAAGGGGCAGACTTCAGAGATGGGGGGCCGCACTTGGCAAAGTGTTTTCCTTTAGAAGAGAGGAGGTGGCGACAAGGAAGTATTCCAGGCAAGTTGGAGCTACAAGTTGGGAGGAGACCTTGCCAGAGTCTCCCCCCTGTATTATTACAATGAGAAGGTTAACAACTGGGGCTTCCCTGGTGGCTCAGATGGTAAAGAATCCGCCTGCAATGCAGGAGACTGGAGTTTGATCCCTGGGTCAGGAAGATCCCCTAGAGAAGGGAATGGCAATCCACTCCAGAATTCTTGCCTGGAGAATCCCATGGACAGAGGAGCCTGGCAGGCTACAGTCCACGGGGTCACAAAGAGTAGGACATGACTGAGCGACTAACCCACACCCGAGGTTAATACTTAGAGTTCACTTCAAGCTGAGAGCTGGAGAGCTGCAGGTCCCACCCCTCAGATTCCTTGAGAGCAATAGTTTCCATGCCCTAGGATTTCACAGATCAGTAAAATCTGAGGGAAAAAAGTTGGTAACTGACTGAGTTCCCAAAATTTTATATTGTCAAGTAAGCCCATTAAAAAATATTTATCATTTTATCACAATTATTTTATCAAAGTGAATTTTAAATGCCCCTAAACCTAACCCCCCAAAAGACCTCAGTGCTTATAAAAATTGAATATATTTAATTTCATGAAAATTCATTATGCTAACCCTTAATCCTATTTTGCTGGAGACCCAGGGCTGTCAATAGGCAGGTGTTTGAACTGGAGTTGGGGTTGAGGCTGAGTTGGGGAGCCCAGCTCTGAGGTGGGGAGTGCAGCTCTGACCTGGGCCTCTCCTGGACCAGACAGGAGTGGAGCAGGTGAAGGGCTGTGAGGTCACAGAGGAGGAAGACTTTTGGGGGTGTCCTTGAATTAGTTGTGGGGGAGGCTGTCAGGTCCCCTAGGCATAGCAGGCAGATCCCGGAACCTGTCTTCTCCCTGGTTGCCCAGAAACTCCGAGGAACCACCCATCAGAAGTTGCCCATGGAGATGCTGGTGTTGGAGGATGAGAAGCACCACAGGCCTGAGAGTCCGTCCTTACAAAAGGTTAAGGTAAGTGCTAGGAGAAGCCAGTATCCACCCTCAGCACACAGGCCAGGCAGTTACAGTCTTGCTCCTCCTAGTATAGTCCATGAGCCTGCAGCTCAGCACCGCTGGGAGCTGTGAGCGATGCAGCCTCCTGACCCCACCCCACACTTGTGAAGGGGAATATGCCACCCCCAAATATACCACTTTGGCATAATGATTATTTTAAATGAAAGTCATTTGGGAAAAAGCCAGTGCAAGAAGAATACACGGACCCTCCTTTGCTTCCCAGAAAGTAGGAGATAAATCTCCCATGTGAAGTTAGCCTCCCTCTATCAGGAAAGTAGAGAGCTTCCTTATCACCAAATATCGGGAATTCAGGGTTGAGAAGGCTGTATAAACAAACCTTGTTGTTTCTTCACTAATTAGCTCCTCCAAATCCAAACTCCTTTGGCTTTTCAGTGCTTCACGAATTTATTGTTTCCTTGTCTAAAAGGTATAAAAGCTGCCTGCTTCATCAGTTCTTCGAGTCTCATATTTTTATGGACTACCATACACATGAAATTAAATTTGTTTCTCCTATTAATTAGTCTTACATCAATTTAATTATTAGACCAGCCGAAGAACTTAGAAGTGAAGAAGGGCGGGTGGGGGAGGGTGGTGGGGGGTAAAAGTTTTCCTCCGCACACCTTCTGAGTCAGAATCTGCAGGGGTCTAAGATCCCAGGGGACTCATTTTGGAAGCGGCCGTGATGGGGCAGCCATACAACGGGGCGTGATGCCGGTGGTAATGGGATGTGGGGAGGCGGCTGTGTGTGCTGACAGGAGAGATCTTCATGCTGGTCAGAGAAAAGCAGTTTCCAGAACACGACGTGGGGGATGATCCCCTCTGAAAGGGCATCAACAGAGCTGTGATAGAGGTTTCCTCTGGGAGAGAAGAGCTTTCATGTTTTTGCATTATTTTTATGAAGGGAGAGAGGGATGGAGGGAGGGAGAGAGGCGGAGAATTGCACGGAAAAAAGAGAATCAGGAGCTGGTTCTGGAGACCCGGGCTAAGAACTGCCCTTGAGATTGCCTCATCACCCCGCCTCACATGTGGAGCCTTGAAACTGGGCAACTCCCAGGCAGCCCCCTCAGGCCTGCCTGGTCCCCCGATCTGAGGTATCTGTGTCAGTTTCATTGGCTTCACCTAGTCCTGGGCGGCAGAGTTAGACCTGGATTCTTTCTGCCTTGAGAGGAGTTCCCTGTCCTCCACCTCCGGCTCAGCTCAGAGGTCCCCAAGCCCCACACTCCGCGCCCAAGTGCGGGGTTGATGGGCTTTCCCCACGCAGGGCCAAGAGCGTGTGCGGAAGACATCTCTAGACCTGCGGAGGGAGATCATAGACGTGGGCGGCATCCAGAACCTCATCCAGCTGCGGAAAAAACGCAAGCAGAAGAAGCGGGAAGCCCTGGCCGCCTCCCAGGAGCCACCTCCGGAGCCGGAGGAGATCGTAAGCATTCTAGGGAGGACGCCTGTGTGGGCAGGGGGAGCCGGGGGAGGGGAGGATGGTGCAGATCACCTCGGGGCGGCCCCCCAAGACTGCATTCTTGCCCTCCAGACGGGCCCTGTGGATGAGGAGACATTCCTGAAAGCTGCGGTGGAGGGGAAGATGAAGGTCATCGAGAAGTTCCTGGCGGATGGGGGTTCCCCTGACACCTGCGATCAGGTGATGGTCTTTCCGGGCCCTGTACCTGTTCCAGCCTCCTCTTAGAGCTGTGCCTTGTGAATTGAGAACAGGCATCGGTTGAGAACAGGCCCCCTTTGAGAGGGGGCCCCTCAGAAGATTTGGGATGCCCCCTTCCCTTCCCCACACAGGTCTCTAGGGAGACCCTTTCCAGCTGGTGGTGGAGAACCACCACCAGAGTAATACATAACTGGATATTTAGGAGGGAAAGAGGATGGAATCAAATACAGAGTCGAAGACCAGAAGAACTGGGCTGGAATCCCACCTGCACCATGCCTTGTGGTTCAGCTTGTGTGCTTGGGGGCCAGTGAGAAGGTACCCAGTGCATAGGAGGCCTCCAAGGCTGGTCCCCACAGAGCATGAAGGAGCTGGAAGAATGTGGACTATATGGGGATCCAGCACAGGGGTCAGAATTAGGCTGGGATAAGCCCTGGTCTCAATCCGGGTAGATGATGGGGTCAGGCTGGGGCCCTGACTGTTTCTCTGGGGACAGTTCCGCCGGACTGCCCTGCACCGAGCTTCCCTGGAGGGCCACATGGAGATCCTCGAGAAGCTTCTGGAGAGTGGGGCCACTGTGGATTTCCAGGACCGGGTGAGCAAGAGGGCAGGTGTTGGGTGAGGGGCAGGAGGTGGGTCCAGCACTAATAGACTCCCTGTCCCTGCAGACCTCCCACCTGGGATATAAACAAACTGCCTCCGGGGCCAGGCCCCACCGCTAGTGTGATGTGTGAACTTTTGTGGGCACCACCTCCTCCCCAAGCCTTGTCTGTAAATCTGGCTTGGACTAATGGACCCCACGGGTTCTCTGGCTCCACTCCACCCACTGCCCAGCCACTGGAGTGTCACTGTTCTTCCTTGAACCCTTCCCCTGGATATCTCCCTGCCCTCTTGGCTGGGGTCATTTCCCCAAGGGCACACTCTTCCTTGAAGCTCTGCAATGAGGCTCCACTCTTCCTTCCTAGCTGGACTGCACAGCCATGCACTGGGCCTGTCGTGGGGGCCACTTGGAGGTGGTAAGACTCCTACAGAGCCGAGGAGCAGACACCAATGTGAGGGACAAGGTGAGGCAATAATGCTCATAGATGTTGGGGTGGCAGAGTGGAGGGGAAGGAAGCAGAGGGCAGAAAAGCAGAAAGCAGGTGGCTACTGAGCTAGCCTGGTTTCTGGGGTGCCTCAGAGCCCACGGATAGGTCTTGCCATCAGTGTCAGATCGTTGGAGACTACCATCTGGGAATGGAAGCAGGAAGAGCAGAGGAAATCCACTATCTTGATGACTTTGGGACCATCCACAAAATGCAGGATTTGTTCACCCATGCAATCCTTCATTATCCTTCTATTTGTCTATCCATCCATCCATCCCTCCATTGATTCATTCATCTGTTCACTTTTTTATCCATTCACCATTTTGAATTCACTTAATCCTTTGTATGTAACCTTGAACAGGTGATGGCCTCTGAGCCTCTGATGCTCATCTATGAAACATCTTTGCAGAGTTCTTATATGTATTGGATGGGGAAATGTATGTCAAGTAATTATTTATTTAACATAAGACTGATGTTTTGTAAGCTTTTGCTGTGTACATCACATAGTCATCTCTTGATAAATGGCATCTATTATAATTATTTTTAAAGGGCAGAGGAGTGAGCAGTTGCTCACATCTGAGTGAGAGGGGAATCATAGCAGGCATCCCAGAGGAGGTGGCAGGTAATGCCTTAAGGTTAGATCATCAGATAGGATGATGGGAAATTAGAGTTCCCTCCCCTTCCTTGGGAGAAGCCTGGAGTTGACAGCCCCTCCACCCTCAGAGGCACCAGAGCCCAGGTCCCTTCAGCCAGCATTTTCTGCTTCCTCCCACCCAGCTGCTGAGCACCCCTCTGCATGTGGCAGTCCGGACAGGGCAGGTGGAGATCGTGGAGCACTTTCTATCCCTGGGCCTGGACATCAATGCCAAAGACAGAGTGAGTGTCTGGGTTCCCTCCTGCCCAGCTCTGCTGCAGGGGCCTCCCTGTGTCCCCTGAGGGCTCCCACATGCTCCCGAGGACCATGCTGAGTGTCACACTGGTTCTAGGAAGGGGACAGCGCCCTGCATGATGCTGTGAGGCTCAATCGCTACAAAATCATCAAATTGCTGCTCCTGCATGGGGCTGACATGATGAGCAAGAACCTGGTAAGTTCCCTCCTTCCCTGATTCAGTAAACAGGGTGCACTGGTCTCCCAGGCCCTGTGCCAGGCACTTGGAGGAAAGACAGAACTGAGCAAGACTTGGCTGGCCTGCTTTCGGGACACTGTCACAGTGGAGGGCTTCTCTGGGCCCCTGGGGATTGGGGTCCACCCAGCTTCCCAACTCTCTATGCTTTTCTGCATCCAGAAAATCTAAGTGCATAAAACAGCCAGGAGGGTAAGAGGCCCTCCCAAAGGCCCCCAGATAGAACACAGGGGGTCCTAAAGTCCAGGCTCAGGGAGGCCAGAGTTGTGGAGAAACAGAGCTGAAAGGAAGCTAAGCACTTGGTACAATCATTCCTAGCACCCTGTATTGGCTCCTGTGGCCCCCTAGTTTCTTTAGGATCCTATGTCCCCTCATCCGAGGTCTTCTCTGGGGCCTAGAGCAATCACAAAAGGGAGGAGAATTGAGTAAGGGGGCACTGTGACTCAAGAAAGGCTGGTAGGAGAGGGGCAGTGCAACATAAGGGTAGGAGATTAAGAGGTACCAACTATTATGTATAAAATAAGCTACAAGGATATTGTAAAACACAGGGAATATAACCAATATTTTATAATAATTATAAGTGGGGTATAACCTTTAAAATTGTGAATCACAATATTGTACACCTGTAACTTATGTAATATTTTACATCAACTATACTTCATTTTTTTTAAAAAAATAAGCTAGCTGTATGAAAGAAAAGAGGAAGGTTGAGGGGGTAGCGGGAAAATCAGGAAGATGAGAGGACGGTGTAAATGAGGACTTAACCTGGGCATTACTCACATTTTGAAATGAAAATTTTCTGTGGTGGAGGGAGTCCTGCATATTATAGAATGTTTGAGCAGCATCCCTGGCCTCTACTCAAGATGCCAGAAGTACCCCCGACCCCCAAGTTGTCATAACCAAAGATGCCTCCAGACATTGTCAGTTGCTCCCAGCTGGAGGCCACTGGTATAGGTGAGGCACCTTCTGGGACAGACTTCTCAACAGTGACCAGATTTCCTGTTGGTTCCCCCAGGCCGGAAAGACCCCCACAGACCTGGTGCAACTGTGGCAAGCCGACACCCGGCATGCTCTGGAGAACCCTGAGCCGGGGTCAGAGCAGAATGGACTGGAGGAGTCTGCTGAGAGTGGGCGGGAGACCCCCCAGCCTGTGGCAGCCGAGTAAACGCCTGTCCTGGCCTACCAGGCGCCTGGCCGGTCCCCTGCGTACAGCCCGAGGGTCATAAGAATGGCCCGCAGAGCTGAGGATGCCATTCCTCTTGCATACACCCCAGGAGCACCCACAAGCTACTGCAATAAAAAAAAAAAGTCATTTTTGCTATGTGTGATATTTGTTCTATTTGTGCCTGAAATATTTAGGAATGAAGGAAGACTGGGAGCAAGGATGGGCGCATGTGAGAGGGGAACTTGGGAGCCTTTCCGCCCTCCCTGAGCCAGCTCTGCTAGTTTTCCTACCCGAGGCCTCTCCTTGCCGCTTCCCTCTTACCCCACTTCCTAAGACCCAGCGTGGATCAGCTTCGCAATGCACTCTTCCTGGGGCCCCTCCTGGTGACAGCTTTCCAGTGGGGTGGTGTATGCCCAGCGCAAGCTGTCACGTGGCAGGCTCAGGAGGAGCTTGGCAGGGGAGCGGGGCAGTCAAGGGGCAGCACATCCCAGGCAGCTTCTCACCCCGCTGGCGGCACCTCCCACAGGGCCGGGCCTGCTCAGCCAGTCAGCTCGGCCAACCTCGCAACTGCCAAGCAGAAGACAGGAAGCCAGCCTGGCTCCTGGCTTTGGGGCTGGGAACTGTGGGAGGAGGGCCCAAGCCCCACTGGAGGCAACCTTTAGTGTCAAGACCCCAGGAACCAATCCTCTGTCTGGCCAGAGGGACACAGGCTTGTGGCATTTCTCCAGAGGCTCTCTAGGGGGAGGGAGGACCTCCCTGGAACCATAGGCCTAGCCTCTGGCCCTGGTAACACCCAGCCTGGGCCCGCCTGAGGGCCAACAAGTCAGGGCAGGGGGCAGCAAATTTTTAACTCGGAACGTTGATCATTAACGGGGGTAGGAAAGAGTCCAAACTCAGCATTCCTTGAGGGCAGAGACCAGCTCGATCTCGAGCCTCCTGTGGAGATGCTGGTCCCCCGAGTTTGGTCCTCTGTGAGGCCGGGGGTGAGCAAGGTCTTGTCCAGGACCTTGGGGGGCTGGCCCTCAGGGGAAGGGAGGAGGATGGACCTCTCGGGCATCTACCCACCTGTGACCACCCCTTTCACTGCCACGGCCGAGGTGGACTATGGGAAACTGCAGGAGAATCTGCACAAACTGGGCACCTTTCCCTTCCGAGGTAAGTGGGGTCCGTCCACTGGGGGAGTTGGAGGGGTGTGAATGACCCTGGTCTCCTCAGCCAGTGACCAGAGGAGGGTACACAGGCTCTGTGGAGCTGTTCATGGACAGTCGGGTACGCTGGGGGTCATTCCATTACAGGAGAGGAGCAGGGGACACTGGTCTGGGGTCAGGAGGCAGAGAGGAAGCTAACTGCTGGCCTGTGATCTTGGAATAAAATTCATCTCCCCCAAAGCCCTGTCAGCACCCTCTTCTGGGCAAAGCCTCCTTTGGCCAGATTAATTCCTGTTCTGCACCCTCTGACTCGTTTCCCCCTTTACACAGGGGCCTCCCCTCTCTGAGATCAGGGACAGATCATATTTGTGACACTCAACATGCAACACAGCCACAGGCACAATAAATGAAGATAGAAGGGGCAAGTCCCGCCCATCATCCCACCCCACCCACCCTCATCCTGCACCCATGGCAGCTCACAGACGGGAAGCTGGAGCTCACACTGATGAGATCACTCGCCCAAGGTCACTCCAGCTAATAAATGGCTGAGGTGGGATTTGAACTCAGGTCAGGCTGCACAGTCACATTCGGCTTATTCCACTGCTGACTGATGAATTCCCCCCACTAGACCAGATTCCAGCAAATGGACCCTGGTCAGCCCCAACTTCCCAGGTCTTTCCAGGTGGCGCTAGTGGTGAAGAACCTGCCTGCCAATGCAGGAGATATAAGAGACACAGGTTCGATCCCCTGGAGGAGGGCCTGGCAATCCACTCCAATATTCTTGCTTGGAGGATCCCATGGACAGAGGAGCCTAGCTGGCTACAGTCCATGGAGTTACAAAGAGTTGGACACAACTAAAGTGACTTAGCACACCCAGCACCAACTTGGGAATGGAGTGGTTTTGACCAGGGTGATGCAGTGGAGCTGTTTGGAACAAGGACTCTGGATTCAAACCACAGCTCAACCACTGATTTAGCTGCAAGATAAATCTCTCCAGACCTCAGTTGCCCCATCTGACACATGGGAGTAATAATAGCCACATCATAGGAGGGTTGGGAGAAAAATCTGAGAGAATGCAAGTGAGAGCATTCTGTAAACTGTGGAGGGAGATATACATTAGCAGGTATGGACTCCAATGATGGCGCTGATTAGAATAACAGTATGATCACCACCGTGGGCAGAGACACATTGTGACAGCACCCGCTGGCCTATTGGAGACTCCTTTCATATCTCTGTGCTCAGGCGATGTGACCCTTCCCTAGGACACAGTGAGTGCCCTGTGGATGCCCACATTGAGCAGCGACACAAAGGATATTTCTGTTGGGGCCCAGCTCACTGGAGCCTGAAGGTTTGAGCTGAGGCCTGATTCTCTTGAGGCAAAGTAAGAAGCTCCTTGAATCTCTGAGAGAAGACTGGGCCTCAACTCCCAGGTTCAAGGACACTCTAGTGCAGGGGGCGGGGAGGGTGGACTTTGATTTGGGGTCTGCGTGCACCCCAGACTCTTCTCTTCACTCTTCCTTCCCCTCCCCTACCCCACTCACTGCTGCAGGGGGGTACTGGGGTGCCTGGGAGCATGGCTGCCGTGACTTTGGCAGACTAGCCCCTGGTCTGTTTCCCATACAACCTATGCAGGCATCAGCTCCCACCTCAGCTCTCTCTTACCCCCACACATGTGGGAGCAGGGCGCTGTGTGGAAGAGGCCAACATCCAGGGTTAGAAGACTTGTAGGAGTATGTTTCTGCCTGTTATAACGACCTTGGAAAAATCACTGAAACTCTCTAATCCGGTTTCCTCATTTTAGAATGAGAACTGTGCCACAGCGTTCAATGCAGTTCTCCTAAGGAGCCCAAACCTGAGGCCCTGGCAGAGAGAACATCGGGCTATATGGCCCTGTCCCAGCTCCCAGGATGCAGTCAGAATGCCTGGGAAAGGGGCAATGAGCCACTTTAGCTCGAAAATCTGTCTCTCTCATGCCGGATCTTTGCCTCTTTTTGCAGCCCAGGTTTCAGGGGCAGGGGAGGGAACCATTACTCATCCCATTGCCAGGGTGTCCTGCAATGAATTAAAGGTCCTCCAAAGAGGAGATGATCAATAGGCTGCCTGGGTGGCTTAGATGGTAAAGAATCTGCCTGCAGTGCTGGAGACCTGGCTTTGATCCCAGAGTCGGGAAGATCCCCTGGAGAAGGAAATGGCAACCCACTCCAGTATTCTTGCCTGGAGAATCCCATGGACAGAGGAGTATGGCAGGATACAGTCCATGGGGTCACAAAGAGTTGGTCATGACTGAGCAAATATAGATAAAACAAAAAAAAAATAAAGAGATGGGAACCTGTCTTTGAGGAATCAGTGAACAGTTAATAGATTCTTCTGGAAGACATTGCCTAAAACTTTATTATTTATCTAGCATTGTTAATTTATATTAATTATTTGAATAAAGACTTCATTTAAATAAAACTTGTAACCAAAGAACAAAGGGAGGGGTTTTTGCAGAAGGGCCGATTGTCCCTGAACTCACACCCACGAACAACCTCAAAGATGAACTTTGAATTGTTATTTCCAAATGAGGTTAGTGGACTACCCCAGAACTACTCCAGCAGGAGCAGAGAGATGATGTTTCCCATAAAACTTGAAGCTTCTGTCTTATTTCCTTATTATGTAGGCAAGACCATGGATTCTTGTGATAATGTGTCATATTAATATTTTGTGTATATTGAAGCCATTCGTTTGTTAGATAAAATATTGTTTAAAATATCACAATTTTTATAACTGTATTTTGGCATTAAAAAAAAAATGTGTTTTATGCCTCTGGGAGTGACCCAGGTCTGTCTCTACCCTGAGAGGCCCTGGGTATAACTTGGGATTGAGGGCCAGACTCGGTTGTCTGTAACTACAAGAGCCTGGCTAACCAGCCCACCCACTCATCACCTGAGCTGTGCTCATTTACAGGGGAGTCAGGAGGAGGGGCAAAGTCTGGGTTTGCAAGGGTATCACTAAGGCAAGAGGTAGCAGCCCCCCATCCTGAAAGAGCCCCAGGAATCTGGGGCTGGGTGAAATCGCCTATTCTATTTCCTGCGTTCTCAGCCCAATTGTGACCTCATGTTACTTCAGAATGAGCCCCTCCCTTTTTCTTCTGGGCCCTCTCTGTAATGGGGCTGGTGGCTGCAAGTGGAGATGGAATGCTCTGAGCTGACAGAGCGGGTAGGCCCTGCCCGGGGGGAGACACGAGGCTTAGGCAACAAGGAATGGATGCCAGCCCAGTCAAGAAGGCCCTTCAACCATGGCCAGCTTGACCCAGCAGCCTCTGTCCCCTTGAAGACGAAGAGAAACCAAAGACTGAAGGATAAGAAGGCCTGGTTTGCAGAATAGATCCCAAGCAGGAGGCAGAGGGGACTCAGAATTGGGGAAGCTGCTCTTTCACTGACCTCAGGAACAGCTGTCAGGGTGGGACAAAAGTTCGGGGCCTCGGGCCGTTCCTGTCAGGTTGGACAGAAAGGATTGTGTGGTCTCTCCCCACCCCGCCCCTCAACCGCCTTCCTCACAATGAGGCTCATTGCTGAGGTGGGAGGGGCATCCTAGGGAGGGTGCAGTGGGGGGCCTGCCTGCCAGACACCCTCAGAGAGCCTGTCCTTTCAAGCATGAACCAGACCACCTGGGCTCCCCCACTCCCAGTGTGCCCTTAGCTCTGCCCGCCTGGCGTGGGGTCCTGGAGCCCTTCTTGGAGCTCATCCAGCAACCATCATGCAGGGTGGTGCTGGGGACCGCCCTGTTACTGGGAGGTGGAGGCCTCGTGCTGTGGATGCAGAGGAAGAGGAAAAGGAGGACAGATTCTGAGACCACACCAGAGGTGCAGGAGCCAACCGAGAGCGAACACTCGAAGAATGAGAGTTGGATCAAATCGCACTTTAGCCGTCTTTCCGAAGAGAAGCTGGCCGCCAGCAACACTGCCTGCCTCAACACCGCCGGGCCCAGCAGCTCGGCCGCTGCTCCGCAGCCCAACAGCGGCGGCGGGGAGGCCAGCACCACGATTCGAGTGGAGACCTTCAGCACGCAGCAAGGAGACGAGGGCATGGCCCTTCACCGGGAGTCCTTCACCAGCAAGCAGAGAATGTCTGGGACTTCCGTGACCAAAGAGACTCACAAGGAGTCTGGGAAGTCCTCGTCCGTGGAGGAGGCCACGTGGGCCGCTGTGGCCGCCTGTACCAAGGAGATTGACACCAAGGGGCAGCAGCTGGCTAACTCCATGTTGCAACGGGCCACGGCCTGCCAGAACTCGGGCCACCTGGAGACCAAGGACATCAACCAGGAGGAGCTGAAGGCCCTCGAGGAGGTGGAGATAAAGCTGAAGGGGAATTTCCTCGCCCAGCGGGAATCCATCGCAGCTGGTGCCAACCATGCACATACCTACCACAGCCACTGCCACCACGGCCACCAGGGTTACCCGAACCACCAGTCCCACAGTCTGCCCAGCCGCAGCCCGCAGGCCTTCCACCCCTTTAAGGCCACCTGACCACAGGTGGAGATGCCCATTCCCCCCGCAGGGCTGGCTCACAAACACAGGCATCCTGTGTGGCCCACCTCTCTGATGGGCCAACTGATGTGGCCCAGAGAAGATGCTGCTGCCCAAGTCCCTTCTTCCTCAGGCCCCCCACAAGGGGTTCCGGGCCCCTTCAGCTCTCCATGAGTGGGGTCTGCCCCTGATGGCCCCTGATGAGGGAGAACTGGGGTAGCAGAGGCAGACTCACAGGCCCCTGGAGAACCCCCGAGAGAAGATGGGAGAGGCAGATCCCAGGAGCAGCCGAGAGCAACACACCGATGCCAAATGCCTGAGCTGAGCCAATAAAGCCTTGCATGCCCTTACTCTTGAGTCTGGAGACTCTGTGGCCAGCCCCGGGTCTGGGCGGGCCTCTGGGGAGAGTGTTCCTCCTCCCAAGTCCTCCTCTGGTAGGCTGGTTCAAGGATCCCTAAATTAGCTTCTGGGGTCTGAGGTTCTGGGCATGGAAACTCTCCACAGGGCTCAGCCCCCACTAACCTGCTGCTGCCAAAGGAGGAGGAAGCAGCCAGGAGCTGGGAGGTGTGCGGAAGTAAGGTGCGGGTTGGAAGTAAGTAGGGGTGGGATGTGGGGCTACAGTCCTCTTGGTGCTGCTCCCACCCTGTGCTGCTCCCATGATGCTGCTCTCTCCCCACCCCCACTGGGATCTTGGTGGTGCCTCCCCACCAGCTACCTTCAGAGCCACGGTATTGGGCTATGTACTCTCCTTCCTGGTTTATGCTGCTATTGCTGGGGCTGGGGCTGCCACTGCTGCTTTAGTACTGAGTAGCAGCATTACTCCTCATACTACAATAGCTCCCCCTGCCTTTTAAAAAAAAGTTAATATTTATTTATTTAGGCTGTGCCAGGTCTAGGTTGCAGTATGTGGGATCTTTAGTTGTGGCTTCCGGGATATAGTTTCCTGATCAGGAATCGAACCTGGGCCCCCTGTATTAGGAGTGTGGAGTCTTAGCCATTGGGCCACCAGGGAAATCGTTCCCTCCAACCACCACATTTTTTCAAGTTTTTAGTACATGCCGCGCCCTGTGTCATGTTATGGCACAGACCGAAGAGGAAGGTATGACATTATCTCCACTTTGCAGGTGAGGCTCAGAGGTGCAATCTTCCCAGAGGTGGCGTAGACAGCAGGTGGATATTGCTGCGGTCAGAGCCCAGTGTGGCCTGACTGCAAAGCCTGTACCCCTCATCCCTGCCCTGCACTGCTCCCTGGTCTGATGCCCACTGCCCCCTGAACTGTTGTCTCTCATACTTGTCCCTGTCCTGTTCCCACATGTCCTGACATGCTCTGTGCCCACCTGCAAGCCTGGGACTCTCCCTACCGCCTCTTTCTGGGTCCCAGGAAGCCATTTCTGGGGCAAGTGGCGACCTCCCTGTTAAGCTGTTAAAGGGAGACAGCTGTCTTCCCCAGGAAACTTGAGAGAAGTCAGGTACAGGGCACTGTCTAACCCCCAGTGTCTCCTTTACATAGGCATGTCTTACCATTTGTAACTACTATGGATTTACCAGTGGTTTCCAAACTGTGGGCCTCAAACTCCAGGAAGGAGGTGCCTAGAATCATTGCAAAGAATGAGTAAATCTATAAACACTCTACATGTTGTCAATTGTGACTTTATGGAGCCCACTTAGGAGTATTTGAATATTTCTGACACTATTAATCACTGGCTACATAAACACTGATATGTGTGTGTGTGTAAGGTACTTCATAATAAAAATCTTAATTGGGAAAAAAAATGGAGCCAATCATACTGGAAAATGTTGGAAGATGATAATTAGACAGAAACCAAATGCAGTGAATTTTGGCTTCTGAAAATGATTGTTAAAATATGTGCATTTATCTGAAAGACCTTAAATCCCTTACTAAAAACTTAATACATAAAATTTCAGATTAGCTAATTATGACTTTGGAATCTTAGCTTTAAAAAAGTTTCAAACTGGCAAAAATTTCAAATAAGGTCTGCAGTTAGTATTGTACTCATGTTCACTCTCTGGTATTGATCACTGTTCTCTAGTTAGGTACAATGATGGAGGGATGTATGGAAATCCTCTATCATTTTTGCAGCTTTTCTGTAAATCTGAAGGTAGTTCAAGTTAAAAGTCAAAAAATTATTGGACAATTCAGTTATGAGCTCATGTCAAAGTTTTACTACAGTTGTACTTCAAGGAAAATAGCTTCTAAGGAGACAATTCAAGTATAAACTCTTGGTGAGGATATTTTTATAAGAAAAGAGAATGGTTAAATCATTGTTAGACTAGATACAAAGAAAAGTTAACAGTCACTAGCCTCTTGCCTGAGAGTCTGCTGGGGGATGGGGGGTGGCTGGTTTCCCAGATCAAGGCTTAATTCCATTAAAACTCATTAGGAAATTGCTTCAACATTTCATCAGGAACTTTCCTTTCTTCCTAGTGGGAGGTTATGAATTACATCATGCAAAAAAGTTCTGCCCCAGACCAGGTTTGGGATAATTTTTCTTTTATACTACCAATTATCAACACATAGGTCAACAGGCACTGTGCTAGGTGTCACAGAGGAGGCCAAAATGAGGCAGACGCCATCCTTGACCTAGATTCTTCTAGACAAGTGCTGAGCAAGGACAAAACACCGTGGAGCCCAGTGGGGAGGGGGGTTGAGAAAGGCTTCAAGGTCCTTGCAGCATGTGGGGGGCTGCAACTAAGGAGGTGTTCTGGGCAGAGGGAAGAGCAGGAGCAAAGGCGTACTGCAGGAAGATGGCCCCGTGTCTGGGGGGCTCTGACAGTCAGTTTGGCTGGAAGGGAGTGTTTAGAGATCAGCAAAGGGGAGGAGGAAAAGCCTAAAAAGTGACTCCAAATCCTCAAGCCAAGGAGGACTTAGGAAAACGTTCAATTTCCTCATTTCACAGCAGAGGCCAGTTGGAGAAATTTTTCCTAGTCCCAACAGGTGGGGGTAAGGGAGGTTGTAGGATTCTGAGGATCTCCATGCATTTTTGAGTAGACAGCAGGGAAGGACTAGGAACAGGCAGGAGAAGTTCAGAGGAAACATGCTCAGGAAAGACTGGATTCCAGGAAGACTTCTTGGAAGAGGTGGCAATGATGATAGGCCAAAGTGTATAATACTGACTGGGGAAGCTCCTTACATAAAAGAGATTGTGATTCCTCTTGGCCACAGTAAGTCACCCTGTTGCTTGTGTGTCCTCAGCCTCCACCCAATTCCCCTTATCAGGCCACACTGGCTCCTAGGGGAAAGAAGCTTCTGACATGAGCCTCTTTCCTCTCAGAGCTGGAGGGGCTGAGAGGTCCCTGGATGCAGCCTCCCCTCCCATACCAACCACCGTCCCCCGCCTCAGATTGAAAGTTGCCACCCTCCAGTTTTAAAGCTTGAGCACTTCCTCTGACTCCATAATGATTATAGCTACTTGATGCCAGGTTCTGTCTATTCCAGGCTTTTGTAAATAGGATCTCATTTAAACTTCACACAACTTTAGAAAGGGCACTAAAATTACCCCCATTTTTCAGTTGAGGAAGCTGAAGTTTGATTAAGCTATTTGCTCAAGAGTTCAGAGCTGGCAAGGGGCCACATTGGAAGTAAACTTGGGCTCTGGCTGCCAACTCTGCTGCTCCCTGCTTCCCCAGCGCTCACTTTCCTCATTCGCCACACTTCCTCTTCCCCAGCCTGGACTCACTGCCTTCTTGAGAGTCAGGTCTGGGTCGGGTGCCCCCTTAAGCAAACGAGGAGAGACCACTAGGAGTCTTGAGCACAGGGCCTGCTTCTCCCACCTGCTCCCGCCCCCGGCCAAGCTCAAGACCCAGCTGTCCTGCTGTTTAGGCCAAGTCCACCTGTGGGACATGGAGGTTTCTGGACTTGGCCACCAGAATGAAAGGGGACTTGGGAGTGAGTGATCATGGCTGGAGACATGTCTGAAGCAAGAAGCCCCATTCAAGAGGGCTTGGGGAGGCAGGGGCAGCTTGATTTCTAAATCCTTATCCAGAAGTTACTGGTCCTGTCATGGCTGCACTTGAGCCCTCTCTAGGGCTGGCAACTCTGCAAGTGGGACGATCTACTGGGAAACCACTGGGACCTTATGTAGCAAGACAGAAGGAGGCTCCTACCATGGGCTCCTAGCCTGACATAGAGGAACTGATGCTGGAGGCAATGATCTAACAGAAGCAGAAAGCTATTTGCCTCTAGATGTCCCCTGCAATGCTACCAAGACACGAAACTGGGGGAGAAATGCTGAGTATCCAGGAAGCTCTCCCGGCCGCCCGCTCAGTGGACTTGAATGGGATAGTGAACAGCACAGAGAAAGCCTTGTGGTGTAAAGCTGACTCCCCACCACACTGTGTCCTCTTAAGGATGACTCACAGGAACAATCTTTCTCGGTCCCAGTGCCAGGAAAATCTGTGTTTCTCCAGGGCAGCTGCTTTGCTTTATCTTGATTTCTACATATCTGTCAGATGACTACATTTCCCTTTTAGCTTTGACTGTCAGGAACCTCCAAATCAGATATCTGTCAGAACTGTATGGCAGTGATTTTGTATATTAAGATAGCCCCCGCTTTCTTTCCTTTCTCCCTAACAGTCTTCTATTTATTAATAATCTTCGTGTATTGTATGCTACATTTAAGGGAAAAAATTTGGGATAGAATGGAGTAGAGAGGAGAAAGAAGAGGAAAGAGAAAGTTAAATGAAATAAGCTGAGAGGAAAATGGTTTTACATTCCCTTTAGATTCAGTTGAAGAACATCAGTTCTACTGGTCTCTTGTGGATATGAAAGGATTGACACCTCTAATATTAGAAACCTCACAAATGATGGATAAAAGAGGAAATGCAAAATAAAATAATGAGATGCCACTTTTCATCCAGAAAATTGGCAAGAATTTGTTCTGACAATACTCAGTATTGACGTGAATACTGAGTATTGAAACTCACAGGTTTTTCTGCGTGCTGCTACGTATGGACTGGCTAATTAGAAGTCTGGCACGTGAAGGTGCATTTACCTGTGACTCAGCCATTACACACCTAAGTATCTAAACTGAGAGAAACTCTTAAACTGTTGGTTTTCGCATTGTTTGTAATAGCAAAATAGGAAATATTCTAAATATCGTCAAAAGGAGAATGAAAAGTAAGTCGTGGTCTAACTTCACAAGAGAGTATTATATAGCAATGAAAACAAATGAATCAGGGCTCTCTGTACTGCTGTGGACAAAGCTCAGAACATAATGGTGAGCAAAAATGGCAAAGAGCAGGAGATTATGTGATTCCATTTCTGTAAAGTCTTAATAGGCAAAAAACCTATTATATAGTTTATGGCTCCAGATATGTGCTTTAAGGGTAAAAAGACACGAATGGGAACCATGAACACTTGAGACAGTCCAGAGATGAGGAAGAGATGGGGGGAGGTTGTTGAGGGTACTGGGTACACTGATGTGGATTATATTATTATCTATTCTTTCTGGTATGCTGAAATATCTCATTAAAACAAACAAAAAAAATGGTGTGAACACTCTCACTGCAACAGGGTACAACACTCTGCCTGCCTCAGGACAAAGATGGGAAGGAAGTATATGAAAAACAGTGGTGTTGGGGAGGTAGGAACCTGGGTGAGTTAAGACCAACGTCCGGTTTTTCACAAGCAGATGGTAAGGTGTTGCTTCTCTTGCAGGCTTCGTGGTCCAGGGCTCCAATGGCGAGTTCCCCTTCCTGACCAGCAGTGAGCGCCTGGAGGTGGTGAGCCGTGCACGCCAGGCCCTGCCCAAGGACAAGCTCCTGCTGGCTGGCTCCGGCTGCGAGTGTGAGGCCTGAATGCCCGGGCCTGGCGGTGGCTGGGTGTGGGGGGCTGGCTCCCTGGCCTGGAGCTGGGTTCAGTCTAGGTCCTGCTCTCTCTCTTCTGCATCCCTTGCTTGCCTCGGTCCTAGTCTGGTCCTCTCCCTCCTGCCCTCGCCCACCATGGCCTGTAGGGAAGATTTCTTTCTTCCTCCTGTAGCTACTCAGGCCACGGTGGAGATGACGGTGAGCATGGCCCAGGTCGGGGCTGATGCCGCCATGGTGGTGACCCCTTGCTACTATCGTGGCCGCATGAGCAGCGCTGCCCTTGTTCACCACTACACCAAGGTGGGTTAAAGTGGGGTTGTGGGTTTGAGGCCTGGGCCCAGAGGAAGCTGGGTGGAGCAGAGATTCTGCCCAGGGATGGGAGGGGAGAAGCTAGGAGCAGAGTGGTGAACTGACTTCCCATGAATGGCAGCTTGGGAGAGGGGAGGGACACCACCAGCTACCAGCTGTGTGACCGTGGGCAACTGACTTAACCCTGCTGGGTCGCTCTCCCCTCCCCTCTCCAATGGGAGGAATGATGAATCTTCCTCCAGGGAGGATTAAGATCAGTCAAAACCAAAAGGACTTGGAGCTGTGCCTGGCACACAGAAAGCACTCTTCAATATCACCCAGGATCAGTGTTTGCAATCAGGGTGCACAGCTCCGTGACTTCTCATCCAGGAGGTGGGCCAGTCCAGGCAGTCCTGCACAGACCCAGGCTCTGACCGCCTCAGGCCTGGGGCAGCTGCCCTCCCCTCTCTTCTCTGCACCCCTCAGGTGGCTGACCTGTCTCCGATTCCTGTGGTGCTGTACAGTGTCCCAGCCAACACGGGGCTGGACCTGCCGGTGGATGCGGTGGTCATGCTTTCCCAGCACCCCAATATTGTGGGCATCAAGGACAGTGGGGGTGATGTGAGTGGCAGCAGCCCTAGGCTGGGGACTCCTTCTCTTCTCCTTTGATACCCACTTCAGGGCAGCTCTAGGACCTGCTTCAGTCCTGGACTCTGGTGTGGGTTCCCTCTGTCCTCAGGTCTCCCTGGGGTTCATCTGAATCAAGGCGGGTATCTCTCTGGGACCTCGACTCTCATTCTCCCACACTTGCCCAGCCCCCAGCCCCCAGCCCCCAGCCAGGCCAGCAGCAGAGCCTGTCGGCCCAGCTCTCACACTAGCTTGGCTGTTATTACAGGTGACCAGGATTGGGCTGATTGTTCACAAGACCAGGAGTCAGGATTTCCAGGTGTTGGCCGGATCGGCTGGCTTCCTGCTGGCCAGCTATGCCGTAGGTAGGCCCTCCCACTCCTCTCAGATTGTGACAAGTGGTCATGATACAGGCAGCTGGGTTCTGCTGGGAAAGACGCTGAAGGCCAGGACTGTGTGGACAGGGGGCTTTTGCCAGCCTGCCTGCTGGGAAACCTCAGAGATATGTCTCACCACTTACTTATTTGAATAGTGGATGCTTCTAAGTGACCTTGTTAGGCGGAGGAGGGTGGCCGTGAACAATCCCTTGGCCTGTAGGGGGGATGCCTGCAGTTTGTTCTAAGTCCCAAGCTCCCTGCTTAGGTGACAAATTTAGCTCCTTTAATCTCACCTTGTAAATCATCGTCTAAGGGCAGAGGCCTTGGGGCGCTTCCCACCAGTCTGGGAGTGCGTTTTCCTCTCTCCCTGGGCCCAGGCCAGAATGAATTGTCAGGCCTGCAGGGTTGACCTGGGGATCTTCATCTGACTGATCAGACACTGTTCCAGTATAGGATCCTAGGAATGTTACCATTTAGACCAAGTGCTCTTGTCTGCTTGGGGTCAAGGTCCCTGAGTTCCGACTGGATTTGGGCTCTGGAGGGGAGGGGAGTACCTGCTCCCATCAGCTGAAGCCCCAATGATTTGAGATTTGAGTTACTTTTCCAGTGATGCAGGGGACAATGCTGCTTCATGTTCTTTCTGGTCTCTGCAGACTTTGGCTTGTGGTATAGGTTCCGCATAACTCCCCTCTGCCCTGTCACAGTCTCTAAAGGGAAGAGTTAAAGGAGACCCATTTATGCTTCTTTCCTGAGTGTGGTAGGCGGAAATAGCACTGGCTCTGCAGGCTGGAGATCTAAGCTGGAATCTGAGCTCTGCCATTTATTCACTGACTAACACTGGGCAAGCTAAATGACCTCTCTGTGCCTGAGTTCTTACTCGGCAAAGCAGGGAGATGTGAGGATTAGAGAGCATTGGCCCTGTGTCTGTCATAGCCCTTGACACAGTAGGTTTTTGATAAACAGCAATTATATTCACTCATGAGAAATGCCCACTCTCCAGTCTTGAGGCCACTCTGCTTTGAGTCACTCCTAACTAGCTTTGGAATCACACTAAACAGGTTGGCAGAAGTGGCAGAACTTCCGAGATCACAGCCAGCCCGTTTCCATTGCCCAGATGAGAACAAAGAGGGCCGGCGAGGGTTAGATGACTCGTCCAAGTTCACACAGCCAATGGGAGGAAACGCCGGGTCTCCTGACTAAGTCTAGTGCTCATTCTCCTCCCCCACAACTGGCCCAAGGCTGAATTCACTGGGGGGAATACAATTTCCGTAGAGCAGAGGCTTCCCATCCATGCCATCCCCTTCCAGGGCTGATGAGTCAGGGGGCAATTGCTGGAGTGTAGAGGTGCCAACTGGAAGGTGGGACTTTACCGTGGGGGAGAGGGGGATGAGAGAAAGGAACCGTCCCTGAGTCAGCCTTCAGGCTCTGTTCCTTGCCCCTCAGCCTGTGGGGTTCTATTCTGAATATGCTGGCAAGGTTCTCTCTGGAAACCTGTACTCCGTAAACTCACAGACTGTGTCTCAGCTGTGGCTCACCAGTGGCCTAAAAATCCTCAGCCTGACTCCCCAGAACAAAGAGGTGCCGGGGACCAGGGTTTGGAATTCTCTTCGAGAAGAGGCTCTGGCTGATATTCTGCCTGTTACCTTGTGGCAGGAGCTGTGGGGGGCGTGTGTGCCCTGGCCAATGTCCTGGGGGCTCAGGTGTGCCAGCTGGAGCGACTCTGCCTCACAGGGCAATGGGAAGATGCCCAGAAACTGCAGCACCGCCTCATCGAGCCAAACACTGCGGTGAGCTCCCAGCCCGTGGGCCCAGCGTGGGGGTGGTCTGTGTCCTTGTTGGAACAGGAGCCAGTGCTGGCACAGGGGTCCCTCCTTGGTCTCTCCTCTTTCAGAAAGGCCTTTTAGAGAACATCCCAGTGTGGGAAACTTTTTGTGCCTTCCCAGAAAATCTTGACTTCAGACAAAGTCAAGCCCCGTTGGTTCTCAAACTTAAGTGTACATTAGAATTCATTCAGGGAGCTGGTTAAAATTCTGCTCTTTTATGCTCAGGAATAGTCACTGAGACAAACGTCCTAGGTGATTGTGACATAGGGAATCCTGGAACTGTACTTAGAGATACACTGCCTAGAGAGGGAACCATGGGCCTTTATGTCAGCTTTATAAGGGGCCAGATCCTGAAAAGTGGAATGACAGGTTAATTAATAAAGGCGTGGGAAGCCTGGAGGTATTCAGAGCCCAGCTTTCCCAGGAGAGTCCTGTCTTCAAATAATCCATTCTGCAGTCAGACCGAGTACCCCAAGTCTGTGTTGGGCAAATCAAGAAGAGGCAAGGTGGAATGCTGGTCAAGTGCAGGCAATGCTGTGCTGAGCCATACTGGAATCTGAGGCAAAAAGAAAAACCTGTGTCCCTGGAGACATGTTTTCATTTATACTTTAAACTTTTTACTCTCGTATCACTGTGGATTCACATGAAATGATGAGAAACAATACAGGGAGATTCCATCTACCCATTACCCTGTTTACCCCAATGGTAACATCTTACAAAACTATAGCGCAATATCACAACCAGGATTTTGACAAATATATAGTCAAGATATACAATATTTCCATTAACATAAGGATCTCTTATGCTATTCTTTTTTTTTATGCTATTCTTTTATAGTCATACCTACTCACCTCCTGCCCCCACCCCCACCTTAACCCCTGGCAGTCACAAATAGGTTCATTTCTGTAATTGTATTAGTTCAAGACAGTTATATAAATGTAAGGTCACCTAGAACATTTTTAAATTTGCTTTTTTTTCACTCAGCATAATTTTCTGGAGATTCATTCAAACACATGTAGCAGCTCTTTTTTATTACTGAATGTGGCCAGAAACAGCTTTGTTTAACCATTTACCTGTTGAAGGATAGCTGGTTGTTCCCAGTTTGGGGCTATTAAAAGCTGCTGTGAACATTCATGAACAGATTTTGGTATGACTATAAGTTTTCATTTTTTCTGGGATAAATACACAACTGATGGGTTGTATAAAGTTTGCATGCTTAGCATTTTAAGAAACTGACCAACTTTTTTCCAGAGTAAGTGTACTATTTTGTATTTTTGCTGTTGTTAGTCGCTAAGTTGTGTCCAAATCTTTTGTGACTCTATGGACTGCAGCCTGCCAGGCTCCTATGTCTGTGGGATTTCACAGGAAAGAATACTGGAGTGGGTTGTCATTTCCTTCTCCAATTTTGTATTTACATCAGTGTAAAGGTATGAGTGACCCAGTTTCTCTGTATCCTCAACAGCATTTGGTGTTGAGTTTTTTTCCATTCTGATAGGCATGTTGTGACATCTCATTGTGGCTTTGATTTACATTTTTCTGATGGCTAATGCTATTGAACCTCTTATAATGTATTTATTTGCCATTTATATGAAATGTCTATTTTTGTCTCTTACCCAATTTCCAATTGGATTTTTTTCCCCACTGTTGAGTTTTAGAAGTTCTTTATACCTTCTAGATACTAATCCTTTGTCAAAAATGTTGTCTGCAAATACTTCTCCCAGTCTTCTCATCCTCTTAACAGATCTTTTGCAGAGCAAAATTTTTTTAATTTTGAAAGTGAAAAGTGAAGTTGCTCAATCGTGTCTGACTTTTGCGACCCCATGGACTGTAGCCTACCAGGCTTCCCCGTCCATGGGATTTTCCAGGCAAGTGTACTGGAGTGGGTTGCCATTTCCTTCTCCAGGGGATCTTCCCATCCCAGGGATTGAACCCAGGTCTACCACATTGTAGGCAGACACTTTACCCTCTGAGTCAGCAGGAAGCCCTTTTTAATTTTAAGGAAGTCTAATTTATCAATATTTACTTTCATTTTTATGCTTTTGATGCAACTCTAAGAACTCTCTGCTTAGCACAAGATTGTGAAGTTTTTCTTCTCTTTTTCCTAAAAGTTTTATGTTTTACAAGCCTGTGACCCATTTTGAGTTAATTTTTGTAAAACGTATGAGACTTAGATCAAGGTTTTTTTTTTCTTTTCTTTTTTGGCCTGTAGATATCCACTTGCTCCAGCACCATCTGTTGAAAAGATGATCTTTCCTTTATTGAATTACTTTTGCACCTTTGTCAAAAATCAGCTGGGTGTATTTGTGTGGGTCTATTTCTGGATTCTCTATTCTCCCCATTGATCTATCCCTCTGCAGTACCACACAGACTTGATTATTGTAGGTGTATAATAAATCTTGAAATCCGCTAGACCGACTCTTCCTACTTTGTTCTTTTCTTCCCCAGAATTGTTTTAACTAATCTAAATCTTTTATCTTGCCATATATATTTTAGAAAAATATCATCTATATCTATGAATACTTTTGCTAGGATTTTGGTAGGAATTGTCTTAAACTTGTGCACCAATTTGGGAAAAACTGACATTTTTGCTTTGTTGTCTTCAAATCCTTGAATAGGATATGTCTCCATTTATGTAAACCTTCTTTGATTTATTTCATCAGCATTTTGTAGTTTTTGACACACAAGTTCTCTACAAGTTTTGAGAGATTTACACCTAAGTGGCTCATATTTTTGAGTGATTATAAATGATATTGTATTTTTAATTTCACTATCATATGTTCATTGCTAGTATGTATAGGAACCAATTGATTTTTGCTTGCTTATCTCATATTGTATATGACTTTGCTAAACTCACTTATGAGTTCTACGAGATTTTTTTCTATATTCCTTGGGATTTTCTACATAGACAATCATATCATCTATAAATAGGGCATGTTTTAATCTCTTCCTTTCTGATCTGCATGCTTTTTATTTCCTTTCTTGCCTTAGTGCACTGGCTAGAATTTCCTGCACTAAGATGAATAAGAGTAGTGAGAGTAGACATCTTGACTTGTTTCTGATCTTAAGGAAAAGCATTCAGTCTTTCACTGTTAAGCACAAAGGAAGGTAGGTTTCTGTAGATGCTCTTTATCAAGTTGAGGAAGTTCTCCCTCTATTCTAGCTTTCAGAAAGTTTTTAAAAATCATAAATGGATGTTGAATTTTTGTCAAATTTTTTTTATTGATTCATATGATCAAGTGTTTTATTTCCTCTTTAGCCTGTTAACATGGTGAGTTACATTAACAATTTTTAAGTACTGAACCAGACTTGTATCCCAGTGGAATAAGCTCCACTGGCACATGCTGTATAACTCTTTTTATATATTGCTGAATTCCATTTGCTAATATTTTATCAATATTAGCCTCTCATGTCTATATTCATGAGAGATATTGGTATATAGTCTTCCTTTCTTTGCTTCTTTTCTTCTGTACTGTCTTTGTCTGATTTTGGTATCAGGATAAAAATAGCTTCATTAATTGATTGGGAAATGTTCCCTTCTCTTCTGTTTTCTGGAAGAGATTATGAAAATTTATGTTATATCTTGGAACATTTTTTAGAATTCTTCAGTGAAACCATCTGGGCCTGGAGGTTTCTTTTTTGGGAGTTTAAAAATAATAATAACTCCATACTAGGCCTCTACTGATACCTCACTGGCTGGAAGGGGTAGAAGTGCTTCCTTACTGCTCCCCACGTGGCCTTCCCTGACACCTCGAGTGTGTTTGACAGGGTGGCCTCCTTAAGGGTGGGCAGTGGTCAAAGTTCTGACTCTCCTTCGGGGTCTGGCTGGAGTGATTATTGCTCACAAGTTCTCCATCTTGCTCAGCTGCCCCTTCCTTGTCTCAGACCAGAGGGAGCTGGCTTTTGTGGGGCTTTTCTTGCCTCTGCTTACTGGCATTTTAGGGTCACTGCTCCTTTGGTTTCAAGTCTGGGCCGAGGAGCTCGGCACGGTGTTGTTTCTTGGGTCCCGAGGTCACTAGTCAGTCTTCCTTCTCTCTGCCTTTCAAACTTTTATGTTGGTTTTTATATAATGTCCTGGGCTTTGGTTGTTTTTTTTTTTGTTGTTGTTCTACTCTTTGAGAGGAATAAAGAAAAGTACACCTATTCCATCTTCCTGGAAGTGAAAGCTCTAAGCAATTTTCTTTTATTTATTTATTTGGCTGTACCAAATCTTAGCTGCAGCATGCAAACTCTTAGTTGTGGCATGTAGGGTCCAGTTCCCTGACCAGGGCTCGAATCCAGGCTCCCCGTACTGGGAGACCCGAGTCCTAGTCACTGGACCAGCAGGGAAGTTATTCAGGTAGTTTTCTAAACAGTGATTTTTCCCTCCCAGGATATTAGAATAGTTGGGAAAAAACACTGAAAACTTTTAAAGTAGGTACATTAACATTTGCAACACTTTTTTCATTTAATACCAAAAAGATAACTTATTAGAATTTTACTTCCCTGGCTTGAATGGAAGCAAACACATCAAACCAACTTTTTTCCCTAAATCTACTTCTAGAAAAAAAAAACTTTACCATTAAAAACATGCAAAACATGTATAGGGGGCACATGTAATTAATGGCCTCAGGCTACAAGATTCTGGGCACGGTTCTATTGGATCTTGCCATTATTTAAAACTTTGACTCTGCTCATCGTGGGCTTTTTTTTGCATTGATTTTTATGTTTTAAAAAATATTGCGTTAAACATTTGTCTCATGACTGAGTATTTTCGTGCTCCATCCAGTTTTGCCTCTGAGGCAGGTAAAGTGGTGGGCGGGCTCTAGATGTCCCTCACAGTTTATATCTTTACCTCAAAGGGACAGATTAATTCAGATGTAGAGAAAGGACAGCTGAGGAGGCAAGCTTGAGTTTCCCTGGCTGTGAAACTCTCCTGGCATAGGATGCGCTATAGATAGGTTGTAATAACTGCAGGAATAAAGTCCTTTAGGCTAAGCCCCATCTGGCCAGGCTGTACTATACATACCAACATTCCACTGGGGCAGGACCTCTGCTCTCCCATTCCCCTCCCTGTGAGAGAGAAAGTTCCAGAGTCTACATACCACCAGACAGGAAGAGGAGGAGCTTCCAGGCCCCTTGGGGCTAATAGTAGGATCTTTTAAATTTATTTTTTTATCCAAGCATGGTTGAATTACATTGTTAATTATTGCTATATAGCAAAGTGACTCAGTTATACATATATATTCTTTTTCATATTTTTTTATTATGATTTAATCACAAGATATTAAATATAATTCCCTGTTCTACAGAGTAGAACCTTGTTGCTTATAATAGTGGTATTTTTCTCATCCAGTTCTTGTGACATGGGGTAGCTTTCGTTATCTCCTAATTTTACAGACAAAGCAGCTTGGGCTGCCCCTTGGGAAGAGAGGATGCTTGCTGCCCCCGGCATGCCATCTTGTCTTACCCTTCACTTTGTGTCCCATCCTGTGCCAGCTCTGGGCACACACTCAGGAATGCCTGGAACACCTTTCTGCTGCCTGGGCTATAGGCTCAGCCACCCCAAGAGCAGCTTGATGTCACCTTATTGCCCTGCCCTGCTCGAACACAATGTGCTTCCTCTGCCCTCCCACCCAGCCAGCCTCTTGCCCTGGCTATATTTAGGACTTTCCATGGTTTTTACCTCCAAACCATTCCACCCTTTCTCAGGGTCTAAAGAGGGACAACAAATCAGAGATCTTCAGACACCCACGGTGGAAGAAGGCTTTCTTCTAGGTACTTCTTGTTTCCATCGTCTTTCTCACCCTACTCAGGTTTTGGGTGAAATGCCCAGGTTATTGGGCCTTCCCAAGTGGCTCAGTGGTAAAGAATCCTCTAGCCAATGCCAGAGATGCAGGAGACACAGGTTTGATCCTCGGGTCGGGAAGATCCCCTGGAGGAGGAAATGGCAATCCACTCAGTATTCTTGCCTGGAGAACCCCATGGACAGAGGAGCCTGGTGGGCTACAGTCCATAGGGTCCAAAAGAGTCAGACAGGACTGAGCGACTGAGCACCCACACTCACGCACATGCCCAGGTTATTAGAATATTACGGCTGGAACCAGGACTGGGAGGAAGCTTGCTAAAGTCTACTGGCCTCTAGTGGTGAATAGTTATTAAATGTCAGTCATTCATCAGTGGTTCCCAATTTTTTTTTACCCCAAACAACCTCTTTTCTATTTTTACCCTTCATGAAGCCCATATTTCTAAGGTTTTACTTCCCTCAGAGTGAAACATTATTAAGTAATAATTACTTCTTTTTAAGCAATCAAAGACCAATCTAACACTTGTGATCAGCGTGAAACCACCAGTTGCTATGCTAGAAGCAAAGAAAGGAGATACCTCACTTTCTGTAAAACTCCATGCCTGATTTTAAATTAGGTCTTCCATTACAATGGAAAAGTTTAGAGATCATGTTGTCCAGACCCCTCCTTTTTTAGGCAAGTGAACTTGCTCAGAGATAAACTGATACAAGGTTATCCTTTGGACAACAGATGCATTGTTTTCCCTGTGAGAGCATTTGGAATTGGGGATCAGGGAAGAGTTATGGGTGGATGGGAGGACCCTGCTGTGGGGACAGTAGAGGTCTGGACCATGCTGATTTCCTGCAACCCATACGCCCAGGTCAGGTACCAGGGAACTGGGCTGTAGACCAGAGATGCTCTAGCCCCCAGACCCACAGCACTGCTGCCTTTTCCCTTCTCAGCTTGAGGACTGAATGCTGCTCTCCTCCCCAGTGGGGTGGATTTCTCTAAAACCAAAGGAAGCGCCTTCCTTCATTCTAGATTTTGGGCAGTGTTCTCTCCCACCCACCCGCCTCCTGGATTCCCAATCTACCCTGGCTGTCATAGATTCGGCAGAGTTACTTTACTGGGGAAGGAGGGTGGGTACCCTGACCTTCTGAAAGTGACATGCCTGGTGTGTGTGTGTGTGTGCGTGTGTGTGTGTGTGTGAAAGTGACATGCCTTGGGGGTGTGTGTGTGTGTGTGTGTGTGTGCGTGCGTGTGTGTGAAGGGGAGTCCCCAGTCTCTTCTAACAGGCGCTGCTCCTTAGGTGACCCGGAGCTTCGGGATCCCAGGATTGAAGAAAACCATGGACTGGTTCGGCTACTACGGAGGCCCTTGCCGCTCCCCCTTGCAGGAGCTGAGCCCCGCCCAGGAGGAGGCGCTGCGCCTGGACTTCGCCAGGAATGGGTGGCTCTGAGCGCCGGTGGGACTGCCGGACCGCACCCACCTCAGCCTCCTGCCGGGTGGCGGCGGCCTGAAGGAAACGTGGGGGAGACGAGGGCTCAGGGTTCGTGGCTCCTCTTCTTACTTCAGTCCTCCAGGTAGACTTTCTCCAGGCACTACCAGGCATGCTCGTTTCCTGTCCTCCCAGCCCCATGATCTCTGATCTCTGGGTATTTGTATCCTGAACTCTGGGTCTTTAGATACCTTCAGTGACTTATTTATCTCTCTACTGTGCTTTTCTGTCCCTGAGACCCGTGAGCCAGGAGTCAGACGGGAAGGGTGTCGGGCACAGAAAGGCCACGTTTTAATGGCAGGAAGACTGCTTAGGCTTGAGGGTACAAACCTGTGTCCAGCCCAGGGCAGCCAGAAGCTGGGGTAATTCTGAGAGCCCTAGTTCTGACTCCTTCCAGGAGAAGCGGTAGGTTGGAAAATCTGATCAGAAAGTTGTCACTGGTCTTTGACAGTCCCCCAAGCTACACTGTAGTCCTTTCCTAAATCTTTTTTTTTTTTCTAAATCTATTTTGATTCATCTCATATTGTCTCTAGCCTTGATCCCAGCCATCAAATGTACCAGTGAGACAGCCCAGTGACTTAACCAGAACTGGTAAATAATGACACCTGGTGGATAAATGTGACATTCTAGAAGGCTATGCTAGCCAACCCAGGTCTGAAACATTAAGAATGGGGATTTGACCTGAGAAAAGACCATCTTCTTGCCTATACACACTCTGCTTTTATTATTAAGAACAGTTACTTTGTTATTGCAATAAAGTTTAATTAAAAAAAAAAAGTAAAAATATATCTAGGAATTTCTCTGGAGCTGCTGCGGTCAGTGTAGGTTCAGTTCAATTTCAGATAGCTCCTCTTTCCAGCTTACACTTCTCGATATCTGTAGGCCCCTTCCCGTGTAGTCGGTGTTACCTTCAGGGATTTTAATCTGTTGCACCGGTCCTTTCTGAAGCGGTTCCCTTTGTTTATTTGGCTTCTGTTTGCCGTCTCTTTGGTGTCTAATTTCCGCCCTGACACAGGCGGGCGGAGGTGATCTCTTATTTAGGTTCTCTAGTTCAGTTCAGTCCTGCTACGGGGAGGGCGGGGCGCTGCAGACAGATACCGCTCTGTGTGGATAGCGCTCACCGTGTTCCGGCCACACTGGGTTTGCCCCGCTCACGGGTGTCTGTGCTTTCGCCGTCTACACTGCTCAGGCTCCCGGCTGCTCTATATGGAGCGGGCCCTGCGTTGAGTGCGGTTCCAGTTTTCGGGTACTCCACAAAAGCGCAGATTCGGTTGCTCCTGCGTTTTGTGCCTTCCCCGGCCTGAGCGGTTCAGGCAGCCAGAGGCTTGGGCGCACTCTCCCGGGTGCGGCGCGCCTTTTCCCTCCGCGGCGAGCGGCCCAGGCAGCCAGAGGTTTGGGCGCCCTCTCTCCCCGGGTACGGCGCGCTTTTTCCCTCCGCGGCCCCAGCACGTACCGCCAGTCGGGTCTCAGGAAGTCTTTAGCTAGAACCCGGAGGCCTGTTTGCAGTGTGGGAGGGGGTGGCTTCTCAGGGGCTGAGTTTGCCCTTTTCCCCTCCCCCCTGCCTCCTACCTCCAGCGGGGATGGGCCGGCTCTTCTCTGTAGTTTCTCAGTCCCTTTGTTTTGCAAACGGCCGGCAGTGTGTTAGGGCTGGTGAATTTTCTCCCTTGCTATCCCACAGTTTAAAAGAGCTCACTCCAATTGCTCTCAGGCCTTCAGGACCAGTCCTTACCCTAAGCAATGCCTCCCGGTCCTCTCTGTTCTGCCACCGCTTGTTAGTGTCAGGTGCGGGCGTCTGGGGTACTTTTCTGCTGGGAGTTGCTTTTAGGCATGTAATCTGTGGGCCTTATTTGATTTTTTCCTCCCAGTTAGGTTGCCCTCCGAGATTCGAAAACTTCCCCCAGACCCGCCAGTGAGAGGGTTTCCTGGTGTTTGGAAACTTCCTCTATTACGACTCCCTTCCTGGGACAGGTCTCCGCCCCTAACTCTTTTGTCTCTCTTTTTATCTTTTATATTTTGTCCTACCTCCTTTTGAAGACGATGGGCTGCTTTTCTGGGCGCCTGTCTTCTGCTAGCCATTAGAAGTTGTTTTGTGAAGTTTGCTCAGCGTTCAAATGTTCTTTCGATGAATTTGTAGGGGAGAAAGTGGTCTCCCCGTCCTATTCTTCTGCCATCTTAGCTCCTCCCCTGTTATTGCAATAAAGTTTAATAAGTTAAATTGGCATGACTATGTACAGACTAACACTCCACTGTTACACAGATCTTAGGTTTCCTGCTCAGGTATCAAGACCTTCCTAGAGGCAATTTAGCTCCAAAGGTCTGCTTTTTCCCAGCTCTGAGAGAGGCTTTAAGAATACTGAACAAACATAAGCATTCGATTATTGGTGTCCTAGAGAAAAAGCTTGTTGAAGTTTCCCATGGGAGAGGTAAGAGGCAAAACATTTCAAGTGAGATATTTAGAAACACCTAGCATATTAATTTAAAAGGCTGCTTTTATGGAGAAGGAAATGGCAACCCACTCCAGTACTCTTGCCTGGAAAATCCCATGGATGGAGAAGCCTGGGGCTACAGTTCATCGGGTCACAAAGAGTCAGACAGGACTGAGTGACTTCACTTTCACTTTTCTCTAAAATGTTTAAGCTTATTCAGTGATAATCTGACTAGTGGCAGGAAACCTGAGATGAATTTTTTAAAAAACTACTCTGGTTAAAAAGAAAGGTAAACAAATCCTTGTTTAGGGCAAGGACTAGAGGACAGAATATAAAACGTATCAGTCTTCAACAGAAACTGGGCATCTGGCTGACACTTAGAAACTTGAGGCTTGCATCTGGGCTCTTCTCATAGTTGACTTCTAGAGGATCTGGGCTGAGGAGAATCAGGGTCAGGAGCGGGGCAAAAAGTTAGGGCTAGGGAGGCAGGCTGGTGCACTGGTAAAGAGCTCAGCCTCTGGGCTTAAACTGACTGGGCTTAAATTCTTGGATCTGTAGATGCCTTAGCGTCAGCAGGATCCTGGAAGAGTATGTAAATACCCTGAACCTCATTGGTGATAGCAGGATAATAATGGTACCTTCCTCTCAGGACTTATAAGATTGTGCATGTGAAAGGGTTGGCGTGGCAGGTGATTGTGCAGAGTTGCCCGAGATAACCAGCAGGTGGGACAATAACCTATCTCAGGACTTGGGCACCCTGACGTTCAAGATGAGTACAGTGGGGAAAGTGCTTTGGAGCCAAAAAGTCCCAGATACAAATCCTACCCAGCTCTGCCACTCACTAGTTAGGGCAACCTCAGCCTGTCTGCTGTTGTTGTTTGTTTGTGTTTTCTTTTTTTTAAATTCTGCCTGTACCTACCTTGCAGAATTAGATGCTATTTCATAGTAAAGTGTGTAACCCTCAGTTTCCAACCCTCATCTATGACTAACTTTTAGAAACAGCAAATGGGCCAATATCCATACAGATGTAGAGCAAGAGAGTCAGGAAAACCAAGTATAGGCAGTTCTGGTGATTTGTTTATTCCTCATAAGCACTTGTTTCCACAGTATAACGCAGAGAATAAATAGAGGCACACAACTATCACTTCCACCACAATCTGCTGTTGAGGAGACATTCAGTGTGAAGATAAGGGGCTGGGGATGGGGTGGGGCATTTTGGGATCCCAGGGTAACTGGAGGCCTCTGTGATGAATTGTGCAGGAGTCTAATCAATCCAGATCTGATCCCTAGGCCTGATGGCCAAGGCTCATGGTGGAAGAGTTACAGTGAACCAAATGATCTTTGAGTTCATTGCCTTCCCAAGATGGGTCAAATTCTAACTGAACCCCAAGGGGTTGAGGTGGGTCTGACCCACTGGTCCACTGGGAAGGAGCTGTGTCAGCCCAGGCCATCCTTGAGGATTCAGTTCAATCCATGACAAGGCCTGATGTGACCCAGAGATGTCTGCCCTTGACCTGGAGTAAGTAATAATTACAAGCTATCAGATGACTGTTTACATCAGTTTCTTTCTGACTAAAAGGATCCTTTCCCATGTCGAAGGAAGGAGCAAGGGGCACAGATTACCTGCTGGAACTCAGGGTAGGAAGATAGCTTGTAAGGTCAAGGGAGAGGAAAACAGTACTTCACTGAACCCTTCACAGGGGCAACAGGCAGACACAGGACCAGGCTGGTCAGACAAAGTGGAAGGCCCGGGGCCATGAGATGCCCACCAGGAATGCAGGACAACATACAGAAAAGCTCTGATCTTGACTTTCATGGGACTGCTATACTGTCGAGGCCACGCCTATTGTTTTCCTCATTTCTCACAGAGCACTGAGCACTTGGCTCTCATCTGGGGCTGGGATCACCTGCACCATCAGAGGCAGAAGGAAGAGATTCTGCATCACTTGGCAGAAAATGAAGTAGAAAGGCGGCAGCCAGTCTGCACCAGGTGATCTACGGTGTTAGGGACAGAAGTACCAATGAGCAAGAGAAGGGAAGGACACGCCGGGTGACCACTGCTGCAGTGGCCTGAGCCTCAGACCTTCTGTGACCAAAGCCCTGCCTTGCAGGTGACAGGCCCCTCCTGGGGCTTCGGCATCATGGTCATTTTTGTCTCCTCTCACGTTGGGTTCATTTTCCCCCCCTGAGCGGGTGGTGGGCATTGCTGTCAGCTGGGCACAGCCCCCGTCAGGCAGTGAGGCTCCGGGCTGACTTGGAGGCGCTCTGGGCCCGCTGGACCACCGCCGAGCACTTCTCGCGCCGCAAAAGCTTGTTGTTCTCGAACAGACCTTCATTGCGGGGTATTCCATGAGAACCATCAGGGAAAGTCAGCAGGCCTTTGAGGGGGACAGAGAAAATAAAGGTGTGATGGTGGCATTTGTGGCTCGGAGGCCAGCTTGCTACATTGAAGCCGAGGGAGAGAAAATTTGCAGCTCTTGGGTGCTGAGTCCAGGGACCCACCTTTCTGTATTGCTAGGTGTCCACAGAAGGATTAAAGCTGCAAAGGTGTCCTGCCACCCATTTACACTCGCCTTAGTCACCTGTCCTGCTGGTTGGCAACTTACCCAAACCATCCACTCTGCCGTTTTTAAATTCTCCCTCAAAGGTCATGTTGTCATGTCGAATGAAGACTCCGACGCCGTTGAACTTGCCCTGGGCAAACTCCCCCTCATACCTAGGGAAACGCAAGATGTCAGCCTTCAGGATAACTGAGTCAGACAGCTACTAACACCAAACGTGGTTTATTAATGCTAAGGAGCAAAGCTGATTCCACTCTTCCAGAGCTCACCCTACCCCACTCCCCCCACCTCACCCAGCAGAGAGGAGTCAGACAGCCCAAATGATATGAGGCTCTAATCTCAAGGAAACAACCAAAGAACACAGTGGTGGGCTGGGAGGTCACTGACCTCCTTGCCACCTCAAATTTTAGATGTATTTATAAAGTAACCAAGAAAAGAACGAATGCTACTCCTTGTCTGTTTTCAGAGAGTCAGGGACAAGCTCAGATTTGACCAGGTGTTTCTCACTATCATTTTTAGACCAGAGCTTCCCTTCCCTAGTCTAAGGTTGGGAAAAGAATGACTGGGTACCCACCTTGAGCCATCCGAGAAGGTCAGTACCCCGAAGCCATTAAAGAGCCCATTCTCAAAATGGCCCAGGTAGGTGCCACCATCTGCAAACATCAGTTGACCAAAACCATGTCTGCGGCCTGAGCAAAGAGAAGACAGGTTGGTCAGGTTGGGATGGGGCAGCTTCAGGGTCCTCTGTCACTGTCTAACATCCTTTGCCTTGCATCACCCCACCCACAGAGGAAAGAAGAGAAACAGTGATATTAACAGGGCAGAGAACCATTGCCTAGAGTAATAACTTGGCTCCAAGGACTGTTGCAGTGAAAAGGAAAAAAGAGCAGTGAGTTTTTCTTTCCCTTTCCTGAGATCAAAGAAGATAAAGAGAACAGTGAACATGCCTGAACATTCCCAGTTTTTACTTTAACTCTTCCTAATCTGTAATCTGTAACTGAAATTGCTTTTCTGCCCCCTAACTCTGCATGAGCTACATTTTTCACCTATTATCCTTTGCATGCGTGTGGGCTAAGTCACCTCAGTCGTGTCTGACTCTTTGTGACCCTATGGACCATAGCCCGCCAGGCTCCTCTGTTCATGGGATTCTCCAGGCAAGAATACTGGAGTGGGTTGCCATGCCCTCCTCCAGAGGATTTAACCCATGTCTCTCATGTCTCCTGCATTGGCAGGCAGGTTCTTTATCATTAGCACCACCTGGGAAGCCCTTGACTCTGTGCTACTTATATCCTGTATCTGGTGCTTACCTTTATAGCACTGTCTCTGCAAACCTCTTGTAGTTTTTCTCTTTTTACATATCAGAAAGAAGGGGCAGGGCCACAGGACTGCCAGACTCAATTACTGGGATACTGACACCAGCCTTGCAGTGAAACAATGCAAGAGGAAGAATACAAGATTCTTACACCTTCACTCCTCATCACAGACCTCTGACTGCAAACCCTCATTTTATATAAGCCCATAGACTCCTCATGAAGCAGAGGGGGCATAGTTCTTGAGGCATGAGCCTACTGTGTTTCCCTCTCTGCCTGCTGAGAATTAAAGCCACCCTTCTATTTCCTCCAAACTCTGTCTCCACATTTTTTAATTTGGATTTGGTGGGTAGAGAAAGCCAAGATTTTGGCCAGCAACAGCCATCAGATTTGGAGCAGATCTAAGTATGAAGGTAAGAGAGCACTTAAAAATCACAATAGCTAAAAAAAAAATTTTTTTTAAATAAAAATCACAATAGCTAATGTTTACAGGGCCTTCACTATGTGCCAGGGACTCTTTCACTTTGTATTTACCATCTAATTTGATCGTCACAACAACCTTAGAAGGTAGGCACAATACTATTATTATTTCCACTGTTGTTTTTTTTTTTGCCACAACATGCAGCATATAGGATCTTAGCTCCCTGACCAGGGATCAAACCCATGTACCCTGCAATGGAAGTGCAGAGTCTCTACTACTGGACTGCCAGGGAAAACCCCTATTGTTCCCATTAACAGATGCAGAAACCAAGGCAAGGGGAAGCTAAAAAAAAAAAAAGGTACTCAAGATCACAGAACAACCAAGAGGCAGAGCTAGACAGCAAACGCAGTCATTACCTTGACTCGGGAGCCCTCAACACTTAACTACCTTGCCAGTTTAAGAAAAAGTACCCTTTGAGACTATGAAGCTGCAAGGCAAACCTAACAGCCTGACTGGCAAGACTAGTTTGAGCTCTGCTCCATCAATACGGCTGTGCCTACCCACTGGACTGACCAGAGAACAGAGTAAGACACTGGAGAAACAGCAATGCCTTTCAGGGTACCAGGGAGTTCTTTTGGTGGATAGAGACTGCCCAGCGGAGCCTCAGAAGACTCTCCTTGAGAAGGTCACATTGAAGGGGAGAGCAGTTTGGGAGGCAGGAGAAAAGGCTGGGATGTATGGAGGTAAGGTCACAACCCATGTGCACAATTTCTCCTCTCAAATCTCAACAATTCATCAGCTACAGGAATCTACCATGAAAAAAATGAGGTGTCTGGAAATGGTGTGAACTGCTCTTCGTTGGCACAACTATAAAGATTCTAGTCTCCACAGGGCAGTTCCTGGCTTGCTAGGATTGGACCCATGGGACTTTTAAGTGGCCAGACTGTTTCCAAGCTGAACATCATTAACCTGCTTCCTGTATAGTCTCAGGCTCTGAGGAATACTGCCATGCCTATGAATAGATACTTCCAAGTGTAATGAGCTGTCACAGGAAACTCAAGGCCATGGATGTCATCTTCTCTTGAGTGTCTGCCCTAATTTCCTCCTTAACTTCTTAAGATTCCCTAGAATCAAGTCATTGCAATGAATTTATACCTTCTAATTTATAGGCACTAAAAATCATTCATTTTGCTCTGCTGAGTACATTAGCATTTATAAAAACAATTACCAAATAATACCATGAAAAGAGAAAGAGTGCTGGCGGGGATCCCCAGTGGTCCAATGCTTAGGATCCAGCGCTTTCACTGCTGAGGGCCCAGGTTCCATCCCTGGTCAGGGAACTAAGATTCTGCAAGCCATGAGGCATGGCAAAAAATAATAAATGAGTGTTTTAGCAGTGGGAACATTTAACTTATTTTTGGAGGTTGACATAGTAGTAGCATTTTCCAATTCTTTTATTTATAATCCTAAAATTGAATAAAGGAAAGGCACTACTTGGATTAACTCCTAAATATAGAAAATAAAGTCTCATAAAGCTTGCTTATATGTCCTGATGTATTTCTCCTTCAGCCAAATGCAGGGTTCATCACTGAATGTCCCCCATGGGTCCTCTCACCCTCCTTCCACTCGCCACGATACTCCTCTCCACTGGAGTAAGTGAAGGAACCTTTTGTCAGGGTCATGGTGACAGCTCACAGAAGGATGAAATCTGCAAGAAACAACAAAGGAGAACCAGTGTCATAGAATGGCTGGAGGAAAGGCCTGGAGAGCAATTTTATAGATATCTTCTAAAGGCTACCAGAATGGTAAGCATGAACTACCTTGAGTACATTTAACAAAAATCCCCACCCCCAACCACCACCACCTCTGCCCAAACAGTCTTATCCTCTTACTTGTCTCAAAAGTTTCAGCCAGTTCTAATTTTCCAAGACCTGGGATGGAAATTTAGGATTAATCTTTAAGCATTTGCTTGATACCTACTATGTGCTTAGTTAATGCATAGAATATAGCCTTGTCCCTTGATGAGTTTGTAGTCTAGTTGATAAAAGTAACAATTGAAACACTGAATAATATGAGAGATAATATAATTAAATATCAAACTGGATGGCAGAGATTACAAAGACAAGGAATTGGCAGAATTTAAAACAAGCAGTGAAGAATGCAAAGGGCAATTCCAGACTGAAAAAACACGGGGATGAAAACACCAAGAGCAACATAAACATGACATGTGCAGTGGGAAATAAGAAGCCGGGTCTTGAAGGTTTATTTAGAGTAATGGGAAGTAGGGCTTCTCTGGTGGCTCAGATGGTAAAGCATCTGCCTGCAATGCGGAAGACCCAGGTTTGATCCCTGGGTTGGGAAGATCCCCTAGAGAAGGAAATGGCAACCCACTCCAGTACTCTTGCCTGGAAAATTCCATGGACAGAGGAGCCTGGTAGGCTACGGTCCATGGGGTTGCAGAGAGTCGGACATGACTGAGCAATTTCACTTTCAATGGGAAGTAAATTCATTTATGTACACCCAGCCTAAATCTTAAATCTGAAAAGAATCCAAACCCCCTCATTTTGGAGGGAGAACCATTTGGAGAAAACAGAAGCCCAAAGAGGCTAAGAACTAGTTTAGTGAGCAATGATGATGATGGTGCCCGTGCCTCCCCGACTGCCACTGGTTTTTTCCCCCCCGGACCTGCTTTTAGGGTCAGGCCAGCTTAGTGAGGCCTTCGGAAGCTAGGCAGAAGGGCTGATGGCTGATAAGATAGGGGAAAAGAAGAAACCTCTGGGGGTTACAACACAAACTATGAAAGCAGAGTCTAAGGAAAATGAATGTGGCAGAAGGAAGCAGGATGGGTTGGAACAGCAAAAGCCTACAGCCAGAAAAGCTACAAGAGATGTGATTCTTTCAGTTCAGTTCAGTCGCTCAGTCGTGTCCAACTCTTTGCGACCCCATGAATCACAGCACGCCAGGCCTCCCTGTCCATAGTCAACTGTAAAAATGCACATGACATATTCTCTCTTCATCCATGCCTTTGTAATGTGACATGGCAGATCCTCCACTAAGAGGCAGGTTATTTATTTCTCTGCCCATTGGATCTGGGTGGGTTATCTGACTTGCGGACTGCAGATGCCTGGGTGAGCTCAGGCAGGACTGGAAGAGCTGCCCTCCTGAGCTCAACCCTGAATTACTCACCCACAGAATCACAGACTAAAGAAATGGTTGTTTTAGCCACTATAATTTGGGGATGCTGTGTAATAACACACCTAGCAAAAGCTAACTGATATGCCCAGGTTTGAGCTCCTAAGGCCTGAACTAGGGAGACAACAGGATAAAGTGAAAGTGAAAGTGAAAGTCGCTCAGTTGTGTCTGACTCTTTGCGACCCTATAGACTATACAATCCATCAAATTCTCCAGGCCAGAATACTGGAGTGGGTAGCCGTTCCCTTCTCCAGGGGTTCTTTCCAACCCAGGTATCAAACCCAGGTCTCCTGCATTGCAGGTGGATTCTTTACCAGCTGAGCCACAAGGGAAGCCCAGGGTAATGGGAGCAGGAATGATTATTAGATATGTTAACAGAATAAATGAAAACAACCGATAATATTTGGAGACTGACTAGGTATAGCTTCATATGAGTGGTAAAACAATGTTTATCTTCAAGGGTATTCTACAAGAAGGGGTTAAGATACTCAAAACATAATTAAATATAAACAGAGATAAACAGAATAATTTGATGTATTTTTTAACATACAATCCCTATTTCTCTTTCTTTCTCTTTCTCTTCTTCCTATGCCCTCTCCTCTGGCAACTATCTGTTTGTTCTCTGTAACTTTCTGTTTTGTTATGTTCATTCATCTATTTTTGTTTTATAAATTCCATGTATAAGTGAAATCATATGGCATTTGTCTTTATCTGACTTATTTCATTTTAGCAAAATACCCTCTAGAGGTCCATCCATATTGTCACAAATGGCAAGATTTCATTTTTTATTATGGCTGAGTAGTATTCTACCATATATATACATATACATTAATATACACCACATCTTCTTTACCCATTCATCTATTGATGGGCACTTAAATTGTGTCCATATTTTGGCTATTGTAAACAATGCTGCAATGAACATAGGGGTGCATATCATTTCCAATTAGTGTTTTCGTTTTCTTCAGATAAATACCCAGGAGTGGTAGTACTAGATCATATGGTAGCTCTGTTTTTAATTTTTTGAGGAACTACCATACTGTTTTCCATAGTGGCTGTACCAATTTACACTCCCATCAATAGTACACAAGATTTCCCTTTTCTCACATCCTTGGCAACACCTATAATTTGTTGTCTTTTTGATAATAGTCATTCTAACAGGTGTGAAGTAATAGCTCACTGTGGGTTTTTAGAAATATTTTTAAATTTTAAATTTATTTATGGCAGTGCTGCGGCTTAATTGCTGCACACAGGCTTTCTCTGGTTGCAGCTAGCTGGGGCTACCCCCTGGTTGTGGTGCACAGACTTCTCATTGCAGTGGCTTCTCCTGTAGCAGAGCACAGGCTCTAGAGTGTGTGGGCTTCGGTAGTTGTGGTCCATGGGCTTAGATGCCCCTCAACATGTGGCATCTTCCTGGACCAGGGATCAAACCCATGTCCCCAGCACTGGCAGGCAGATTCTTAACCACTGGACCACCAAGCAAGTCTTCTCATTGTGGTTTTGATTTGCATTTCCTTGATGGTCGGTGATGTTGGCCATCCGTACATCTTCTTTGGAAAAATATCTATTCAGGTTCTCTGCTCATTTTTCAATCAGGCTGTCTGCTTTTTTGATACTGAGCTTTATGAGTTCTTTGTATATTTTGGATATTAACCCCTTATCAGATACATTATTTGCAAATATCTTCTCCTATTTAGTAGGTGGCTTTTTCATTTTGTTGATAGGTTCCTTCACTGTGCAAAAGCTTTTTAGTTTAAGTCCCATTTGTTAATTTTTGCTTTTGTTTCTCTTGCCTGAGGAAACATATCCAAAAAATATTGCGAGGACTGATGTCAAAGAGCATGCTGCCTATCTTTTCTTCTAGGAGTCTTGTGGTGTCACGACTTACATTTAAGTCTTTACTCCATTTTGAGGGCTTGTTCAATTGTACATGATGTGACAGAGTAGTCCAATTTGATTCCTTTGCATGCAGCTGCCCAGTATTCCCAACACAATTTACTGAAGAGGCTATCTTTTCTCCATGGTATATTCTTGCCTCTTTTGTGGTAGACTAGTTGCCCATTTAACTGTGGGTTCATTTTTCTGCTCTCTGTTCTACATCTGTGTGCCTGTTTTTGTGCCCATATGTACTATTTTGGTCACTCTAGCTTTGTAGTGTAGTTTGAAATCAGGACGCATGATACTTTCAGCTTTGCTGTCTTTCTTAAGATTACTTTGGCCATTCAGGATCTTTTGTGTTTCCTGAAAAACTCAAATAACATTTTGGAAAAATAATCAACAATTTTGACTAATGAGGTAAGTACTGAGTAGAGGAAAAGTAAATTAAAGCCACTCATCTGTTCTTTATCAGTGCCTTATGGGATATTCTAATTTTGGCCTATGTCATAATGATTTTGATACAGATGTTAAAAGCTCCTAAGTGATCTGATGTGAAGACAGCCTGGCCTGAACAGAGCAGAAGCCCTGTGCTCTCACCCAAATACACAGGGATATTAATTTCTACCTCTATAATGAAGGCCAGCCTTATGGAAGTTCTTTAGGTGATGTTTAGAGGCTTCCTGGGTGGCTCAGACTATAAAGAATCTGCCTGCAATGCAGAAGACCCGGGTTCGATCCCTGAGTTGGGAAGATGCCCTGGAGGAGCGCATGGCAACCCACTCTAGTATTCTTGCCTGGAGAATCCCAAGGACAGAGGAGCCTGGTGGGCCACAGTCCATGGGGTAGCAAAGAGTTGGACACGACTGAGTGACTTTCACTTCACTGCAGAGTCATTCCCATAGGTCCACCAGAGATTTTTTCCAATTTTCCAATTACTCAGGAGATCCATATCCAGGGTCCCTTAAATAGTAGAAGATATCCCAAGACAAGGATCATTTTCTTGTCTTAATGCCCCTCAGTACCTCTAGGGGGCTATTTCTCAGTGAGGTGATTATGGCATCTGGCATGCCATCTCTGTCGCATCAATGTTCCACAAGGTCAGCATCTAATTTCAGGCTCACAAGCTTCTTATAATCAACCCAGCACCAGAGTATGCCTGGGGTAGAGGTCAATATGACTCCATGGCAAATACAACATTATTGAGGAGAAGAGAAGCAGTTTGCCATCAAAACTAAAGAGGAAAAAAACTCTTTCCAATCCAGACAGACATTTTGACAGCTAGAGGCTACCATTAGCTCTTCCCAGAAATAATTACATCAGAGAACTAAAAGTGTCAGCTATGATATAAATCTGAACTACTTCATTCCTTCAAAACAAATCAGAATATGAATGGTTGCATCTTCTATTAAATATTGAAACTAAACAACTGTTCTGATACATAAACACAAAATCATTATTTCCACAGGAAGATGATGTTAAGGACATTCCCTTTAAACGTTTAGAAGCAGCTAATTTGTCTTCACAGTTTTGGAAGGAGTTATTGCAGTGCACGTTGAGAAATCAGACTGATGGCACAGGGGCCCAGTCTCTTGTATGTTTACTTTTTCTTGTATGAAATTTCCAAACAGTGGCATCCTACCAGTAGAAAGAACCTGAAAGGGAACAGTGCTTCTCTAAAATTTGATGATTATCTAGGGACCAAGTACTAGCCAGCCCCTCCAATTGTAAACCTAGCCACTCTTTCATTATGCTGTTAGCTTTTGGGCAATATATCCTAAACACTTCAAAGAAGCCAAAGAAATGAAAGATTAGCTTCTCATTACCAAATAGAGTGGACTGTATTTTCCGAAGATATTTGCGACCATATTTCCTGTCTTAACACGTTCTTCTACAATTTGACCTTGCCACTGTCCCATCAAAAACTTGTGTCTAACTCCTCACCTATGAATCTGGCCAGGCTTGTGATTGCTTCAACCGATAGAAGGTGACGGAAGTGATGGTGTGTTCTGAGGTTAGATCATAAAAGGTGATGCAGTTTCCATCTTGCTCACTGGTAAACTTGAGCTCGGAGATCTGAGACACCACATAAGTAGTTTGATTACCCTGAGGCTACCATGCTCAGAGGCTGGGCCACATATAAAGTCACATGCGTTGGTACTTTCAGTTAGCAGTCCTCATCTCTGAACCACCCTATCCTAGGCACCAGGAGTGAGTAAAGGAGCTTTCAGAATGATTCCAGCTCCCAGCCATTGAACCTGCATCTCAGCTGAAGTATCATGGAACAGAGTGAGGTCATTGCCATGACGCCCTCTCTGAATTCCTGACTCACAGGATCTGTGAGCACCATATGGCAGGTTTCAAGCAACTAATTTTGGGGTAGCTGTTGTATAGCAATTGTAACTGAAACATCATCTCTCAACCTAACCCTGCCACCATCCTTTTCCATTTGTTTTCAATGTAGAATGTTTGCAGGTACTACAAATTCCCATTCCTTTTTGTTCTAGGGAGATAGAGCAAACTTCAATAGTTGGTTGTCAAAATGATGTCAGTTCCCAAGAACACAATCAGAAGTGCTAATTAAAGGAACCAGATGTACACTCCATTCCTCTCAGGTCATGGTTGAACACACTTGATTAGAAAGTTCTACATGTGTGCAAATAATTGATATTGTCACTGCCTGAGACAGTGTCAGGGCTTTCATTTATGACTTCTGTAATTAACCATGCTAATTAATAGCTGTATAGCCACTGACCCAAAAAGGAACTTTATCAATAATCATAGTTATTGAGACAAATCTAGTTTAATGAAGTATAGCCAGTGCTGATATAGACAAAAAAAAACCCAATACTTTAATAAGGGATGCAAATCAGTATTTGTATCAGCTATTCAAAAAATCTTTTTAAAGAGAATAGATGGCCTAGGAGTTTAGGCTTCAGATACAAATGTGGAATCTAGCTAGAAAGTCAAGATGAGTCATCCTTCTTAACAGATGCCCACCCTTTCTCTCTTGATAGATAGGTTGCAAAGGATCAAACCAAACATTTATCTAAAAGAAAATGACTATTTTGTCCTCATAAACCAACACACTGTTAGGCTACACAATACACTATATCCTCATTATCTTTATTTTCTCCTGCCCCAGACATTTCCAAATAGAACTAGAAGACAGGGATGAAAACTTTTGTTTCCATTTCATTTGTCTTTTTATAAAATTTCAGAAATCAAACTGATCAAAAATATTTATGCATCCACAGTAATTAACATATGTCCAAATCCAGAGGATTAAAAAAAAAAAAACTAAAAGAGAGCAGATTTTCAGTTTAAGAATATTTTTTGAAGGCATCCACTTTAACAACCCACATATATTAATAAGCGTCACGGTTCCCCTAAAGCCAACCTCCCCAGGGTATGACAGTCTTGTCAAAGTTCTTTGAGCTATAAAGAAAGCAGTTCTTATGCTTTTAGAATTCCACAAAGAAGAAAATGAAGGCTTTGATGAACAAACATCAGGCTTGTAAGGGACTTAGAACAAAAAGTCAAATGTTCTTTTTTAAAGTATTTTAAGTGAGCTTAAAATATTGTCTCTTTTAAGTCTGTAAATCTCTTTCACTATACCAGTTCTTCCTTCCACAGGAAAAGTAAACAAATGTATCACTATTAGATAAAGGTCTTATTCAGGAAGACTGTGAGACAGTTAAGATTGCGGAAAGTGGAAAGCAAATCCTGATGCCAGAAAGAAGGTCAAAACAAAAAACCCAGAGGCCTTGGGGCAATGGGGACTGCCAGGATACTATTCTGGTCCATGTTAAAGTAAAATGCCTGGGCTGGGTTCTAATATAGCCTCGTGACTTCCGCTGGTACCTGAGCAGTTTGGAGATGCTAGACGTAGGAATGCCACCGTCAGCTAATTTAAGCATCCACTTCCCCAAGCCTCCCTTGAGTGTGTGCGGGACGCCTCTCCACCAAAGTGTGACAGGCGAATCCTGAGCAAACAAAGTCCTAGACCACAAGAAAGCAACTCTTCTCGTCGACCTCCCTATTTCTTCTCCCACCGGTCCTGGCCTTTCAGCACCGCTCCTTCCCTTCACCCAGGGTCAGCTCTTCCTCGCGGGCGGGGTCTTCCGCTCACACAGGTCTGCCATCCGCTCTTCACAAAGCCCCCACCCACCCCGCTCGCTATCCCGGGCGCCATGGGCTCCCTCGAGCCTCAGACCCCGCAGCAGAGACGGAAGCCCGGGTTCTGGGACCCCCGCGGGTGCTACCCCCCCGGATGGACCCGCGCTCCCCAGCCCCTGTCATTTCGGGCTGGGCTCCCCAGTCCCTTTTTTCCGATCACACTCTCTCGGCCCCCTCCCACCCGTGCTGCCAGTCAACCTGGGCCGGGGCTTCAAGGATGATCGTCTCACCCCGACGCCGGGCTGCAGCGGCCCTGACCTCGCTTCCGCCCGGCTCGCCCTTGCCACCTGCCTCTCCGCGGCTACCTCCAGTGCCTGCCCCACTGGACGCCGCCATCCTGCGTAGCCACACTGGGAACAATTCCCGCAGCCCATTGGCTGTTACCTAGGCAACCGGTAGCAACGCCACTCCCCATTGGGCCAGCCCCGGGCTCTTCGCCATCTTTGTGCGGGGCAGTGTCTCAGGCTCCCTGCGCTGAATACAGCAAAGAAGGGTGGAGCTGAACTACTACCGTCACGTCTCAGCCACCCGGAGAACTCAGAACTCACCTACCAGGTGTAGCCTAGCTGACTAACCAAACCAAACCAAACCAAACCAAACCAAACCTGAGTCAGAGGCAGCAATGACCACCTACACCAGCGTCTTCTATCCTGCTCAGATCTCCACAGTTGTCAAAGGCACCCATGAGGAGCTAAAGGACAGAGGACTTTTGAGGTTGCGACTTTGTAAATTGTAAAGAGCAAGACAGGGCAACTGCAGTTTCATAAGTATCCGCCCTGTGCTAGCATTGTGATATCAGGGCACTTTTGCATTCACTATACGGATTTGTGTTGTCGTTGGCATTACTCATACCATTTATATTTAAAATATAGTGTCAAGATTGGAACAAATCCTCCCAAATATCATGCACACCAACCGACTTACCCATATTTATTTACTGAACAATGTGAAAGCTGCATGATGCTAGGTTCTGCCAGGTTAGAATAGACATGATCACCGCTCTCATGGGATTTAAACTGCCTCCATGTGGAGAAGAAAAGATTCGTGCAAGTGGAAAAATTCAAGACTATATTTAATTATTAAGAGAAGGCAAGCACATGAACAGAGTAAGTAGATTTCTCCTCTGAATTTGGATTTCCTAATCTGTAGAATAGGATGGTAATAGTAATAATGATAAAGTCTCCCCAGAACTTGTACGAAAATACAACATAAAATTCTTAGTACTGTACTTGTAGGAGTCTGACACTGTAAGTGTTCAGTAAACTGTAGATTTAAATGATTGGGATTTTGTCTTCAGATCCCATCTTTGCTACCAATTGTGTTGGTAAGCTCTCTAGCCTGTGAAATGAGTTTGCACTAGCAAACCTGTAAGATTCTGTCCAGCTCCAACCCACTGGTTCAAGGAGCTGAACTATGTAGTGTTAGCTATGGATATAAGTACAATAGTTGAGAGAACATAGCGTTAATAAAACAGATATTAGATTGGAGAATGTGTATTTAGAAAATATGAAGAAATAAAGTTAAATAGACTGGTCAAATTATGGAAAGACTTGAAAAATTAGAAGATATATTTTGCAAAATGTGGTTTCTCAGATCTGCAAATTTGTAGACACAGAAAGTAAAATAGAGGTTACCAAGGGCCAGGGGAAGAGGAAATTATTGTTTAACAGGTACAGAGTTTTTGTTGGGATGAAAAAAAAGCTTTGCGTAAAGATAGTGGTGATAGTTACACAACATTGTGAATGTATTTACTGTCACTGAATTAGACACTTGTGAACAAAGGTCCCTCTAGTCAAGGCTATGGTTTTTCCAGTGGTCATGTATGGATGTGAGAGTTGGACTGTGAAGAAAGCTGAGTGCCGAAGAATTGATGCTTTTGAACTGTGATGCTGGAGAAGACTCTTGAGAGTCCCTTGGACTGCAAGGAGATCTAACCAGTCCATCCTAAAGGAGATCAGTCCTGGGTGTTCATTGGAAGGACTGATGCTGAAGCTAAAACTCCAATACTTTGGCCACCTGATGCGAAGAGTTGACTCATTGGAAAAGACCCTGATGCTGGGAGGATTTGAGGGCAGGAGGAGAAGGGGACAACAGAGGATGAGATGGCTGGATGGCATCACCGACTCGATGGACATGAGTTTGAGTAAACTCCGGGAGTTGGTGATGGACAGGGAGGCCTGGTGTGCTGCGGTTCATGGGGTCACAAAGAGTCGGACACAACTGAGCAACTGAACTGAACTGAATGGTTAAAATAATAAATATTACATATATTTTACCACAGTAAAAAAAATATGGTTTCTTAAAAAAAAAATATGGTTTCTTGATCAGAGTGGTGACACAATCAAACCAGTGTTTTAAGAAAATTAATCTGGCACTGACACCAGAGATGATCAGAGAGAGAGTGAAAGCAGAGAAACACACTCAGAAGCTTTGGCAGTTGTGGGGTGCGGGGCTGAGTGTCCAGTGCAATACAGCAGTTAACTGCTGGCTATCTGTTTTGCTGCAGTCCATGGGGTTGCAAAGAGTTGGACATGACTGAGCGACTGAACTGATCTGTTTTGCACATGATGGTGTGTATGTGTCAGTGCTGCTCTCTTGATTTGTTCTGCCCTTTCCTCCCCCACCTCCTGTGTCCACTATATGTAAAATAGATAGCCAATGGGAATTTGCTGCTTGTCTCAGGAAGCTCAAACAGGGACTCTGTGTCAACCTAGAGGGGTGAAATGGGGAGAGAGATGGGAGGGAGGTTCAAGAGGGAGGGGATATATTTATACCTATGGCTGATTCATGTTGAGGTTTGACAGAAAACAACAAAATTCTGTAAAGCAATTATCCTTCAATTAAAACTAAGTTAAATATATATATATATATATATATAAAGATTAAAATATCTAATGAGTTCATACTGGTAAGCCCAATTCAAATATGGGACTGCAAGGCTTTTACTTAATTTCTTCTGTTCTATGTCTCTACTTTTCTTCCACCCTGATTCTCAAGGGCACAAATGACGTTAAAATATCTCACAATCACTTATTTGGTACCTTCCACACAATTGGTAAATTATACACAATTGACAATGTTAGTATTACCACCATGGTATTGCTGAAAACAGTTGTTTTGTGCATATTCTCTCCCCATTCTCCTCCTCCTTTTTTTTAAAAATTATACTTTATGTCACTTTGCTTATTTAACTTATGTGCAGAGTACATCATGTGAAATGCCAGACTGGATGAAGCACAAGCTGGAATCAAGATTGCCGGGAGAAATATCAGTAACCTCAGATATGTAGATAACACCAATCTTATGGCAGAAAGGGAAGAGGAACTAAAGAGCCTCGTGATGAAAGTTAAAGAGGAGAGTGAAAAAGTTAGCTTAAAACTCAGCATTAAAAAAATTAAGATCATGGCATATGGTCCTATCACTTCATGGCAAATAGATGGGGAAACAATGAAAACAGTGACAGACTTTATTTTTAGGGGCTCCAAAATCACTGCAGATGGTGACTGCAGCCATGAAATTAAAAGATGTTTGCTTCTTGGAAGAAAAACTATGACCAACCTAGACAGCATACTAAAAAGCAGAGACATTACTTTGCCAACAAAGGTCTGTCTAGTCAAAGCTTTGATTTTTTCAGTAGTCATGTATGGATGTGAGAGTTGGGCCATAAGGAAAGCTCAGTGCCTGATAATTGATGCTTTTGAACTGTGGTCTTGGAGAAGACTCTTGAGAGTTCCTTAGACAGCAAGGAGATCAAACCAGTCAATCCTAAAGGAAATCCACCCTGAATATTCATTGGAAGGACTGATGCTGAAGTGAAGCTCCAGTACTTTGGCTACCTGATGTTAAGAACTGACTCATTGGAAAAGACCCTGATGCTGGAAAGATTGAAGGCAGGAGGAGAAGGGGATGACTGAGGACGAGATGGTTGGATGGCATCACTGACTTGATGGACATGAGTTTGAACAAGCTCTGGGAGTTGGTGATGGACAAGGAAGCCTGGCATGCTGCAGTCCATGAGGTCTCAAAGAGTTGGACAGGACTGAGGACTGAACTGAACTGACACTTTATTTAAAAAAGAAAGAAAGAAACTATTGCAATAATGTAGCTAAGACATCCTGAGAGTACCAAAAGTAATGAGTCATCAGTGAGGATGGACAGAAAGGGGTAAATATGAAACACATTTCATAGAAATAATAAGAAGCAATGTGGTGTTGAAAGCATGGAGGTAGTCTGACTGGATTTGGGTCCAGCTCTGTCATTTATCAGCTGCATGACTTTTGGCAGGTTAGTTTCCTTGGTTTCCAACATCATGAGGCTATAGTGCCAGTTACATGGCTTAATCCCAGTAATACATGTAAACAATACTTGCCACATGCTTAACATTTGGTAAGTGGAAGATGGTTCAGTGGGTAAAGAATCCGCCTAACAATGCTGGAGCCACAGAAGACAGGGGTTTGATCTTTGAGCCGGGAAATTCCCCTGAGGGAGGAAATGACAACCCACTCCAGTGATCTCGCCTACAGAATCCCATGGATAGAGAAGCCTGGTGGGCTACAGTCCATGGGGTCACAAAGAGTTGGACACGACTGGGCAATCAAGCATGGATTCAGCACGAGCTCTTAAAATGTCTAGGGAATGTACTGACACTTTTCAGTAAAAGGAAAATCAAGCTCTCAGAGGTAAATACAGAAATAATTTCTGAGGGTTTTCCATAGACAAAACTCAGAATTCAAAGGAGAACTCTGAATCTTGGAGCTCTCCTTGACCATAATTTGAAGCTTAAGGGCTAAATGAGATGAATAATACTAAGAGATCACCTCTGTGGCTATGGCCCCTGAGACATAAGAGGCAAGTATTACTTAATTATTTGGTGTCTAGTTAGGAAAAGGAAATACATGTCATAACTGAAAAGGAAAACTGAACCATCTGTATGGACTTCTGCATAGGTTTACTTGGCAAAAAAAAGTGTTTAAGACATTCCTATTGTTAAAAATAAGACACAGGCCCCAAATAGAATCACTTAGGCTGAGCTTGTGTCACCAAACCTAAACCTAATACCTTTCTTAATTACTGTTAGAGCCTCTCCCAGACAAGGAATCTTAAACCAGGCAATCTGGAATTACCTGGTCAACACTAGTGAGGTAATCTTTCCAATAGACCCTGTCAGTCTGGCCCTCAAGGGAAGGGGAATCTTGCTGCAACCAATCTGCTTTCCCTGTAACTTCCTTGGCTCTTTGCCCTCTGCCTATACAGGCCTTTCATTTTGTGCAGCTAAGAGCTCCTTTCTATCTGCTAGATGGGATGCTGCACAATTCATGAATCATTTAAGAAAGCCAGGAAGTTCTTTAAAATTTATCCAGTTGAATTTTGTTCTGTAACACCATACATACAATTAAACAATAGTTCTTTTAGTTCCCTGCTTCTAGTTAGTAGTGGCAATGATTTGATTCAAGAAAGAATGATCTTTAAATATTGGTTACTATGTGGCTGGTCATCTTTTGTGAAAACCTATGCTTTTAGTCTGTTGGTTACTTTAAACATAAAGACAAAAACAACATCAACAATATTAACAAAATTAAAAGTTACCATTCATTGAATGCTTTTTAATGTGCTAAGCACTATGCTTAGTGTTTTACATACTTATTTTGATTCCTATTTAACCAATTGAGGAAGGGATGATTACTCTCATTTTATAGAGGAGGAAGCTGACGCTTAGAGAGTTTAGTAATGTACAAAATAATGTGTGGAGCTGGAGTTCAAACTCAGATGTCTCTTGATTCATTCTTTTCCTAATGATGAAATAAATATTCACATTTTAAGACAAAACAAGAACTTAAACATTTTGTCTGCCAGTTTGGACTTCCTTCTTCCTCTCTAGTGTGGATTGTGCATCTGCCTCATGCATTAATCAGACCTCCTCAGTGGCAGAAATACATGCTCAACTATAAAGATCAAATTTTCTTCTGGCTCCAGCCATATAACTCCTTAGAAAATAATGTTCATTTCTCAATCCTTGTGTGTACAGACATATTTGGTGAACTATTAACATATATACAATTCCAGTATATCATTTCCCTTAACAATAACAATTAGTGAAGAACAGACTGATTCGACCACCTGGGGAGATACTAGGCTCCATGTAATAGAAGTTCTGAGCTTAAGTACTTACTTATGACTTTACTAATGTTACTAGCTATGTTACTTGTATTCTGCCTATTTTATGGAATTATTGTTTCTCGCATTACGAAATGTGAAACTGAGTCTCCAGTAAAATTAATGATGATTAGTTGACTTGAAATGACTGACCAGATACATAGTCCTATAAGATCAATGATGTAATAGTGTAACTCTAAATATGGGAAGAAACAACAAAAGGGAACTATTTCCTGGACCACAACAGACAAGTAGGACAGGTGGTCAAGAGACTCTGGGCTACTGCTAACAGAGCCTAGTCTAGGAATAGCACATGGAATGGCCTATGAATGAAGTTCTCACCTGACCTGGGAATCAGCACGCCATGGGACAAGTTGGTCACAAAATGCCTTCCAAGCCCTGGCTGAAATTAAGACTGAAAGAGAACGGACTGTAAAATAAAGAGCATTACGCACCATTTAGTCCTACAGGAATCAAATCATTAGGCACGGCAGTCACTGACCTATGATATTTGCCATGATGTGATAGGACCGGATGCCATGATTACAGTTTTTTGAATGTTGAGTTTTAAGCCAGCTTTTTCACTCTCCTCTTTCACCCTCATCAAACATTAAGTAAGATATCTGTTCCTTGTGAATAGCAGTAAACTTCTACCAAGATGTGTGCTTAACTGCAGTACATATTCCTTAAAATCATGCCTCCCCTCCCCTCCCCTCTTCAGAACTGTGCTCATAGTTGTCCGAGAGACCCTCTCCAAAGTTATAATCTTCAGGCTGGATCAAATAAAATTTTCCATTTCTTTTGTAAATTGACTCCTGATTAATCCCACAGTACCCTCCCTCCTCCCAGTGATCTAATTCCATTCTTCCTTTAAGACTTAGCTCATAGCACATGCTGAACTGAAAGCCTTTGCTAACTCTCCAGTCAACCCCGAAATTGCTGAACTCCTTTATGGAGTTTCCAGCACTCATTAGTGACTCTTTTTCTTCTACTGCCTCAGAGAGCTGTGGTCTTCAGCTTGTGGGCAGGGGCGGTATCGTCCTTCTCTTTTCCACTAATAAAAATGTACCAAGCACCTACAAAGTCTAGACACTGAGGTTTCACAGTGATGAACAAAAGAAGTCATGGACTCTTACTTCTCTGATCTCAGAATTTTTTAGGCTAATGGTACCATATTTTTCTTCAATTAACAAGCACTGAGATTTGAGTCATGCATTGTGTAAACTGCATGAGGACTGGAATTTTTAAAAACTTTTTTACTTAGAGCAGGGATTTTGTTTCTTTGCTTCACTCCTGGCTCTCTTGAAAACAGTAGGTGCTCAATAAATATTTAATGAATGAGCACATGATGGAATGACTCAGACACAAAGACCACAGTTCCCTGATCTCACAGCTGGCTCATAGTAGGTACTCAAGAAATGAGTGACTGACTGATGACGTCAGTTCAGTTCAGTTAAGTCGATCAGTTGTACCTGACTCTTTGTGATCTCATGGACTGCAGCACGCCAGGCCTCCCTGTCCATTACCAACTCCCGGAGTCCACCCAATCCCATGTCCATTGAGTCGGTGATGCCATCCAACCATCTCATTCTCTGTCGTCCCCTTCTCCTCCCGCCTTCAATCTTTCCCAGCATTAGGGTCTTTTCCAGTGAGCCAACTCTTCACATGAGGTGGCCAAAGTACTGGAGTTTCAGCTTCAGCATCAGTCCTTCCAGTGAACACCCAGGACTGATCTCCTTTAGGATGGACTGGTTGGATTTCCTTGCAGTCCAAGGGACTCTCAAGAGTCTTCTCCAACATCACAGTTCAAAAGCATCAATTCTTCAGCGCTTGGCTTTCTTTATATTCCAACTCTCACATCCATACATGACTACTGGAAAAACCATAGCCTTGACTAGACAGACCTTTGTTGGCAAAATAATGCCTCTGCTTTTTAGTATGCTGTCTAGGTTGGTCATAACTTTTCTCCCAAGGAGTAAGTCTTTTAATTTCATGGCTGCAATCACCATCTGCAGTGATTATGGAGCCCGCCAAAATAAAGTCTGCCACTGTTTCCACTGTTTATCCATCTATTTGCCATGAAGTGATGGGACTGGATGCCATGATCTTTGTTTTCTGAATGCTGAGCTTTAAGCTAACTTCTTCACTCTCCTCTTTCACTTTCATCAAGAGGCTGTTTAGTTCTTCTTCACTTTCTTCCATAATGGTGGTGTCATCAGCATATCTGAGGTTATTGACATTTATCCTGGCAATCTTGATTCCAGCTTGTGCTTCCTACAGCCCAGCGTTTCTCATGATGTACTCTGCATATAAGTTAAATAAGCAGAGTGACAATATACAGCCTTGACATACTCCTTTCCCCATTTGGAACCAGTCTGTGTTCCATGTCCAGTTCTAACTGTTGCTTCCTGACCTGGATAAAGATTTCTCAAAAGGAAGGTGAGTGGTCTTGTATTCCCATCTCTTTCAGAATTTTCCAGAGTTTATTGTGATCCACACAGTCAAAGGCTTTGACATAGTCAATAAAACAGAAATAGATGTTTTTCTGGAACTCTCTTGCTTTTTCGATGATCTAGCGGATGTTGGCAATTTGTTCTCTGGTTCCTCTGCCTTTTCTAAAACCAGCTTGAACATCTGGAAGTTCACAGTTCATATACTGTTGAAGCCTGGCTTGGAGAATTTTGAGCATTATTTTACTAGCGTGTGAGATGCATGCAATTGTGCGGTAGTTTGAGCATTCTTTGGCATTGCCTTTCTTAGGGACTGGAATGAAAACTGTTTTTTCCAGTCCTGTGGCCACTGCTGAGTTTTTCAAATTTACTGGCATGTTGAGTGCAGCACTTTCACAGCATCATCTTTTAGGATTTGAAATAGCTCAATTGGAATTCCATTACCTCCACTAGCTTTGTTTGTAGTCATGCTTCCTAAGGCCCACTTGACTTCACATTCCAGGATGTCTGGCTCTAGGTGAGTGATCACACCATCGTGATTATCTGGGTCATGAAGATCCTTTTTTTTTTTTTTTAGTTCTACCAGTTTATTGCTACCAACCCATCTCCCTCCACCCTCGTGCACACATGCTCAGTCATGTAATCCCATGGACTTCAGCCCGCCAGAGTCCTCTGTCCATGGATTTTTCCAGGCAAGAATACTGGAGTGGGTTGCCATTTCCTTCTCCATGAAGATCTTTTTTGTATAGTTCTTCTGTGTATTTGTGCCACCTTTTCTTAATATCTTCTGCTTCTGTTAGGTTCATACCATTTCTGTCCTTTATTGAGCCCGTCTTTGCATGAAATATTCCCTTGGTATCTCTGATTTTCTTGAAGAGATCTCTAGTCTTTCCCATTCTGTTGTTTTCCTCTATTTCTTTAACTGATCACTGAGAAAGGCTTTCTTATCTCTCCTTGCTATTCTTTGGAACTCAGCATTCAAATGGGTATATCTTTCCTTTTCTCCTTTGCTTTTTGCTTCTCTTCTTTTCACAGCTATTTGTAAGGCCTCCTCGGACAGCCATTTTTCTTTTTTGCATTTGTTTTTCTTGAGGATGGTCTTGCTCCCTGTCTCCTGTACAATGTCATAAACCTCCGTCCATAGTTCATCAGGAAATCGGTCTATCAGATCCAGTCCCTCAAATCTATTTCCCACTTCCATTGTATAATCGTTAGGGATTTGACTTAGAGTGTTGCAAAAACAACACCCAGTTGTGGATGTGACTGGTGATGGAAGCAAGGTCCCATGCTGTAAAGAGCAATACTGCATAGGAATCTGGAATGTTAGGTCCATGAATCAAGGCAAATTGGAAGTGGTCAAACAGGAGATGGCAAGAGTGAACGTTGACATTTTAGGAATCAGTGAACTAAAATGGACTGGAATGGGTGAATTTAACTCAGATGACCATTATATCTACTACTGAGGGCAAGAATCCCTTAGAAAAAATGGAGTAGCCATCATAGTAAACAAAAGAGTCCGAAATTCAGTACTTGGGTGCAATCTCAAAAACGACAGAATGAACTCTATTCGTTTCCAAGGCAAATCATTCAATTTCTCAGTAATCCAAGTCTATGCCTCGGCCAATAAAGCTGAGGAAGCTGAAATTGAACGGTTCTATGAAGACCTACAAGATCTTCTAGAACTAACATCCAAAAAAGATGTCCTTTTCATTATAGGGGCCTGGAATGCAAGAGTAGGAAGTCAAGAAACACCTGGAGTAACAGGCAGATTTGGCCTTGGGAGTACAGAATGAAGCTGGGCAAAGGCTAATGGAGTTTTGCCAAGCGAACACACTGGTCATAGCAAACACCCTCTTCCAGCTACACAAGAGAAGACTCTACACGTGGCCATCACCAAATGGTCAACAAGGAAATCTGATTATATTCTTTGCAGCCAAAAATGGAGAAGCTCTATACAGTCAGCAAAAACAAGACCGGGAGCTGACTGTGGCTCAGCTCATGAACTCCTTATTGCCAAATTCAGACTTAAGGAAAGTAGGGGAAACCACTAGACCATTTAGGTATGACCTAAATTAAATCCCTAAGGACTGTTGAGGTAGGCTACTTTATTTGTTCGCTGCCAAATAAGAGCCAGCAGTGGGAAGCTAAGGGCGGGGCTGTGCCGGAAGGGAAAGGGGGCGTGTCTGACCCAGAAGCTTGCTCCTGGAGCATGCGCAATCTTCAGAGAAGGTGACGGGCATAAAGTGCGGAGGACGGGATTGCGTAGGCGTTGTTTCTGATTGGATACAGTCTGCGCGCGAGGGGTCGTGCCTACTCGTCGCCAAGTAAACAGGGAAGGTAGGGGCGGGGTCAAGGAGGCACCGGGACCTGGTTGGTCGGGAGAGGGTTGAGAGTTTCGCGGATTGGTCCGGGGCAGGAACTCAGCTGTGTGGAGCGCACCGGGTCCCGGAGCCCGCGGCCTGAGGGATGGACGAGACGAGCCCACTCGTGTCCCCCGAGCGGGCGCAACCTCCGGACTATACCTTCCCGTCCGGCTCGAGCGCTCACTTTCCGCAGGTGCCGGGGGGCGCGGTCCGCGTTGCGGCGGCGGCCGGCCCGGTCCCCTCTCCGCCGGGCTCGCCAGGCCACGACCGGGAGCGGCAGCCTCTGCTGGATCGGGCCCGGGGCGCGGCGGCCCAGGGTCAAACCCAAACCGTGGCGGCGCAGGCCCAAGCCCTGGCGGCCCAGGCCGCGGCGGCGGCGCACGCCGCGCAGGCCCACCGCGAGCGGAACGAGTTTCCGGAGGACCCGGAGTTTGAGGCGGTGGTGCGGCAGGCCGAGTTGGCCATCGAGCGTGGCATCTTCCCCGAGCGCATCTATCAGGGTTCCAGCGGAAGCTACTTCGTCAAGGACCCTCAGGGGGTGAGAGCGGGCTGGGGACTGCGGCCGCCGTCTTCGGGGAGGGTGGACCTGTCCGGGGGAGTTTGAGGCTTCGCACAGTCAGAGCAAGAAGGGGTTTTGAAAGGCTGCGAAAGGAAAAAACTACAGTGCGGAGCTTCGTGGGCAGGATTTTGGAATGCCCCTGAGAACTGGAGATGGAGAAGCTTTGCGGAATGAAGAAATAAATCAGAACTTATTTGGTAGGGGAGGAGTAAGCGGAAAATGAAAAGAGGAAATTGACCAGATATAGGCGAGGGGCCCTGCGGTGTGGTGGGGCAGTTGGCCTCTGGTTAGAGACGTGCAGGGAGATGCTGCTTTCTAGTAGGTTCCTTAGCTTTAAACTACAGACATTAGTTCAGCTACTTACTGATTTGAGCTTTAAGCCCGTCCTTTCTTTTTGGACCGAATCAGTGTTGTCACTGTTCATCCTGGAGGACCGGTGACCCATCAGGGGCGCTGATGGTTCCCTTCCAGCTTTCTCTGTTGTGGGGATGTATTCTGCCACCGACCCAGGTCTCCTATTGGCAGATGTTGCTGATTGACTGGACTCATCAGTTTCATCTGTCCTGGTTATTGCTCACTTCTGAGAAATTGTTCAAATCCTTTTTTATTCCTCAGTTTAGAATGTAAAATTTGAAAAACATGGGACTGTCAGTTACCTTTTACTTTCATTTCTCATCCAGGACTAGTGTTTATCTCACCTTCATTTTGTCCCTTGTATGTGTTTAAAGGGAGATGAGGATGAGTTGGGACATGGAGTGAGGAGGGCAGCTGAAAAGTGACATTCATTCTTTTGATTAGGGTTTCCGTGGTGGCTCAGTGGTAGAGAATCTGCCTGCCAATGCAGGGGACGCCGGTTCCATCCCTGATTTCTGGGAAGGTCCCCTGAAGGAGGAAATGGCAAGCCACTTCAGTATTCTTGACTGAAGAGTCCCGTGTCAGAGGATCCTGATGGGCTGTAGTCCATAGAGTTGCAAAAGAGTCAGAGACAACTTAGTGACTAAAGAGCCCACCAACAAATCAAACTAGAGATGTCTTTGAAATATTCAGTTCAGTTCAGTTCAGTTCAGTTGCTCAGTCGTGTCCGACTCTTTGCGACCCCATGAATTGCAGCATGCCAAGCCTCCCTGTCCATCACCAGCTCCCGGAGTTTACTCATACTCATGACCATCGAGTCAGTGATGCCATCCAGCCATCTCATCCTCTGTCATCCCCTTCTCCTCCTGCCCCCAAGCCCTCCCAGCATCAGGGTCTTTTCCAATGAGTCAACTCTTCGCATCAGGTGGCCAAAGTACTGGAGTTTCAGCTTCAGCATCAGTCCTTCCAGTGAACACCCAGGACTGATCTCCTTCAGGATGGACTGGTTGGATCTTCTTGCAGTCCAAGGGACTCTCAAGAGTCTTCTCCAACACCACAGTTCAAAAGCATCAATTCTTCGGCACTCAGCTTTCTTTATAGTCCAACTCTCACATCCATATATGACCACTGGAAAAACCCTTTCAAGTCTTCTATGTTAATGTTCTCAGGTGGACCAGAATGACTTAATGGAAAAATATACTATTATTAAAATGATGGGGATCAGAGTTCCCTCACATTTTCCCTACATCTCTCTTATGTGAACTCTTGAGATTGGTGGTGTGCTCTTTTGACAGGAGTGCTGAATGGCCAGGATGCGCTGTGACTTGTAGCTCTTGGTTAGGTTCATGTTGGATTCAGTTATTCTCCCAGATGTCCTGGAATTATCACCAAGGACCAGAGAGAATTTCCACCATCAACTCAGTTGACATAAACTGAGATGGGAAAAAGCTTTGAGAGTAGTTAAGTTTTTCCAGATCTCTCAGATAAGGGAGTAGTGTGTTAAATCGAAAGCTCAAACAGGAACCATCAGTTCTAGAAGAAAAGAAAGATAGGGTGTCCTTGGGTTTAAATGTTAGGGAGATGTTCATCATTTTTTATTTAGGAACCAGACTGAAATCTAAGATATGAATGGTTTTTATTTTGTTGCTAGCTTGTTGGCTGAAGGGGCTAAGATTATCTTTGTTAGGTACAACAGCAGGAGGAAGATTTTTGTTTTTCTCTCATGACACTGTTACAGCTGCTTTGTAACACTGAAATTGTGTTGGGTCAGCAGAGAAGTGATCTGATGCTCTGACAGGTGGGAGTAATGTGATCTCTCAGTTCTACCTGGCAGGTAAAGTACTACCACCTTAGTACAGAGGCCATGGAGAGTAGGACTATGGATATGTTTCCTGGTGATTTGCAGGATCTTAATCTCCCAAATTTTCTGGCCACTGTCCTTTCTTAGAGGGGAAGTCAAAATACATATGACCAAGCAAAACTTATTAGTGTAACCAGTCTGTTCCCACTGAGGAAAATGTGGTTCAGAGCAGAGGATCACTTCCTAAATGCTGTGGTGGGTTATACTAGACTACAAACTAACTGTAGTTAATTTTGTCATCTTTAGCCCGCTCAAAATGTGTGTATTTTATTTAGAAATACTTAGATAGTATTTACTGTATGCCAGGTACTCTTAATGTGCTTCACAGGGCTTCCCCAATGGCTCAGTGGTAAAGAAGCCGCCTGCAATGCAGGAGACTTTTGGTCCCTGGGTCGGGAAGATCCCCTGGAGAAGGAAATGGCAGCCCACTCCAGTGTTCTTGCCTGCAATGTCCCATGGATAGAGAAGCTTGGCAGGCTACAGTCCATGTGGTCACAAAGAGTCAGACACTACTGAGTGACTGAGCACACATACCCAGATAAAAATAATACATTAAAAAAAAATAAAGTGCTTTACAAATAATAATTCATTTAATACAATACCTTCTGAGGTAAGTACTATCATTGTCCCCACAGATGATGACACTGAGACACACAGTACAGCTAATTTGCCCAGAGTCTCAAAGCTATTAAATGGAAGGCAGGTTTCAGACCCAGGCAGACTGGCGTCAGAGTTCATGCTTCTGACTACCATGTCCTGCTACCTCAGAGTTAGTCATCTGAATCTCTGGTTTCTCTTTTCAGCTGCCATATTGGTTAGGACTAAATTTGGCTGTGTGTGACAGAAATATTTAAATAATAATAACTTAAATAAAAGTACATTTGACTCTCATGAAAGAAGTCTACAGACTACTTAGAGCTGGCATGGCATTTTCCTTTATCGGGGAGACAGTATAAACAGTATGCATCCATACGTCCAGCTGGTCAGCCATCCCTAGCATGTGGCTTCCACTTCGTGAACCAGGATGGATGCTCAGACTACAGACGTCTTGTCTGCTTTTCAGCCAGTTGGAAGGAGGAGAGGAGGAGAAAGAGAATACCCTCTTCCTGTAAGACATTTCTGAGAAGTTGCACTGGACTGTTCTCCTTATATCCCGTTGTCCAGAACTGAGCTTCGTTAGTGACTGGGAACTATAGTCTTTATTTTGTCCAGCTAAAAATCAGGGGCCTGTGCCCGAGGAATAAGAGGGAACAGAGATTGGCGGAACCAGCAGTTTCTGCCACAGGTACTTTTGGAGCTGGACAATCTGAAAGGTTCTTGAAGATAACAGCCCTGATTTCATTTCCCGGTTGAGAATGGTTTCTTCCTCAGAATGAACAAGTATGGACCTGAAATAGTAAGATGGAAAATGCTGGATCAGGAGTCATGGTAGAATGCTCAGGTTACCCTCCTCACCTACATCCTTGTGTTTCAGGTGTCAGGCTGCTCACAAAAGTATTTTTTGAGCATTTTCTGTTTTGAGTGGCTAGTAATACTAAGCATTCATATTACCAGATCACAGAACAGCATATGACTGACTAGTTTATTTGGACAAATAAATGAGATACCACATATGAAAGCCCCTGGCCTAGTTCCTGGTGCTTAGCAGGAATTCAGAGTGTTTTGCTTCTTTTTTAAGTTACATGCCAACTGACCTCTGGATTAGGCTTTCTTGGATACATGGCATTGAATAAAGCAAAAGTAGTGTAATTCTAAGAGGATCCATTCCTATTTAGGATAGTAATTCATTAGACAATTCTAAGTGGTATTTGCAAAGCAGTTCTATAGATACTTCTCACATGTTCTAGGAGCTTGGCCTTATATTAGTACTTTTCAGTCTTTTAAAAATACTTTCTTCACCAAGAGTTTGTCTTGAAAATAGTACAGTATTATTTTCCATTTTTCAAATATAAATTTATATTGTAATATCGAATGTGTTTCTTCCAGCCACCTGTGTCTTCCAGGAAATTTTGATGTCCTTACATTTGGTTGAGAATGACACTAATAGCCAAATAAAGAATAAGGATCTCAGAGTAACTTTAAAAAAAAAATAATATATATATTTTTTAATTTATTTGGCTGTGCTAGGTCTTTGCTGCTGTACAGTCTTTTCTCTAGTTGTGGTGAGTGGGGGCTGCTCTTCATTGTAGTGCACAGACTTCTCATTGTGATGGCTTCTCTTGTTGCAGGGCACGGGTTCTAGGGTTAGGGCTTCAGTAGTTGTAGCATGTGGGTTCTAGAGTACAGGCTTAGCAGTTGTAGTGCATGGGCTTGGTTGCTCTGAAGCATGTGGACTCTTCCCAGACCAGGGATCGGATCCATTGTTTCCTGCATTGGCAGGCGGATTCTTTACCACTGAGCTACTAGGGAAGCCCCCAGAGTAACTTTTTTATTACTAAAATGTTAAGATGCAGTCATGTTTATATACCATACATAGATGTAGTTTGGAGATTTTTAAGCATCATCAGCACACATGTTATCTGTTATAGGGAGCTGTCCCAAGCCCCAAGTTATAATCAGTGAGGCAGGTTGGATTGATAGCAGTAAACAGGAAAATAAATACAGGCTGAATCTCTTTTATTACATTATATTTGGATCCCATCTTCTTTCAGAGTCTCAAATGTTTGGAGTAGTCCATCCTCTCTTTTGTAAGAGTTAACATGTAAATCAGGCTTCTCTACCTAAATAGTTAAGTCAAAAAGTGTTGTTTCCATCCAGCCTCTACAGAATACAGACTTACCTTTTTCACTCTCATTTCCTTATGAGTGTATAGCAGAGATTTCAAGAGGTTGCATGATGTGTGATATTGAAACAGATTGAATATTAAAGAAGATGTGAGAATACAGTTTTCTTCTATTGAGCTAAACATTAGAGATTTGCAAAAATGCAAAACAATACCAGTCTTCTCACTAAAAATTGTTTTTTAAAATATAGTTCTTTTTCAAAAAAACATGCCACATATGTTAACATGTAATTGGCCTGTTTTTATGATTAGGTGAATTAAATATTTTTGACATTTTAGTTTTAAGTTCTAATAACAGCAAATATAGATTTTACCCTTGTAAACAAAAGCTTTGGGGGTCTTTAATAGTTTTTAAAAGTTTAAAGGAATCCTGAAAGTTTGAGAACCATCCACTTTGTATTTACCAAACTTAAAAAAAAAACACAAAACTTTCGTGTTATTTCTGCATATTTCACTATATGAGTGATGTACTTGAGTTGTCTTAGATTTTAGTATAGTCTAGTACACTGCTGCTTGGAGCTGCTGGATAGATTCAGAAAACCCTTTGGGTTTCAGGTTTCAGTAATTGTGGGTCTGGCCCCAGCCAAGCCCCATTGCTTTCTTGTGCACTGCTGTTTTTATCCTCAACTTCATGCATTACTGCTACTTGAGCTACCTGCATGTTAACCCCTTCGTTAAAAGGGATTTTAGTAAGTGGGTGTTAAGGGAGGGTGTCTTTTAAAATACTGACATCAAACTGAAGCTTTCTGCTGCTTGTAAAAAGAAATTGAAAGTTTATTAAAGAAGAGAGAATATGGTGAAATGAATTAGGCAGTATTTTTTTTCTTTCTCAACCAAATAATGGTGGGTGGTTTTAGAGTTTGTTTTTTATGAATTGGGAGAATATTCTTGAGTCTTCAGTAACAAACAGTTGATTATGTGAAGTTAACATTAGCTTTGGAAATTAGGCCAGACACTGCTTTATGTGTCTCTCTAGGAAACCCACAGAGTGCCGATACGCTGTATTGCGCCAACTAGGTGAACTGAAGCAATGCTTAGTCCTGAAAGGGACTTGTCCCCCTTCTGTCTGAATGTCCTTCTGTTCCTCCATCCTTCCTGCCCCCCACTATTCCCCTATTTGTGCATGCCAGACATTATTATTTAATGAAACCCTTGTTACACTGAGAGAATCATGATGACTAATGCTTTTAGAGTCCATGAAATGCTTTCTGATTCTCCTTTTGGTGGAAGGAAATTGAGAAGTTAGAGAGGTTGGTCTATAAATGATGCTTGGCTGCAATCTTGGCCTTCAAGTTCTGCTCTCTTTTTGGCTGAGGGATCATGCGACTTGAGGGATCTTAGGAATAGCAATCAAACCTGTGCTTCCCATAGTGGAAGTTTGGAGTCCTAACCACTGGACCAACAGGGAATTCCCAAGTTCTGCTTTTTTTAAGTGGAAGTATCTAAGCCTCAGTCCTGGTATTTTTCAGCTCCGCTAATAGTCTTGGTTTCCCTTCACTGGGGACCAGCTTGCTGAACTCCACATTGTACTTCAACGAACCGACTGGTGGGTTCTGGGATGGGCCTCAAGTTGTCCTGTGGTTTCACTGCCCAGGTTCCAGAGAGTTCCGGTGGAGTCAAAAGTCATTCTCTGCTAGCTGAGCCAGTTACTACTGCTGCTATGTGATTCAGAGCCCAGGGTTCCAGGGGTGTGGAGACAGAGAGGAAGATTGCCAAAAGAGGCCTCTTCCTAGCCACTTTGGATAATGATATAGTTCTGGCATTTGACTTTTTCCAGTGAATAAGTTTATCTTTAAGAATCAATTGATTTCTTTTGTGCTTCTTTTCTCTTGCCTTCTTGCAAGGCTTCTTGAAGGGACTGCCCTCAAGATTGACCAGTTATTGTTTCAGACATATGCCTCGCCAGTTCCTAATATGAGTACTTACATAATGCAGGCAGATGGATGTATGTTTTTTGCTGTGACTGGCCATTCAGGAAATGACACCCACAGGAGAATGTCTTATGACCCAGACTAGCTTGTGTTGGCTGTGGGCTGAGGGGAGAGGGAGAGTCATATGATATTAAGATGAATTACTTGAATAGCATATTTACTTTACTTTTCTTTCTTTGAAAGTATCAGTTTGGGAACTGGAGGGAATGAGATAAATATAAAACAACCTAAGGGGGCTAATTGGCTTGGGAAGGAAAGCCTTCAGGAGGGAAGGCCTTAGATTCTAGATTGCAGCAGCATCCCACATGTCTGAGGATCTTTGAGGATTAAGTTATTGTCTGCTAGAGAAGGTGGATCTTAATCTTTGTGGCTTCTCATGTCCTGGTCTCTTGCCTATCAGAATTACTTAAAAGAACCCATTCTAACCAGGTAGAAGACTCTTTCCTGCTGTGATCTTTCTCTTCCTTTGCTTACTTAATTTGTCATTCCTAAACTTGTTATTTTAAGATGGGTGGGGGTAGTAAGGCTGATAGAGGAAGTCAGCCATTGATAAAAGAATTTTCTTAACCTCATTCCATAATACCTTACTGATTTCCTTTCAGTTGCTACTTTCCTTAATTGATGCAGAGCAACAGTGACTATTAATGTACCTTAGAAATTGGGGTTTGATGGTGTTAAAATCTGTTGTACTGTCGATACCAGATTGGCATCTTCTTTGGCCATGGCCCTGTCTGGCAGCGTTTTTCTCAGCTGCGCATGTGAGCTGGTGTCTTCCCTTACAAGGGAAGTGTCTAACTGTCCACAGGGGTTGTCTGCCTGTGCCCTCTCATTTCCTTCCAGAGTCTTGCCGACCTGGTCTGTGAGCCACTGGCATGAGCTTGCCTTTAACACCCTTTTCCTTTTGTCTCTAGAAGATCATCGCAGTTTTCAAACCCAAGAATGAAGAGCCGTATGGGCAACTTAATCCCAAGTGGACCAAGTGGCTGCAAAAGCTGTGCTGCCCCTGCTGCTTTGGCCGCGACTGCCTTGTCCTCAACCAGGGCTACCTCTCAGAGGCGGGGGCCAGCCTGGTGGACCAAAAGCTGGAACTCAACATCGTGCCCCGCACAAAGGCCAGTGACCTGTCTTCCCGTTGCCTTTCTGCCTGGCCAGAGCTTTCCTGGGCCTAAGCCCTGGCTGCATGTTAGTGGGACTGCTAGATCCAGTGAAGGGCTATTGGTGCCCCGAGTCTAGGGTTCTCAGCCTTTTTTTTTTTTTAGGTGGGGAGTGGTATGTGCAGGCTTATGGTTTGATCATCTGATGGAAGCTGTCCTGAGAAGGATACACATAAATTTTTTGCATACAATTTCAGGAGGTTCCCTTCTGATGCATATGTATGGGCTCCCTGGGCCTTTGGATCCCAGGTAACCGCAAGCTGGTTAGAAACCTAGCTACTTTTGTAGCTCACTCTGAGATTTCTGAGCCATTCCAGGATTTAGATATAGTCTACAATGGATTAGCTGATTGTCAGCTAAGCACTGATGTGAGATCTGGCAAGTAGGACTCTAGGGTTGGCTGAGGGTTAGTGTAAAGGTCTGGCCTGAACACCTACAGGGAACTGACAAGGAATTCTCCTCACCCATCTTTATGCTATGGATTTTGGTGCTTGTCTGAACATTACAAAATCGGGTTCCCAGATCTAGGCAAATCCACACTTAGAATGGATTTGTACATACCTTATATGTGTTATAAGACTTAGCTGAAGTTCTAATGCAGGATCTGGACCATACCTCCCACCTCTTTTCAAAAACATGCTTAAATATAGAATTGATTATAACAGTTTCAGAAAGTTTACTGATACTGGGTTAAGAACCACTCTGCTACAGGGTGTCTCATGATACCTTCCAAGGGGAAGAAATCTTCTGGTCAGCATATGAACATCTAAGGGCACATCATCACGCATTTAATATACTACTCCCTGAGATTTAGTAACAACTTAAGGTGGAACTCTGGTCTGATGCACTATGGCTGCAGGGCCATCTTTGTATCTCTGTCTGGGTCTTTGAAAATTGGATAAAAATTGTCTTTGAAAATTGGATAAAAGCTGTAAATTTTGTTCCCACAAAAAATATACATATTTGCAATTACTATCTATAATTTCAAGAGGATGGTTCATAGACCAATTGAAATCTACCATTTGACCCACAGGAACTAGATTAAAAGCACCTGTTTGAGGTTTTCTTTGCAGGTTTAGACAGCAGACTGTGGGCAAAGAGCCTAATCAGTAGACAGGAGCTTCCCTTCAAATCTGTTTTTTCCTGTTTTCCCAGGGTATGTTACAAGAAAATGTGATAGTTGTGGATGTTTAACTATGTCTGCTCCTTTGCCAAAAAACTTCAAATAAGCCAACTAGTTTGTAAGGAAGTAGAAATCAGGGAAAACTTCTTTAAATTTCCTTTTCTCATTCTCAGCACCTAGCAAAATACCATACTTCTAGTAAGTGTTCCTTAAATACCAGTTGAATCAGTGAATAGATATCAAACCATGCAAAAAGAACAGTGACAGAGATCCCCCAACCTCAGGACAGTGGAGTGAATGTTTGATATATTTGATTGTAGTTCCCGGCTTGTAGCTCCCATCTGACATCTACGTCACTGCCTGGCCTTGTGTAGTGCATTCCTTCCCTTCGCGCTTTCATTCTCTCTGTGTGCATAGAGTGAAACAGCACACTGAACATCGTATATGATGAATGCTCCTAAGATCTCCTGCCTAACCTGAAATCCTCCCAGCAGGCCCCTCCTAGACTCTAGAAATCCTTCTCAGTACTCCTTGCTCATCACTGTAATCTCCTTCCTTTGCTGGGTAAGTCGCAGACCCCCCAGACCCCATGCCTGTCTGTTTTGCCTGTACTTCTCAGTACAGTGCCTAAGAATCAGGGATCGAGTTCAAATTCTGGTGCTGCAGCTCTTTATTGAGTAACCCTTGGGCAAGTGAGTTAAGACACTCCCGCATTCTCTCCCTTTCGGTTTCCTCACTATAAAAATAGGTATATAAAGAGTTCCTCCTTGGACTTCCCTGGTGGCGCAGTGGATGGGATCCACCTGCCTGTGCAGGGGATGTGGGTTTAATCCTTGGTCTGGGAAGACTCCACATACTGCGGAGCAATGAGGCCCACGTGCCACAACTTCTGAGCCTGCATTCTAGAGTCTGTAAGCCACCGCTGCTGAACCTGTATGCCACAACTGCTGAAGCCCATGCACCCTAGAGCCTGTGCTTTGCAACAAGAGAAGCCACTGCGATAAGAAGTCCAAGCACTGCGAGGAAGAGTCGTCCTTACTCACTACAACAGACAAAGCCCAAGCACAGCAGCGAAGACTCAGTGCAGCCAAAATAATAAGTTAAAAAATAAAGAGTTCCTACTTGATAGGGTGGCCATTGATATTACACAAGATAATCCATGTGGAATATGTAGCCCAGCACCTGGCACAGTGTAAACACTCCATACATTTTTGCCTGTGCTATTTTTATGACTGTTCTAATCATTAATGCCACGCCCCATAATCCTGTTCGTCCCCATCTCTAGTCTTCCTCTTTTCCTGTTAGAGAACCTAAATGAGGCCTAAGGATCTTTTGCATCAAAAAGTCAGCAACAAAAAACCTTGTCTTCCATGAGACTGAGATGAGACAGAACTTTGCAAGCTTAACATATATTTGCAAGCTTAACATAATGGCTGCTGGAGAATAGTAAGAGATCTCTCTCTTTCCTGCCTCCCCACCCTTGTGACAGCATTCTATCCAGTTGATCACAGTATCTGTCACTATGGAAACAGGGCTTACGTTGTGCTAGAGCTTCAAATAATAAGGCTCTAATTCTCACTTGATCACTATCTCTGCTCTCTGTTCCTACAAGGTTTCAGGTTATGAGAGTTTCATTAGTCATAGGGAAAGAGTGGTTCGTTACAAAAATTGATCAAAAATAAATCTGATGAGGGAAAGTGTGGTATATGTCTTGAGAACAGGGTTTTCGTCATAGAAACTGGCAAGGTAGTCTTAAGAAAGCCTTTTTCCCTATTTGTTCTTGTGCCATGTTTCCAGATTTGTAAGGTAGGAAGTGCTAACTTGTAATACATCTTGGCACATCTGTTTTAGGTACCCTGTTAAAACTGGATGGATGGATGGGAGGAAGGGAATTACTTTATGCTATCTCTAAGGTTCAAGGGCAAAATAACTAGTTACTTGTAATGAATTTTACAAGGCTTAGGAAAAGAAAGAATTTTCTTATAAATTTTATTTTTGGTATTTATATACTAAAACTCAGTGCTATCTAAAAGAAGCTTGTAACTCATTCATTCATTCACTTAATAAATAGGCATATGCCAGGCACTGTTTTGTATTCAGGATGCTAATGTAACTAAGATGTTTTCATCCACCCCACATTTCATTAGTTTTAAAAAACAAGTTAGATATGGATTATCATGAGATAGTGTGGTTAAGTGTGATAACGGATGTCCAAATGGATTATGAATTACAGTGGTATCACTGCAGTTTGACAATCAAGCATAATATTGGTGGCCCATTAAAAATTTTTTTTTTAAAGGTAATGCGTGCATCTAGTGCAAAAATTAGAAGGCATAATAGATTTTTTAAAAAACCCACTCTCATGGCTCAACAGTTAAGCATTTGCCTGCAGTGCAGGAGACCTAAGAGACTTGGGTTTGATCCCTGGGTCAGGAAGTTCCCCTGGAGAAAGAAATGGCAACTCACTCTAGTAATCTTGCCTGGGAAATCCCGTAGACAGAAGAGCCTGGTGGGCTACAGTCCATGGGGTCACAAAGAGTTGGACATGGCTGAGCACACCCACATACCTAAACAAAGAAGAGTAATGCAGCTTCTCTTCCACCCCTGTCTTCCAGCCACTTGGTTTCCTTCCTCAGAGGCAGATGTTATTACTAGTTTCCTGCTTAGTATTCCAGATATAGTCTAAAAATTAAAACCATTTTTAACGTTTGTTTAATTTTTAAATGTAAATTTGTGCACACAGTATAAAATTCAACAGGAAATAAAAAGGTATGGAATAAAGTGCAATTTATTTTTATCTAGAGAGAAAATAGACCCTGGACCATCTTCTCCTAACCCAGGAGCTAGCTGTCCTGTCAGCATAATTCATTCTAGATGCTATAACAACCCCTGAATTGCAGTGGTTGAGACGATAGGTGTTTATTTCTTGCTCACATCAAGATCCATGCCAGTTAGGCAGCTCTCCTAGATCCACGTCACTTTATATAGCCACAAGAGATCTTGGATCCTTCCATGATGTGGTTTTACCATCTCAGAGCCCTTCATTTCTTCCAGCTGCACATACTGGGAAATGTGAACTAAGGATCATGGGAAATTTGGGGGCCAGGCCTGAAAGTAATGTGCATACATCACTTTGTCAACATTGCATTGGCCTGAACTAGTCACATGCTCTCTCCTACCAGTTAGAAGTGCTGAGAAATGCATCCTTTCCATATGCAGAAGAGGAACAGTACTGGTGAGCATTTAGCTATTATTCTCTGCCATACGGGTATAGTTCCTTAAACTTCATTCTAACCTTGGTATCTCTTCTATTTCCATTGTAGGTAGTGTACCTGGCCAGTGAGACCTTCAACTATAGTGCCATTGACCGAGTGAAGTCCAGAGGCAAGCGGCTTGCGTTGGAGAAAGTGCCAAAAGTTGGACAGCGGTTTAACCGCATTGGGCTACCACCAAAGGTATAGACTGCACCTGGGTGGCTCATCAAAGGTGGTGTTTATAATGGCATAACCATCCAAGTGGTGAAATAAGGTGTCTGCAGACTCCCCTTCGGACACTTGAATAGCCTGCCCTGAGGCACCAGTCTTACTCATTTCTGTCAAGGGCCTAAGATTTGAGGAGTAATTTTCCAGAGAATAGAGACTATAACTTTCTTACTTTACTCCTCTGGACCATTTAACTTCACCTTTTGAATTTGGATGAGCAATACTGTCACAACCCTTTTCTAATATAAACTCTATAGGGCCTTAGTGGGTACCTGGCTTACTCCTGGGATCTTTGGACTTGGGCTGTAGGGAAATACTTCTTCTATTCTTCCTTTTTGGTTGCAGGTTGGTTCATTCCAGCTCTTTGTTGAAAGCTACAAAGATGCAGACTACTGGCTACGGCGTTTTGAAGCAGAACCCCTTCCTGAGAACACTAACAGGCAGCTGCTCCTGCAGTTTGAGCGGTTGGTGGTACTGGACTACATCATCCGCAACACTGGTGAGCAGCTCTGGGTGGACCTGTGGCCTGTGCCTGGCTGCCGTGAGCCACAGGGCAGACATGGAGGCTTGCTTGCAGAGCTTGGTATCAGAGTACCCTGTCAGGATGAGTTTTGAATAAGACAGAAGGGTTATACACATTGGAGAGGGTGCTGAAAATACTTTTTCTAGACCAGCTTTGTCTAGGCACATCATGTGTAGTTATCGGAGGCGGTGAGTACTTAGGTTTCATCTTTGCCTCTCTCCCAATCTCATACAGAAGACACTTTGCCTCTTCTAAAGCAGCACAAAGAGTGCTCTCATCCTTGATCCCTAGTCATTCGTGGTAGCCTGGCCTAGTACTGGGCAGTTTTGTCTTTAAGTACCACATCTAAGTGGGCTCATATCTTCCCAGGTGGCACTAGTGGTAAAGAGCCTGCCTGCCAGTGCAGGAGATGTAAGAGGCACTAGTTCGATCCCTGGGTCAGGAAGGTCCCCTGGAGGAAGACATGGCAATCCATTCTAGTACTCTTGCCTGGAGAATCCCATGGACAGAGAAACCTGTCAGGCTACAGTCCATGGGGTCTCAAAGAGTCGAACACGACTGAAGTGACTTAGCATGCATGCATTCAAGTGGACTCACACAGTATTTTCATCCTGTGACTGGCTTAGTCACTTAGCATAATAGCCTCAGAGTTCTTTCATACTGTAGGATGTGTCAGAATTTCTTTCCTTTTTAAGGTTGAATAATAGTCTATTGTGTGTATATGCCTCATTTCACTCATCCATTCATCTGTAGACAGACACTTGGGTTGCTTCCACATTTTAGCTATTGTGAATAAATCTGCTGTGAACATGGGTGTACAAATATCTTTGAAACCCTGCTTTCAGTTCTTTTGAGTGTGTACTCAGAAGTAAAATTGCTATATCATAATGGTAGTTCTGTGTTTAGATTTTTTTGAGGAACCGCTATACTGTTTTCCATAGTATAGAAAACATTTTACAGCTGCATCGTTTTACATTCCCAAGAGCAGTGCATGAGAGTTCCTGTTTTTCCACATTTTCACCATCATTTGTTATTTTCTGAGTCTATATATAAATATATACTATAAAATATATATACTTTATATATGTATATAGTAGCCATCCTAATACTAATAGGTATGAAGTAGTATCTCATTGTAGTTTTGATTTGCATTTTCCTAATGACTAGTGATGTTGAACATCTTTTCATGTGCTTTTTCCATACGTGCTAAGTCACTTCAGTTGTGTCCAACTCTCTGAGACTGTGTGGACTGTAGCCTGCTGATGGTCATCCCATCCTTGTCAAACTTTGTTTGGTTATATATGCAAAGGTTTATTTCTGAATTCTGTAATCTAGTCCATTGGTCTGTCTCTGTGTCAGTACTACACTGTTTGATTACTATAGTTTTGTAGTAAGTTTTGGAATCAGTTTGTAAGTTTTGGAGGAAATGTGATTCCTCCAGTTTTACTCTTTTTCTGGATTGTTTTGACTCTTTGGCGGTCCCTTGAGATTTCAGATGAATTTTAGGATAGGTTTTTCTGTTTCTGCAAAAAACATCATTGGGATTTTTATACAATTGCATTTAATCTCTAGATTAGTTCACTTCCAGTAATATTGCTGTCTTAACAATATTAAATCTTCCAATCTGTGAACATGGGGTGTCTTTCCATTTATTTATGTCTCTTTAATTTCTTTTAGCAATGTTGTATAGTGTTCATTATACAAGTCTTTTACCTCCTTAGTAAACTAATTCCTAAGTGTTTTATTCTTTTTGATGATATCATAAATGGGTTTGTTTCTTAATTTCCATTTTGAATTGTTCATTGTTATTGAGTAGAAATGCAGCTGATTTTTGTGGTTGACTTGGTATCCTGATCCTGACTTTCGCTGAGTTTATTTATTAGATCTAACAGTTTTTTGTAGAAACTTTAGGGTTTTCTGCATAAGAACATATCATCTATGGAGATAATTTTACCTTTCATTTCCAATGCAGATGCCTTTTCTTTCTTTTCTTGCATTATTGCTCTGTTCTTTCAATACTGTGTTGAATAGAAGTGGTAATATTAGCCATTTTTCCTTTGCTCTAGATCTTAGAGCAGGAACTTTTAATCTTTCACTGTTGAATATAATGTTTGTTCTGGGTTTTTCACATATAACTTTTGTTATTTTGAGGTACTAGTCTGGTGATGACAAATTTTCTGTTTTGTTTGTCTGAAAATGTCTTTATTTCAGCTTCATTTTGAAGGATATTTTTACTATACATAGAATTTGAGATTGGCAATTATTTTCTTTCAGCAGTATTTTTAAAATACATTTAATTAATCTTTGTGCTCCCATGGCTTCTGTGGAGAAGGAAGTTGTCCATGTGGTAACTATATTTTTCATTTCCTGAATTTCTATTTGATTCTTTTTTATAGATTACTGTTTTCTGCTGATACTCTTATTTCTTAAACGTATTAAGGATTTTATCTTGAACACTTCAGAGCCTGTATCTTTATTTGGTGCCCCTATATATTTATTTGAATTTTCTGTTGTTTTCTTTTTTTGTGTGTCTTCTTGTCTCTTTGTATACCTTATTATTTTTAAGTGTCAGATACTGCATATCAAAAACTGTAGAATTATTTGGAGGTCAAGGGTGTTGGTATCAATCCTGTCTGGAAGATGTTTACCTCTGGTAAGCTGCTGGGGTCATCAGAAACGTAGCATCGCATTAATTTTAGGTATTGAGAAGAAATTCTGCTTACTTCCAAGGTTTAGCCCTTTAGGTTTCAACGCAGAGCATGGATGATGGATCTATCAGGGTTTCCTCCTCCTTATCAGTCACCAAGCCACAGTTTTGTCTCACTAGCTCCCTGGGGCTGTTAGCACACTGTTCTACCTCTAAGCCTCGTAACCACCTCTTTCCAAATCAGCAGCAGGTGCTGTAAGAAAAAAGAAGCCACGGAGGGTGGACTCCCCTTTCTGGAGTCTTTTTTGCCCAGATCATGACAGTCTAATTCTTAAGAGTCTTATAAAATCTCCAGTGCCTTCAAGAAATTTTAAAACATTTTGTCCATTTTTTATAGTTGTTCTTAACAGTATGATTGGTTTCCACGTGTCAGAATGTCTACTTCACCACTACTGAATGCGAAAATCACTCCAGTTTTGTCTACTAACTTCATATTTCTGTTCACAGATCGAGGCAATGACAACTGGCTGATCAAATACGATTGTCCAATGGATAGTTCTAACTCTCGGGTAAGCGGTTAATCTGTATCTTTTTTGAAGGAGAGGATGAGGTGGGGTATATGCATAATATGGAAGCACATAATAGTGTGATACATAAGTTCAGAGGAATCAGGATAGCACATGTCTTTAAAATTGAGGTTAAGATTTGGTAGTCATCGTTCAGTTGCTAAGTCATGTCTGACTCTTTGCGACCCCATGGACTGTAACCAACCAGGCTTCCTTGCCCTTCACTATCTCTTGGAGTTTGCTCAAACTCACGTCCATTGGATCCATGAAGCCATCCAACCATCTCATCCTCTGTCACCTCAATATGTTTTTTAAGGAATATCCTGCTGATTGATATTAATAGAGATAGAACAAAGAAAAGTTCAATAAATGTGGAACCTGTTGCATTCTTTGTGCCTTCTTTGAAGATTCGCATTGTGTGGGAGCATAGTAAAGGTCTGAGAACTAATGCATTAGTGCAGCTGGGTGAGTTCATTTGGCCTGGTGATTTCTAAACCTTTGACCATGGAATGCTTTTCTCACAAGCCTGCAATTCCACAGAATGTCAGTTTAGAAAAAGCTGCTTCCTACAACTTTCTTTACCGTCTCATTGCTTTTCTATTCCACCATACTTCCCCTGTGCATTTTTAAAAATTAGCAGGAAGGCCACCTGGAGAAGGAGAGTAAGATTGACTTTATTCTTTTTAGTGTTTTTTTTTCCCCTTCCAGCTTTATTGAGATATAATTGATATATAATACTGTGCAAGTTTAAGATGTACATTGTGATGGTTTGATGCACATATATACTGCAAAATGCTTCCCACAGTAAGGTCAGTGGTTCTCAAATTCTGTACATCAGAATTATCTGACGATCTTATTAAAAACAGTATAGATTCTACAAGCCTTTCCTCCGTTAGATCTCGGGTAACACTGAGGATCTCACACTTTTAGTAAGGTATCCCAGAGGATTCTGGTACTGGTATCCTGGGCCCACCTGCCCTGTTCTGTGGTGGCACTAGTTAACCTGAGCACGGAGCCAAGTACACAGTCACGGGAGGGTCTGACACGCACGGTCCCAGGCAGCCTCTTCCACTCTCTGCACTCAGCTCTTGTCCTTTTCCTCTTAATGCCTCAGTGAAGCAGAGGAACAGATTCTGCTGTGCAAGTGCAGCCAGCTGTTATCATCCATGGTTCTTGTATCTTGCTGGAAAATGTCACCACCAGTGATGTGGCCACTTAGTCAAGGTCCACATGAAAGGACCTTGACTGACATATAACTGGTTTTTCTTCTTTTTTTTAATGAGCTTCCTAGGTAGCTCAGCTGGTAAAGAATCCACCTGCAGTGCAGGAGACCCCGCTTCAATTCCTGGGTTGGGAAGCTCCCCTGGAGAAGGGATGGGCTACCCACGCCAGTATTTTTGGTTTTCCCTGTTGGCTCAGACAGTAAAGAATCTACCTGCAGTGTGGAAGACCTGGGTTCAATCCCTGGGATGGGAAGATTCCCTGGAGGAGGGCATGGCAACCCACTCCAGTATTCTTGCCTAGAGGATCCCATGGACAGAGGAGCCTGGCGGACTACAGTCCATAAGGTCGCAAAGAGTCAGACACAACTTTTTGTCCTTTTTTTTTTGGACTCTTAGGGTTCTCACTGCCTTTCCCTGGGAGGAATGGCTTATAGTTCTCCTTTGTTATTGTCATTTCCTGTGTTACCAAGGACTGTGACAACTTTTGAGGAAGTGTACCTTTTCTAAGAAGAGAAAGGGACTCTGAGAACCTTGAATTAGCCAAATCAAAGTGCCATAAGTATATTAAGTCCAGGTAACAATTTGGAAACCAGTTCAGAGATTGAGTAAGGACTGGTGCCTGAGCAGGTTGAGATGGGAGCCTTTGCTGCTACTTTAAAGCGCTGGAGGAAGGTGGGACTCCCTAAATATTTAATCTTCCCTTGCTCTTCAGGACACAGACTGGGTGGTGGTGAAGGAGCCTGTTATCAAGGTGGCCGCCATAGATAATGGGCTGGCTTTCCCTTTGAAGCATCCTGACTCCTGGAGGGCATGTAAGTCTCAGGACCACTGTGGTCTGGCTCTTTTCTTGCTCTTTCTCAGTGTTCCTATCTGTGCAATGGAGAGAATAATACCTCTATCACAGGATTGTTCTAAGGACTAATGGAATAATGCAGCTCAGCACCTGAGTACAGTGGCTGGCACACGGCAACTACTCCACAGTGGAAGCTGTTAGTATCCTTTTTCCCATACATTATTACCATCAGAAGCACAGAGCTGAGTTTTCACATCTCTGCGTTGCATTTTTCTTAGTCTTTCTGAAGACTGTCTTACCGTAATTTATTCTATTTGTGTTTCTAAATATAAGCTGCTGTTCCTGTTCTGTCTTTCTTGTCAACATCCTGGAAACCAACCCTTGGCCCCATTATAACTGAGAAACCTTTAAAAAGAGATACAAGTAGGGGGTCACTAGTCCCTTTGCAGTACCTGTCTGTCTTTTGAGAAGGAGCGTCTCAATGTTTCAGTGGCAAACATTGATAATTGCTTCTAGATAGGCTTGCATCTTGAAAAGTCATATAATGTCTGGGAAAGAGCACAGGCTCAGGGATTAGGCAGACCTGGGTTTGAATCCTGGTTTCTCCACTTAACTGTTTAACCTTTAGGGTTAGCAACCCCTGTACCTTTAATTTTCTGTTGTATTTCAAATAAGAGGAATATCCAACTTTACCCTTGCTCTTATAGGTGGAGGACATAGCTGGACAGAGACTTTTTCAACACCAGCTTTGCTTTTGACTTCTTTTCTTTTCAGATCCTTTTTACTGGGCCTGGTTGCCCCAGGCAAAAGTCCAGTTCTCTCAGGAGATTAAAGATCTGATTCTTCCAAAGATATCAGACCCTAACTTCGTCAAGGACTTGGAGGAGGATCTGTATGAACTCTTCAAGGTTAGCTCTGGGAACCTTAGCCTTAAAACCATATGGAAGAAAGAATGCCAGCGGTTTTTCTAATTGGTCCTGATACAAGCCAAGATAGAATGGAAACACCCTTTGGCTTGTGTTAGCCAGTGGAGAGCAAGGTTTCCTCCCTGTGGACAGCAGGGCCTAGTTTGGGTTGGTTTGAAAACAGTTGGCAGCTGGGCTGAATCACACCGGTTTGTGTCCTGTGCATCATGTGGCTGCAGTGTGTCTTCAGAACTCTCCTTCTCAAATGGAGCCCCAGAGCCTGGAGTTCTTCAGAGTTAATCATGAAACTGAGGACAAGATGGTTACTTGTTCGCTATTTTCCTGTCTGTGAAACAGGGAGTCATTGGGGTTGGGGTGAGCATCACTAAGCCTCCTGAGGGTTTTCTTTGTTAGAAAGTTTCTAGTTGGGGGAGGGAAATGGGTTCTTCTGAGGCATTCATGCAGTTTGTATCTCCTTCTGCCCTTCTTTTGCAGAAAGATCCTGGTTTCGATAGGGGCCAGTTCCATAAGCAGATTGCTGTCATGCGGGGGCAGGTAAGCCTGGGACATCCTCCCGGTGTCATCCCCGGGGTCTCTCTGAGAGGGTCACATGCTCATGTTGAGTGAGTGTGTAAATGTTGTATCTCACACCCATTTTAGTCTGTGCCATCCATGCTGGTGACTCTGTCTTAACACCTGAGAGGAAAGGTAGCCGTCCCAGATCTCCCACCTCTTCCATGGTATCAGGCACTTGGTGAAGCACCTACTATGTTCTTGGTTTTGTGCCACTTGCTTGATAGTTCATTGGTGGATTTAGCTGGTGGTCTGGGTCCTCAAGTTGCTCAAGGCAGCTGTAAGCCCTGGTGGTTAAGAGCTAGGCTCTGGAGTCAGACTGCTGCTTCACCACTCCCCAGCACCATGGCCTTGGGCAGGAGCTTCTGCTTCCTTTTTATAAAGTAGGACAGTTACCATTCTTTGCAGAGCTGGTCAGAGAATGACATAAGATTATGTGTACCAAGTGTTTAGTAAAAACCATGCCTGGCACATGGTAAGCACTCAGATGCTGATCATGGTTATAATTTTTGTTGTTATAGTTACAAGCCACATTATTTCTTCTTTCTCCCCTTCATCTTCAAAGAGAACCAAGGAAACCACCAAGGCATTGTTGATCTTCCATGGCAGAGCCAAGAATAGCTTGAAAATTTCCTCAAAGCTCAAGGACACTGACATTCTGCTTATCACTTTGAAGTCTTAAAGACAGCTGGAATAGCCTAGCAGTTAGGGCACAAACTGGTCAGGGTGTGTGATTTGAAGTCTGACTCTGCCATTTATTAGCTATGAGGTCTCAGTCAAGTTACTTAATCTCTCCTTTTAGTTTCTCCATCTGTAACATGGGATTAATAACAGCACCTATCTCATAAGGTTATTATGAGATCAGTGATTGGAAACAGTTGGAGTAGTGCTGGTATATTGAAGTACTCAATAGGAGTTAGCTATTTTATTAGGGTTTTGTATACAGCTTCTCACATCTTTGAAGGACAGGAAGCTTTTCTCAGTCATAATTATCCAGTTAATCTCTTTCTTTCGTTTAGCAAAAGGCTTCTGATAAGGGCAACTCTTGAGCTTACCGAACCCATTTTCTCTAGAAATGGGAGAGACAGAGGATTTAATAGCTGTAGTTATTAGAGCTGCCTGAATACCATAATGTAGTCTTCCTACATTTCCCAAATACTGTAAAGGCCCGGTTAGACTGGCAGAATTGTTCAAAATCTTAAAAACCACGTGACATACTCTGGTGTTGTGAAACTCAGCATAAAGGAACAAGCTTCTTCTCTAGTTTGTATAGACTGTACCTCTGTCCCTATTGTACTGTCTTCTCTAATCCCTTTCCAATCTCTTGCGAACATCATAGCAACTTTCCTCTTGTTATATTTAGTTAAGGCCATTGTCTAGAGTGGCAAAAGGCAGAGGGGTGGGGGTTGAGAGAGAGCCATTTTAGCTTTCTTTTCATCATGTGCTCTTAATGTCCTTTGAGAGCATGTGGCATTTTACAGCCTAGAGTGCCTACCTCTGAAACTGTCAGGATGAGTGTCTAGCTCCTCCTCTTAGCACATGGGTGAAAGGAATGCACCACCTTCTATCTACCTGAGCCGCAATCATGGAGTAGATTGTACAGTGGCCTGGAGCCAAAGGGAAAGAATGGGGAACCCAGGAGAGGTGGACTCGGGCGATAGGGTTGTCACTCACCATAAAGGCTTCTAACCAGATGCTAGATAAAGAATGCAGGGTCTGAGGGAAAGCTACTTTAGATAACATCTTCAAAGACAGTATTTCTTTTTTGGCATTATGTACCTGCTATAAATTTTTCTTCAACTTTTAAATAAGGAACATTTCAAACCTCAGTAAAATTGAAAGAGGGGAGTCATCTAGATTCACCAGTCATTACATTTAATTAGCCATGTTTGCTTTATCTCATCTCTCTAAATATTATCTAAGTATTATCTATACACCTATATAATTTCATCTCTTTTATAATTTGTCTCTCTCCCTAGATAGATAGATTTTATATGTTTGCATTTGGCCAAATCTTTTGGAAGTAAGTTGTAGACAGTTTGACATTTTACCCCCAAAACTTAAATGTGCTTGAAAGGTGGCTTCTAAACCGAAGAAGAGCCAGCCAGAGAGGTAGTAAAATCCTGTGTCATAAGCTGGATGGTCTCCGGCATGGTGCACTTTAATTCCGTTTGAACCTCTTAGTTCTCTGCCCTGATCTTGTACTCAAGGCTCTTTGAAGCCGTGTAGGGTGCTGATAAATAGCAAAACATTGAAGTTAAAAAGGAACTCATTACTGGTAGCATCCACTTCTGCCCTCTGTTCCAGGTGAACCTCTGCCTCTTGAGGGTAGCATTTGTAGGTCAAGGATCGTTATGGCTCGAGGCCTGTGTGACTGGGGGCAGCCGCCCAGCCACCTCTCTCGTGTGTCTCTGGCCTGGCTGTGAAAATCTTCAGCATCCAGTGGTTTAAAGGCTGTGGTAGGACCACTTCAGCTTTTGTTCTTTCCTACCCAGGAAGATACACGGTGGTGACTGATTGTGACAGGGAAAAGAAGTGTGTTCCTCTGTTCACATGTCTGAAATATCTGTAAAATACGGACAAAAATTTGTGAGGAGCCAAACATACTGTGGTATCATGGGACAGAAAAAGAACAGTACTGGAAAAGCTAGTGAAATCCGAATCAAATCTGGAGTGTGGTTAATACATGAAAAAGAACAGTACTGGAAAAGCTAGTGAAATCCGAATCAAATCTGGAGTGTGGTTAATACTAATGTTCCAATGTTGATTTCCTAGTGTTAGTAAAGGTACCGTGGTTATAGAAGATGATCAAATTAGGAGAACTTGGGTAAATGGTATATATCTTTGTAACTTTTCTGTAGGTGTAAAATTATTCTAAAGTAAAAATTTATTAAAAAAAGATGACAGCATGAGAGGTAGAGATCAACTGAAATGGCTTTTAGTTTTTTAAATACATAGTCTTTGTAGGAAAATCAGAAAATAAGGATAAACTAAAATCACTCTATCTCTAGGTCACCTTTCTTGACCCAAAAATAATCACTGCCAACCTTTTAAGACTTTTTTTCCTCTGTAGATAAGAAAATAGGATTTTAGAAAATAAAGGTGGGGGTCACACTAATACTGTTTCCTTATCTCCTTTCTTTTCTGTCCAAGACATTGTGATCAGTTTTCCATGCCAGCAGAATATGTTTTTTAATTGCTTGTTTCTAATCCCTTAAATTATTGACTGATCCCATACTCTCGGGCATTTATATAATTTTCAGTTATAAACAATACTGCACTGTATTGATTGAAACTTAAGTGTTTTGTGCATGTCAATGATTGTTCCCTTAATCCTTAAAAATGAAGTTGCTGAGTCAGAGGGCTTGTCCACTTGTAAGCCTTTATGGTCCACTTGCCTTTCTGAAAACCTGTCCCACGGTCTGAACATTCCCCAACTCTGAGTCGTTATCTTCTTCTGTATCTTTACTAACTAGACAGGTGAAAAAGAGGAGGTATTTTTATTTATATTTTTTAAAAAGGTAGAGAGGTTTCCATTTTCTGTGTATTGTCCTCTTATATTCTTATTTGAGTAAACAGCCTATTGGTACAGTTTTCCATTAGTGTATGGTTTATTTTTGTATTGATTTATAGGAGCACTCTGCCTGCAGGTCTCCCTTCAGAGGCAGACCAGGATGCCTAGGCACTGCTCTCACTGATCTCATTTCCCCCCTGCAGATCCTAAATCTGACCCAGGCCCTGAAAGACAACAAGTGTCCCCTGCACCTCGTCCAGATGCCACCTGTGATCGTTGAGACGGCCCGTTCCCACCAGCGATCTTCTAGCGAGTCCTACACACAGAGCTTTCAGAGTCGGAAGCCGTTCTTTTCCTGGTGGTAGCCCCAGAGGCAGACAAAGGCATATTGTCTGAGACTTGGGCTGGGAAGAAGCCTGGGGAGCGGGTTGCAAGAAAGCCAGAGAAGCCGGTGGAGATCAGTGCCCTTAAGAGCCCTCCCTCTCTGCTCACCACCCCCTCGAGCTTTCCCAGGCCTGGGGAGAAGCATGCGCAGAGGGACTGTGTGTGCTGTGCGCCCTCCTGAGTGCTGGGGAGGGCTGGCGCTCCACGCAAGCCGTCCGGATGCCGGGAAAGGAGCATCTCCTGGGGGCAGGCTGGGAAAGTCCCTTCCCTCCTGGACACCCTGCTCTGTTGCTATTCGTTGTTATATTCTGCATCAGAAAAAATACAAATACAAATTTCAGTACTAGTAGCAAAACCCAGGTAGAATCCCAGACCCTCTCATAGCAAAACCTGATCCAGACCTAAATGTGCATGGACCCAAACATCCAGGTGTCTCACAGTTCCTTACTGTGCAAACCAAGGCAGCTGGGTGACTTGCAGTGCTGGGACAGACAGAAGCCACACTTCCCTTTTGTGTCTTGCCAAGTCTTCTTTCCGTCTTCCTCCCACCGGTGTGATAGGTTGACTCCAGACATGATTTTCACACTGAGGGGACATCTGCTCTTGGACTCCCAGCAGTTTTACAGTGATTGTCTAGATCACCTCTGCTCCCTTCCCCACTGGGGACCCAGCCCCTCTAGGCCAGGACTGTAGGTTGTTTATCACTCAGGCAAAGGCAGGAGGGAGGAAGTTACCTCCCCAGCATGGGAACATGATCTATACCACTAAGTATATGCTGGGAGCTGTGATGGTCTGTGGGTGGGCTTACCCCCTCCTTGCTCACTAGGTCCTTGGCCCTAGCCAGAGATGACAGACTTTCCCAGTCTTCTGATTTGTTCCTGTTGTTTTTGATGTTTTTTCTCAACTCTTTTCACTTGATAGGTTCAGTTCTGGGTTCTGGAGTGTCTCTTGGTGAGGGTTCTAGGATGGGTCTAGCTCATGAGAGGACAGGATATTAAGTCCTTGGGTTTCTTTTTGTGGTACCACTGCTGCTGGGTGGAGGCAATGAGACTTGTATTCTGCCTCCTAATTAGCAGCTTCCTTTTCCTTCCTGACTTCTTGTTCCAGGCCAATTTTTCTATGGCTTCTCGAGAAAGGTGGGGCCCTAAGGAAAGAGACATTCCCACTGTCCCCAGTGCCTGCCTGGCCCAGTGTGCATCTTCTTGCTTCCACGTCTCTTTCCCCTCAGCTCTCCCCCTTACCAGCTGTCCGAGCCCTTTCTACACCAAAGCAAAGAATGGCCTCAGTGGGGAGCAGAGGGTGCCACCCATGGCTATAGGGCAGCCCTGGACGGTTCAAGTTTCTGGCACCCTGCGATTGGTCAGTCAGCCTTGGAAAGAAACTATCTTGAAGGTTTGAAAACCAACCAAAGAAAAGGAGTGGGGACTGTTGCCATGTTCCCTCTGCTTCCCTAGCTCCCGCTATTGCAGAGAGCAGAGCGGAGGTGTGCAATCCTCTCGTCAGCTGGGCCAGGCTGGTCCCCTTCCAATACAGCCCCCAGGAGCCAGCTTATCCTGGGCTTCCACCCCGCCAACAGAAGAGTCTCTGGAGCTGAGTGTGCACGCCCTGTGGACAGAGGCACTGCTCCCCGCCAGCCCCAGCCCTGACAATCCCATGGAGCTGACCTGGACTTTGGCCTTGGGGACCATGTTTGTGAGAACTTGGGAGCAGCAGGGCTCCCAGAGGCCAGAGGGGACCAGGGTATGTTTAGCTCTCCACAGACATGTTTATAAACGTGTTGTTGAATTGCCCCACCTGGGGTGGAGAGGACTTGAGTGGTCTAAAGGGCTGGTTGCTTCTCCCACCGAGGAGATGTGCACATTGCCTCAGCCAGACCAGCTCTGGGATGCAAAGGAAATTGGGTCCAATGTAAGAGGGAGCTGGTCCCAGTCCTGGCAGGTGAAAGTGCGGGGCATCCTTTCCTGGCCCACATCCGTTCTCCTTGAAGCCTGTACTCAGGTTGCCTTGAATGTGGACTTTGGGAGAGCCTGGGCCCTGAGTGCCAGGGCAGGCTTTTGGGTGGCCCTCACGGAGCTGCCCGGCCCAGCCCTCTGCCAGCCATTGTCCCATCTCCCAGTGTCAGGGAGTGGAGGCTGGGCTGTGAGAGTGCTGCTGCCTCTGTATTGTTCTTCTAATGCACTGTAGAAATTGTATATGTAATGTATTTAAATCAATGCAAATGTATGAATAACAAGTCCAATTCCGACCTTTTTTGTCTAGCTTTCTTTGGTGGAAAGAAGACAAGGTAGGAAGCCTTTTTAAGGACAGAGAACCCTGTGTTGCCATGGAATTGCTGAGATATGGCTCTTGAATATATTTTCCTCTAGTAGAGGAAGGTACAGATTCTCAGTTCCCAAAATATGGTTTTAACCCATTTGACATCAATACCTGACCTGAACCTACATTGATTGATGCAAAGCTGTTTATAATCATCATATATCTTTCTTACTATGAATATTTCTTGCAGAAATATTAGTGTTTTGTTTTGAGATGTTCCTTCGATAGGGGTTTTACAATTTTTGCAATGTTTACTTTCTAAAAGCTGAAATAATTCTAAATTCCAAAATCATCTTTCCCCAAGGGGTTGGGATAAGGAATGTGGACTGGCTTTTCTTCTTGACCACAAGAGGGCAGCCCTGTGCTGTGTGTGCATCCCTGTCCACCTGGAGCGATTTGAACCCTGGCTGCGATAAGTGAGGATAATCAAGCAGGTAGGAAGGGTGTGAGGAAAGCTAAATGCTAATGGCTTCTTTTGAGCCAAAGCCAGAACAGCAGTCAGAATTCCTCACCTCACGGGTTTTCAGGAAACTTCAGTAACGCAAAAGGCATGATTGGTGCTCACAGGGGTAAAGAGGGCAGCTGAGGAGCTAGTACCCACTGCGTTGACTGCACTCATCCCACCCAGGGCCTGCTGCCCACTACGCAGCTCTGATTGTAATAGGAGCTGGTGAGGGGCCAAAGACCCTTCTCCTCTCCTTGGACCAGGAGGCCGGCCCTATTTTCTCCTTCCTGGGAACTGTCCCCTCCCTGCAGTGAACCCGAGCCTCACCCCCGGCTCCAGAGTGTCCATTTCCAGATCTTCCCCTTGCGTGACAGACTCACATAACTCTCGATGCACATGGTTTTATTTTGCCACTTGAACTACGTTTTTCCTGTGCTGGCCTGAAGGGGCAGGGGTGTGGGACGAGCTGCTGGACCGTGGGCCACAGTTGTAGCAGGAGTAGTGGGATGCTGCGTCAGAGTGCCTGTCACTTGACTCCCAGGGAACTATTCTGCAGCCCAGGCATAGTGTTAAACTGAGAAGGGCTGAGGCACTGTTTTCCTCAGTCTGGTGAGGAATGGGTCCCCTATAATAGCTCAGTGGAAGCCTCCGGGCCTGTTCTGCTCCAAGCAGGCCAGTAGCAGCAGTGAGGCTGTTGTGAGGCTGTCTCTTTCTTCTTTGCCTTCCCCAGCCCTTTGGCAAAAGTCTCTGTGAATCCTGGGGAAGATACAGCCGGCCCCAGCCCCTTCCCCGGCTCAGTGTCTGATCTGATGGAGGTAGCTTGTGGGTCCTGGCTTCCTCCAGTTCCGGCGGATCCGGGCACTGGTCCTCCTAGAGTTCACATACTGCTCACTGGAAGCCGTCTCCGTGGCGCTGCTCTGTGGTTCGGCTGGTGGAGCACAGGGCTCTGCAATTCTGCAGGGAACAGTCACGTTAAGCCAACATCAATGGGAAAGAGAACAGGGACTGAAGAGATTTTGGTCATGATGAACTTTTTTTTTTTTTTTTCATGATGAACTATTAAAGCACACTGTTCAGAGCCAAATGAGACCAGGGCTGTGGTCTCATCTCTGCCCCCAGAGAGTTGCATGACAAGGCAAAGCTTTCAGACTGCTTTTATGTAAGGGGAGTTGGACTAGATCAGGGGTTGATCTAGAAAACTGTGTTTCTCCACCCTCCTCTTCCTGTCCTGATACAAGACCAGAGGGCAAGTAGCCTTCTTAAGATGACTCCAGCAGGGATTACTGATCAACTGAAATTCATAGGAGCAACAAAGCTGATCTGCTGCCCTGGCCCTGATGACCTCTGAAGGCCTGTTCAGCTCTAATGTTCTGACTGTGGGCCCAGAGCGTAACACAGAGTGACTGCTTAGGCCACCTATGTGGTTCATCTTGGTCTCTTGGGGGCTTGCTGTTCCTGAGTGGGCAGCGACCTAAGCAAAGAGGTGAAGGACTGACTGGGGTAAATTTCAGATGAAGTTTCTCCGCAGTTTTTAACCTTTGATGCATCTATGGTACCCTTCTATGCTATGTTTTCAGCAGTCCCATAGCTCAGGTTATCACCCAGCTTACTTTTGAATGTTACCTGTTCAACAGCAGGTAAACAGGATTTTTTTTTCCCCCCTTCCAAACCACAGTCCCTCCCTCGCTCCTGGTTCAGAATCACTGTGAAATGTGGCACCGGGTGGACCCAGGTACCCCTTCCCACGGGAGTTCACAGGGTCCTAGGTGACTCCAGCAGTAACAGTCTCTAAGTGCCAACCCCATGGTAGGCACTGTGTAGGCCTGGCAACAACCCCAATGGCAGGTACTTCACGGGGAGGCCAGGTGAGCAGCTCCAGGCCACACCAGCCAGGAAATGGAGGAGCGGGCCTGTCATGCTCCATGGCCTACCTGAGCCGGCTGCAGTGGTGTACCGAGGAGCCCAGGGGCTTCTGCCGAGGGGGCCTCTTCCTGCGCAGCCTCTTTAAGGCCTCGGCCACACGATGGTCCCCTGCATACTCCCAGACGATCTGTGCCCGTTCCTCAGCCAGCTGGTCCCCACTGCGCTGAAACAGGCCCTGGATCTGCAGCAGCTCGGCATCCTGGAAGATGTTGGCCACGGCCTGCTTGCGGCCCCGGGCCTCCGGTGGGGCTCGCCAGGGGGGTGGCTCGCTGACCACAGAGGCAGGGGTACCCATCCTGGGTGTTGAGGAAGGAGCAGGGAGGGACGTCAGCAGCTCAGTGGGCCCTTCCCAAGCCTGGGGGTCTTGACTAACACAAGGGCTTCTGGTGTTTCTGTTCTCCGGTAGCTGAAATGGAGTAAGTCTTGACTTAAAATCACTGATTTCCCAGGACACCTTGGGGAAATAATAACGATAGTCAGACTTTACAGTGTTTACGTGCCTGACCTATGTATTAACTTATGGGTCACAGAAGATGAGTATTGTATATCTCCACCTCAGATGTTAAATGACTTTCTCATGGGCACAAAGTCATGTGTAAGTGCAGAGCCAGAAGCAGAGGCCAAGTCTCTCTGGCTCCAGAGTCCACACAGACCCCAGGCCCGAGTGATAACACTCGTAGCAGCAGCAGCTGAAATGTCTTAAGCACTCAGGTCGCAGGTACCCCCGTAACAGCTGTGCTCACATAACATCGTTGAATCATGGACGAGCACAACTATCCTAGGAGGTAGATAACTTTTTAACCTCCTCATGTCACAGGTGAGGAAACTGAAGAAGAATATTCTGATGCTGAGACCCCAGCTGTGTGGCACAGAGGCAAGAGAGGGGCTGTGGCCTTGGGCTTCACAGGCAGGAATCCTGCTTCTGGCCGCCTCTACCACTGACTGGCTAGGTGACCTTCCTTGCGTCCACTGCCTCCCATGTAAACTTAATCAGCCATACAAGTACCTACTTCTTAGAGTTGCTGTGAGGACCGAGTGAAGACACAGAAAGCATTAAGACCATGCAAGATGTCCCACCAGTCTGCTTTTCCATCTGTAACACTGAGAATAGCATCCTGTCTTCTATTTTCAAGCTCCTGGGTGGGGGGCGGAATGAACCCCCCCCCCCACGTATAATTTAGTTAAACAAGTCCATATAATTTAGTTAAACAGCATGAAATAGACCAATCAGATCTAACCACAGTCCGAAGAACCACAGAGAGAAAGGTGGGGCAGAAGAAGGGGCTACAGGATTGAAATATTCTCTCAGCACAGAGGCTGAAATCTATGATAAGTTCAATAAAAGTTAGGCTTGGGTCAGTGCCACACCCCACCCCATATGCAAGAAATGAAAATGGAATTATCTGAGTTCTATGTAGTTTTCATTGAATGGTAGAGGGATAAGAGGCTTACCCACCTTATCTTTGTCTTCACTACAGCCTGAAATGGCTATGGGATTGGAAAATAGACTGGAGACCAGGAAGAGCAAAGCCTTGGCATTATATAGAACTGGCTTTGAGTCCTGGCTGTGCTGGGCTTCCCAGTTAGCTCAGATGGTAAAGAATCTGCCCACAGTGCGGGAGACCAGGGTTCAACCCTTGGGTCGGGAAGATCCCCTGGAGAAGGTAATGGCAACCCACTCCAGTATTCTTGCCTGGAGAATTCCATGGACAGAGGAGCCTGGCAGGCTACAGTCCATGGGTTGCAAAGAGTTGGACACGACTGAACAACTCACACACCCAAGCTCTTCCTGGCTGTGACCTTAGGAAAGTTACTCAATCTCTCTGGGCCTGTTTGCTCAACTAGAAAATGGGGCTAATAACCACTTCTCAGGATTATTATAAGGATTAAATGGGTCTAGTGTGTATCAGGTCTCCAGTGAGAGCTAAATAAATGCAAATGCCCCTCTTCTTGGCCTTCTGGACTTTTTCACTTAGGTCAGGGGTGTAATGTGGACCCTTCTTTTCCTCTGAGCAGTCTGGCCTGAGCCAGCTGAAGGCCTTGCCTGTGCTCCCTTCTCCCTGCACAGTCCTGAGCCTAACGAGGAAGGCTTGGTTGCTAAGTCAGACCCCACTACACAGTTAATTACAGAGATATCTGTCAACCAGCAGCCAGCTTAAAAAGGAGAAATCAAATTTGAAATAAATTTAAATAAAAAATATACATACTCAACTGTAAAAATTACAAAATATCAGAATCATATAAAGAAGAGCATTACCAGCTTCCTATCCTCAACTTATCCACCTGCAGATGTAACCTTTACTCTCACCTGCCTTTGATGCTCTTGAGAATTTGAGCCATCTCTCCCTCCCATTCAGACTCCTCAGATATGACTGTTCCTCACACCCCCTTGCCCTGGCCTTCCCTCCTCCTCTCCTCAGTAGCCACCCTCTTTGCAATAATTTCTACACTCACCCTGTCCCAGTTTCTATCATAAACTGCTCTCTCTTTTGAAAAGATTTAGTAGCTAAAATAAACCTGCAGAAGACTTTCAGGTAAATTAATTTCAAAAAAATTGTGCTT